TACTTTTATCATTATTTGAAATATTTTTAGTTATAATATTATTATTAAGATTTAATCTTTAATATTATTCTTTAATTCTTTATAGAACTAGTCTCTAAATCCTTAATTATTTTATAAAAATCCTTCTGATGTCTATAAGAATTTCAAAATATATTCTCTAACTAAGATCTATTATTTAATATATTAAATCTTATTAATAGCTTTGATTTTCTTATTAATAGTTCTCTATAACTAGTTAAGTTTTTCTTTATAATACCAGTAACTAGAAAATATTATGATTATTTTAAGGTTTTTTTATTCTTTATTACTATATATATAATACTAGTTAATAATATATAAAGTAAACTACTTTATAATCTTTCTATCAAGAAAGCTTAATATTACTAGTATTTTATTAGATTTATTCATAATTCATTCATTATTATATATAAAATAGAGTTGTATTTGAGTAAGATATATCTTAAAAATTCTATATTCTTTCTTAAATAGAGTTATTATTCTAATCTTAATCTCTTAAGGTATTTAACTTAATCTTTTTTTATTATTAATCATAATTTATTTTAATTTTTAATATATTATAATAGCACTACTATATCTCTATTATTAATAATTATAATATTTCTACTACTAGTGTTAATAGTTCATAAATTAAGATTTAAGATTGCTAAAATTAAAATTTAAGATGCTATTATTACTTATTTTTAAGATTTCTTTTTTAACTGAGGGTCTTAAATTATTAGAAACTTTAGTTTAATTATTATTAAGTATAACTAGAATAGCTATTAATAAGTAAAGTTAATAGATTTTTAAAATTAAAAAATCTTAATAGATAAAAAAAATAAAAATAAGGCTTTAAATATTCTAATTAATAAAAGATTATATATTTAAATTATTATAGTTAATTCAAGATAATAGAAGAAAACTAAATATATAATAAATAAATATCCTTATATAGCTTTCCTCTATTATAGCTAATATAGCAATAACTCTATTCACTTTATTCTAATCAACATAATTAATATAACAATGGCTCTGCTGGCTTTATTACCCTAACCTTAAGGTTTCATAGATAATCCTTTATTCCGATGTGCATTAGTCCCATGGTGACTAACCTGATCCATTGGCTGTGACGTTCTGATTCTCTGACACCATAGAAGGTGGCCCGCGGGTACTTCCACAGTAACCGCGTGCCGCCAAGCCAAATCGTACTAGGCCGTCACATGATGTATAGATTAAATTTTATTATTTTTTAAATTAGATATAATAAGTAAGATTTTATTCTCTTAATTGCTTGAGTTTTGTGTATTTTCTATATAAATTAGTAGCATGGTGATATGCTTAAGTTGATGTAAGAGAAAGATTTAGAATATTTTAACGCGCTCGGATGGAGGCGGGCCGCTTGGTGTCATGGGCCACTCGGTGTCCGATTACGTTATGTAAGCTGTAAGATCATTAACGTAACGTAATCGGTAAGCGAACCGGCCACGTAAGCGAGCCAGCCACCTCTTTCCGGAACGGCGCTCTATATTGATTTCAAATCATATTTTTTGAATCTATATATATTTCTCATACAAAAAATTAATTAACAGTACAACTAGGACATCAGTTAATTTTATACCCTTCAGCGCTATAATTACTGTAGCAAAATTAACAGTATATAGTTAATTAAGAAGCTAGAAGCTTTAGCTTAGTTGGAGTAGTAATAAATATTTTAATTTAATCTTATATAAATACTTAGGCTTTCTTTTTAGTAACCCCTTGCTTAATAAATATTTATTTATTAAATCTCTTACACTTTTGCTTCTCTTTTTCATGTATAGCTTATAAATTATAGTTTTCTTTCTGTATAAGTAAGAGGTTATTTATAGTTGTTTTATATACTTTTAATATTTATATAATTACTTAATTAATCACTTGATTTAAGCTCCCTATATGCTTATTTATATATTTCTTAATTATAGTTAACTGCCGTATAAATTAATATATATTTTGTAGTATTTATAAATAAGATAATTATGTATTGCTGGATTAATTAAAAAGAGATATTAAGATCTTTAATTGGATAGTAAGTTATTGTATAATTTAATCTAGATTGAAAGGTACTAATTTAATGACTATAAAGCTATTCTAGATAGTTTAGGCTTTATATGCTACTATATGAGTGCTTGAGAATGCCATTAAAAAGTTAATTTTATTAATATAATTAAAATTAAGTTTTATCTGTTACTTAATCAGTTACTTATAATATTACTTTAAAACTATAAAATAACTAACATCAAGAGGCTGTAAGAGATATAAAGAATAAGATAGCATATAGATTAGGATAATATTATTCTTTATATATATATAATTAAATTCTGTTATTAAATGACTTCTATGGCTATTAAGAATTAATATTTAATATTTTCCTATTATATAACCATTAATAAGAGAAATAAAATAAGTTTTAAGTTATTCTAATCCTATTTAATTTATAATTTAGCTATTCTTACTAATATTAATTCTTTAATCATCTGGAAGCTCGTCAAACTAGCTTAATTATATATTTTTCTTTATTTTAAAGATAATGTATAAAGGCAGAGTTTATTTAGTTAAATTTATTATTTTAATTATAGTTACCTACTCTTAATTTTTAGGCTATAAAAGCTTTAACTAAGTATATTGATTATTTCTAATAATAATCTTTGTAGTTGTATAGAGTTCTATTATAAAGCTAATCTTATTAAAATTATAAATATCTTCTAGAAGGATTCTATATTAAGATATAGTATCTTATATATAGTTAAAATACTCTTTTATAATCTTTGGATCTTCATATTTGGCACACTTATAGATATATTTTTATGAGAATTTAGAATTAATCTCTAGGCACTATTTAATAAGATTATATATCTATTTTTCTTTAACCTATTAAGTCTTATGTTGTAAGAGAAGATAATTAGCTATTTCTTATATAAGAGAGTGTTAAAAAGATAATTTATGTTGATCTAAATCAAGTATCTATTTGATAAGGGATTTCTTTTCAGATTGAGTTAATTTATAGCTATTAGTATATATTAGTTGTCAATATGGCACTTTGTGCATCCAATCTTGGAGAATTATATAAGTGATTATATAGATTTAAGCAGCTTTATGAATACTATGAATTCTTCTATTTTTTAAGTTAGAAATAATTAATTTAATTTTTTCCTTATCCTACGCGGATTTTAGGGTGTCTTTTTTGTGAATTGGTGGCATTTTAACGCGTTGTAATATGATAAATCGATATAGAACGCCGTTCCGGAAAGAGGTGGCCGGCTCGCTTACGTGGCCGGTTCGCTTACCGATTACGTTATTATCAATCATGTACTTTAGCTTCGATTCGGCCGTATATAGTGTCACAATAGCCAAGCTTCATACTACAAGGAGCCGGATTTGCTAGTATGACAGGCTTGGTTAACTGATTTGTCTCACTTAAAGCATAAAGTATTTTCCATTTATTTTATCTCATAAGACTTTTTTCATCTAAGGATACTATGACGCCTGACCAGGATTTCATTGTCAGCGCTCATCCACACTGCAGAAACTTTTTCTTAGCAACCGGGAAATCTTTAAATTCTTTCATATATTGGGAAAGTATATAGTGCAGACGCGAAGTCAAATTAAATCCAGGTCTCGCTCAACACTGGTTTTGGGGTTGGGATTCTTCTACCCTGGGTACGAATGAAAGAATGATGCCGGTGCGAGAGATGAGGGACCTGGACAATGAGCAGTTGATGTTTCATACAAAAGAAGAAATCAAAGTCAGAAAAAGTTGCTTCTTGGCTACTTTTTGAGAGGACCAGGCCGTAGGGTGATTGACGACATGTCGATGAAGAACCGGGTTGGTCAGGAGTAATATATGAATTCTTAACAGTTATTATTAACAGTAGATGTAGGTGGAATAAAACTGAATGCGAGAGAATGACACCACCGGCACTATTCGCTGATGTCTGTTCCATTTGGCTCCGGAACTGGTTTATCACGAGGAATACCTCTGCAGTAGTCGATCTTGGGACAAAGTATCTTTAGCTTCCCTCTAATAATGTAAAGCACTATACAAATCCTAACAATGGAAGAGTTGCCTGATAAGAATAAACTTTAGCAAACTTAAAGCAGAGGAGAACGCAGTTAGTGAAGCAAGAGAAGTAGGAAAGCCACTGAAATGGGCATCCCCGAGTGGCTTTTGACGGTCGAAGAATATTTACACAAGACCCAACCACCAAACTAGGATATTTGGGTTCCTGTTGTCTTTGTCTCGAGAATATCCCCACAGCGTTAAGTAGAATTGTTGCTCGTAACCGCCACATATATTACTACGTTGGATCAAAACTAGCCCTGACTCATAAAGCACTAAACGATATATGATTCGTAATGGCCTGTCCTTGTTTGTCCTCAGCTTACCTGCGACGAAAGATCGGTGTCTCAGGAATCTGCGATTTTCTAGAAGCTACTTTCCTTGCTTCCTACACAATGTTTTCTATACTGCCGCTGCCTAAACATGAGGTGCAACGGATAAAACAGAGACCACCTAGTTTTACTAGCAATCGAGTCCTTACTACACCGCTACCTATAAATCGACTTGATTTCTTTCATTATCATCTCAACACAAAGCGTTGATTTCGGAGCCAGTCGGAATACACCACTAAAGAAGCCGGGAAGAACGACAACCAATGGAATGCATCTGTAGCCTCGATTTTTCAAACAATGTAAACACGCTCATTGGCACTGTGAATTATTCTAGTAAACGAAACAATGCAGTGCCGCACACAGCCTCACGTCAGGAAAGCCCTTTGACCACATGGAGCAGTCAGCCTTACTCACCGACTTCTATGCATATAAAAAGATTCCTGAAGAGCGAGAAGCCTTTTTATTTTCTTTCCCTCGCCACTCTCCTATATATAAGTTTAATCACGGAGACCGGTACAGACACTGTCTAGGTATTGATCCAGTTCTCTTGAAAGACACCTATCCCTGCCACCATGACCTACAACTACTCCACTGGCGATATTGCGCGCGTACAATTCATATATTTTAACCGTCGGTCTGAGACAGACCCTTACTGGCGACACCACGCCCATATCCCCCCGACACAAGTGCGATGGCTTCGACATGGCCATCGTGTGCCCATGGCCAACCCACCAGCCGGGTCAGGCTCTCCCCTTAGTTCTTGCTTAATGGATCAGATGGGAAATATGCTGAACCGTGATTACCCTGGATGGTATTCGCTCCTTTATCCTTGTATTTCTTCACTTTTTCAGCCCCAATTTTTATGCTTCATAGTTATGAATAGATGAGTTGCTAACTCTGGATAACAATTAGGGCATTCCATTCTGCTGAAAAGCCGCGGGATATTCATATCCATTTACGTCTACCAGGTTATAAGGCAAGGTCCGTCTCGATCTACATCCAGAAGGGTCCTTCACGTCACGTGCGTGCCGTGCAACGGCTGCGCGTTGCATAATGATAAGGAGGCGACGAAGTCAACATGATTATAGATATGAACAAATACTTGTGGTAGTCATATAAGAAATGACTTCAAGGTTTGAGTTCGTGAATGCTGTCTGATCTGGACTAGGGCAATAACCGGAGATGGAACCGTGGTCGTTATGATTGGGGTATAAGCCTGGGCGGGATATGTTTTTTAAATGTTCAGTGAATCAAATTCTGTTCAAATACAAAAATCGGCAACTGAAAAATATTTTTGCCTATATACATCTTTCAAAGACATGCATATGTAAAAGAAGCTTCATTAGGCTATGCCGTGCTTTTCGAATATGTTTGGGTAGGTACACTAGAGCCCAGCAGAAAAAAGTTTATGTAACCAGAGCATTCCAAGAAATTGCTGAGTATAAGACTGTTAAGAGCCAGAAGGTCATGGCAAGCCTGCTGTTTGCTACCTTTGGCCAGCTCGATAAGAAGCCTGGATGCTACATACATCCAATGTATGACACGCCGAGAAAACCTGCACAAGGGCGACTGCGTGTACGTACATGGCGCACAAGATACAGACATGAAATATTTGGTGTGAACTGCCCCAGATATCGAATTTGCCCGGGGCAAAGCGCTCTGGAGTTCGAGACTGCAACTAGGGGTCAGATCCTTTGTGTTTTCATTTCTTTTTCAAAATCAATGGGAGAAAGGGAAGCGAGCATGCAAGCTTACCGCGTAGAGACCAGCTCCGCCGCCGTACAAAACAAGCTCTAGCAGATACCATTTCATTCCCGAGTACTGAAGCATGTACTCAAGCCCGTACAGTTGAACCCCATGCAACAGGGGAATGAAAGCTGACGCGCCGAGCGCAACGTAGGCACTCACTCTCGCCTTCCGCCAGCGCAGCGTTCTAAACTTGGGTATCGAGATCAGAGCAGCGGTGGCGGAGCCCGAGGTTACAATCTAGAGTTCACGTCAGCTTTACTCGGCATAACTGGAGAGGGTCGCTCAAAATGACTAACAATCACCCAGTGCAATTTTTGCAAGCTTGGTTCACAAGTGAAGATATAATAGATGCCTGGAATGAATGTGCCCACGGTCACGATGACAATCCCCAGCAGGTCCATTCGATGCCAGAACTGTTCTACATCATGCGAGTGGGGTCCCACCAGGTGATAAGTAGCGCTAAAAATTAAACAGCACTCAGCACTCCAAAAGAAGATTCCGAACATGACATGGTCTGTCCCCGAGACGTCGATGAATTGAGGCTCGGAAAGGACCTGCATGAAGACGGCCGCGATGAGCGGCAGGAGTAGAGCCCCGGCCAGGTGGGTGTACACATTACAAGTCTCGTTGTGCAAGAAGGTCAGGCTGGTGAGGATCTCGTGATAGCTTGCTCTTTCTGGCCGATAGCCGCTCAGGATGTATTTATTGTCCCGTTGGTATTCGGAGATCTCATGCCATCCCACGGTTCGGGCTTTACCTTGAGCCGTGGGCCCGGCTGCTGCGGGCCGCGCATCCATAGTGCTTGTGTGAACGCCGTGCACGAGCCGTCTCTTAATTTCTGGTTCGGACATTATAATCTGTCTTGAGGATGGTGAAGAGGGAGGAGGATAGACTGGTTTATAAGGGAAAAAAGCGGAGGGAACAAGTGCTGTAGAGAAGACGCGACGCACTAGTCGGGGACACGTACGCTAGCCTTTTCTATTCTGAGATGAATGTATCAATTGCATGCACTAATCATGCAACTACCCAGACCAGGGGCTCGTCTTGTGTGGTTAGTCGATGGAGCGGACACAGCCGCGGTGCTAACTACCTAGCCCATGTAACAGAAGCGGCGTATCTACGACGCTCGCAGATTCTTGTACTTCCCTACTGTGCCGCCGTCCTGGAATGGCCGACTAAGTAATCCATCAGCCTTGCGCGACGGAGCCGAGTTGAATCTCTATGATTCCTTCAAATCCGCGACTGCTAGATTACAGCCATGGATCACGACGGCTCTCGGGGTCTGCTCAAGGGTATTCTTGCGTTTTTCGCGCGAAAGCCGCCGCAAAGGTTAACGCCGTCCACTTCGTTGAGATCACAGGCGCTCGACGCCTGGGTGCGAACGGATGCTTATCTGCAGCATGAAACCAATGATCTGGACGAAGTCGACCCTGAGCAAGTAGCAAGAACTCTGCGGACATTCGAAAATCTTGTTCACTATGACCCTGACCGGGAACCACACTCTGTCAGTAGTAATGATATTTCATAGCAAATCTTGCTTTCAGCCTCTCACTTCCTGCCGACTAACACACTAGGCTGTGTAGCAGAACTTACATCACACTATGCCGTACCCAAAGCTTCAGGCAATTCGTCGCCTGATTCAGAGTCCCAACCACGATGCGTATTCCAATTCACCCTCAAGCATACGTATCAGCAAACGCAAGCGAGAGAATGACGCTGTCATCGATGAGCTTTCACGCTTGGAAACAGAGGCAAAGAAGCGCCGAGTTCTGTCTCGCGAAGAGCCAAACGTGGGCGATGACGTGGACGCGCCCGAAGCAGACCTTGCTATGATGATGAGGAAACATTCAATGTCGTTACACCAGGGACTGCGGACACAATGGACCTGTGTATGCCAGAGGTGTTCGGGCTTGAGTGTAAGACTTTCGTTGCCCCAACGGAAGAAGGGCTCTCAGATGGAGACATGCTTCCAAGTGTTCTTTGGCGTACGATCTCTGCCTGCACTCACATTGCAGGAAGCCAAGATAACAGTCAAGTAGGCCTGTGGCGCTTCGTTTTAATGGAGAGTACTAACATATTCGGAGTAGAGATGTACAGAATGATAAAGCTGCGAGCACGTCTAGTTTCTTACCTGAGTTCGCACACATCTGTCAGTGTATCACGGAGTCCCTGGATAAACAAAATTGCTTGCATCTTCTCTTTGAGGACGGGTTGTTTAAGAGGCTCCGGCCGCAAGCGAAAACATTTGGCGATTCCCAAATGTCTCGGACAGTGTCTCTGTCGGCTCTTTTTCAGCGTCAACAGGAGTTACACGGTGGTTCATCAGTTTTGCCGCTCAAAGGGAAACGAATCTTAGCAGTTATACTTGCCACAGCATTACTTCCGTTCTTAGAGACGCCGTGGGTCCAGCCTTCGTTTAATCACTCAAGGATTCATTTTTTCCAGCCGCTGAAAGACGGAGAGCTGCCCGATATCACGAAGCCCTTCCTGACACTGGAACAAATTCCAATCATTTCTAACAAGATGGGCACCGGGAAAGGCCAACCCGAACAACCTGTCAGCTCCAAACACATGATACATCCCAATGCCAGTGTGTTGGCGCTGGGCATTCTCTTGTGTGAGCTTCACTACTGCACACCCGTAGAGTCATGGCAAGGTGACACAGAGAGAGCCCGAAATGTCAATACTGACTATTATACCAGCCTTGATCTTCTCAAAAATCTAGAAGTCGACGCTGGTGTAGATTATTACCTCGCTACCAAAGCATGCCTACAGTGGGAATATTTTCCGGCTGGAGAGCTCACTAGTTTTGAATCCGCCAGCGTTCAGAGGCTCTTTTATCAAAATGTTGTCAAACGACTTGAATCCGAAGTATCAAAATCGTGGCATCTTCGGTTAAAGGATCTGGATTCTCTCGATTCTCGAGGGAATGAACTTTGTTGGGGACCAAACGGCCGAGAAGTTGTCCACCGGCAAACAAGTAAGTTTGAGTCCTCTGGCAGTAGTAACGAAGAAATGGCAGTCTCTTTGCCTCCTACCTCCAATACGACGTCCCGGAGCTATACTTCGTACAGCCCGGCCACGCTTGTGCCAACGCCGACCCAACACACTCGGGTATTCCAAAATCGCCCACACCTTGCGGAATCCTCTACTGAAAGCCTGTACTTCTTTGATGCAAGCCATCACGCGGTCTCTGGACAAGAGTAGGTCATTCTCCGTTTCCCCTGCAAGCCTCTTGTTTACTAAACATCTGCCAGTACTGGACTGTCTGAAAAATGGATGGGCAGTCTTTTATCCTCGATTTACCATCATGTTGACTCGTTTGACACCGCTATGCAATCAACTGCGACAATAATCGAGAATGGGTCCAAAGCATTCGAGCCAGTACGAATAGCAATTCTAGATTCTGGATTTGATCCAAAGAACTCGCTCCTTATCGATGACGAGCAACGGATCGATCCACGGATTAAGGGAGTACAGAATTTTGTACATGGAACAGACTCCTGGGACATTCAAGATGAGATCGGGCATGGCACTCATGCTCTCGGTCTTCTCCTCAAAGTTGCCCCATGCGCTGAAATTTATATTGCCAGAGTTGCAAACCAGGAGACCCTGGGTCACGACAGCTACGATGCTATTGCAAAGGTAAGGCTTGCTTCATACCAAGGGCAAGTTTCTTATACATACATTAACGAATCGTACAGGCGATCAACCACGCAGTCACTGAATGGAAAGTGGACATTATTTCAATGTCATTTGGTATTCGGGAATATCATGAACCTATGAAAACAGCGATATCAAATGCATTACACAATCAAACACTCATGTTCGCTGCGGCGTCGAACGATGGAGGAAATTTCGGCCGAGCATTTCCAGCTAAATATCCCAGCGTCTTTTGTATACACTCGACTGATGGAAACGGAAATCCTTCGTCATTCAATCCCACAGCGGACGACAAAGATGTCAACTTCAGTCTGCTCGGGGAACATGTCCTTTCTCACTGGCCGGCAGGGAAAAATGGTCACAATGACATTGTGAATGTCATGTCAGGAACGTCAGTAGCGACGCCAATTGCCGCTGGGCTTGCTGCTTCGGTCCTATCATTTGTCCGGCAACAAGAGAAGGGCTTAGCTGCAGGAAGTGACATGTTAGGACCGTGGTTGAAGGATGTTCACTCAATGGATGCTGTCCTGAAGAGCATGGTCAGACAGAAAAGAGGGGCAGGCTATGACTATATCACGCCTCACGTACTGCTTGATACGAGTGCATCAAGGGAACATGTTTACAACAAGATCAAAGATATCAAAAAGCACATGTATGACTAGAAGACTTAGGTTAGTTTCATATGAGCTTCTATAGTTGCTCTAGGACGTTCTCAAAGATTGAGTTCCTTAGTTAAGCGGGGATACAGTAAACATTATCGTTTTCGGCCACATCGGGAACGAGTCTTGCATTTTCGAAGTCAGAGCCATCCACGTCTTCCATTAGAACAAATTCTGTATTGTCGTCATTTTCATTTTTCCCAATCGCCAGGAAAGCTCCCTTGTTATAATCTTGAGCCTTGGTGCTCCGCCCAAATCTCAGCCTCTTGACGCGAAAAGCAAAAACAAATTCACCATCCCGGTTGAATTCTGTCTCATCATCATTCCTTCTGGTCCAGTGGCCCTTGGGACCAACAGCTATCCCAAGTGGGGCCAAGTCGACGCTAATATTTCCCATAACTGTCGTACCTTTCGAAGCCGAGTACTTGATTTTCGCGCCCTTGACGAGTTTCATGCCCGTGACGAGGAAGAGCGAGACGACAGGGGTGAATCGCTGCTTTGGCTCCCGCAAGTACGCCTGCACAGCGGGGGCTTTGACGGCTTCAACAACATACTCCGGTGTCGGCTCAAACGACACGGTCGTCACCGTGTCAAATGCGAATGTGTTTGCCGTTCGGCTAGAGCATTCAGCATCCACTTTGGGTCCTGTCGCTATCTGTAGAAACTGCGCGTAAACACCCAAACCGAGTCCCGTCTCGGTCGAAATGGTCTTCTTCCAATTGGCCTCCACGACAGGGAGGTTTGCGCTGGCCACGGGGACGATATTCGTTCCATTGAGGGGGAACTGCGGTGTTGATGTCGAGCGAATTATAGAGCCGAGACATAGCGGACCCGCTGGAGGCGGGTGTATGAGCTCGGATGTTGGGCAGAGAAAATAAGTCTTGGTGAAAGACATAATTTTGAAACTTGCCCTAAGAACTCTAGAAATAGAAGTACGGATTCCTAATCTTAACTTTGGACAGTCTGGGAGTTTGGGCAGTGGATAATGGAACGGGCCGCTTTGTCTGATCGAAACTTAATATATAAATAAGTATAAGTGGGGACTGAAGCGTGGTGGCGAAGGCCGAAAGTTCAAAGAGATAGGGGTACAAGGGAGCTAGTCCCGATTGACCGTTGGGCTGACAGGCATGTGATTCACAATGATTCTGAGTTGTCTAGCCGGTCGGGATAACCTCGCCTTCCACCCGTTTTTCAATAAACGTTCTTGTTAAACCATCCACGAAGACCAGCAGATAGCCTACCGTCATGGCACTTCCGGCTTCCATGGAAGACGTCTTTCTCCAAGACGACCTTGGCCCGACCATCGCTGAGCACGCATTACAATGCAGTCGTCTCTTCAAGAAATACATGGCTGTGCCGGAGATTGCACCGGATCCGACTTTGATGGATGATCAGCTGGCACGCTTCACGCTGTGGGCATCTAACATGGATGTCTTTGGGCCGCTCAACGTCTCGTTGGATTACAGGCTCAGATACAGTTCAACAGTCGTGGAGATCATCCATCAGCTTTTGGACGTCATTTGCAATTCTTTGGCATCTCGTAAGTGGTTGCTAGGGCAGAACTGTACCAGCTAGGAAGAATGAAAGAAACCCTAGTCTAATGGAAGTTTCGACGATAGTGAAGCCAATCGACGATCCACCCCAGACTCCGAGCAGGAAGAAACGGCGCATAACAGAAACAGGTGATGCGGAGGTTACAAAGAAGGTCGACAACAATTCAAGCGATTCGGACAGTGATGAGGATCAAGCACAAAAAAATGTTTCATTAATCACCTATACTATTGGGGGAACGGTGACGCGGCTCTTCCGTTTGTCCAATGCTATTCGTAAATCTGCGAAGGATTCGAGAACGTGTAAGATAGGGGGTTACAGAGATGACGAAGAAGCAAACAATGCCATAGCCGAATTGCGTCTTTACACGGATTGCTACATTCGTTTCCGATTTCCTCAGGCACCGGAGGCTCTTCGCTCAGCATTGGTCGAAGCCAATGCGCTGCGACTCCGACGATTGTATTATCAGAGATCACACCGAAGGCGTATTGCCTTGAGCACCCAGCGTACACAGGCGGACCCAATGAGTATCCAGCTGCCTAAGCTACCAGACAGCGCTCCAGCCGTACGTTTCGCCACAAGCGAGCCGCCAAAACCCAGGGTCATTGACGAAAGGCCGAAACCAACCCGCCTTCCGCCAGTGCCCTTAACCTATGCGAGTACTGCTCGGCAAACTGCTGTCAGAGCTCTGTACGCCGACTCCACGGTGGAGGTCTCTCGGGCTAAGTCTGTCCTAGTCAACAATAAATTATCGTTCCCTTCAGTTCCAACGACAAGCGAGTGCCCATACTGCGGAGTCATTGTTGAATTCAAGGGCCCCAAAAAGACATCAATGTGGAAGTAAGCGTTATCATTCTTGTACATTTACTTAGAATATAGTCTAACCGGCTTCAGCGACCATGTCATCAGAGATCTAGAGCCATTTATATGTGTTTTCGCTCACTGCATGGACTCAAGCCAACAAGAGCCTGGTTCGTTGACATTCGAAACATCGAAAGCCTGGATTAGCCACATGCAGAACGCCCATGGCTATGCATGGGAGTGCAGAGCCCCTTCCCACGACCCAGTTATCTTTGGACAGGAGGTCGAATTCCAGGAGCACGCTCGTGATGAACATGACGTCCCTGAGGCGCATGTGGGGACGCTGAGCGGTGCAGCCCGGAGACCGGTTGTTGAAAAGATTCTGGAGTGTCCCTTCGGGGATGACTTCTCAGCCCCGGAAAAGGTCGAGTCAAACACTGTGTTTTTGAACGAGGCGCTTTATCTACACGTCGCTGCTCATATGAAAGAAATTGCTTTGCTCGCATTGCAGAAGCTACCTAGCAATGATGACGATGGCTCTGGAGATGTAGCTAGCGACGCACCACTGGAAGATGATGAGTTTGCAAAGTTACGCGGATCCATGTACAGTGTACTTGATGATGAAGCTCTAGACTTCCTTGATGAAACTGAAAACGGCGTCTCGAAAATACTCGAAGAGAGCATCAGTTCCTCTGTGTACAGGCTCGATTTAGAGGACAGAGACGCAGCTGGAATGACAAGGCTTCATCGCGCCGTGTGGGACAACAATTTGTACCTGGTCCAGTCCCTCATTGGTCAAGGCGCAAATTTACGCAGCAGAGCGAACCAAGGGAAGACAGTGTTACATTACGCTTCCCTGAATTCGTATAGAAACGTAGATATGATGAGTGTGCTGTTAGATTCTGGAGCTAATGAAATCATGAGTTTGAAAGATGACAATGGCCAGACACCCTTGCATTGCGCTGCAAAAAAAGGCTTCACTGACGGGATAAGATTATTGGTTGCTCACGATGCCCCCATAGATACTCTTGACAACTATGGGTTATCTCCATACCTTTGGGCTGTCATTGCTGGGCAATTTAGCGCAACTCAACTACTATTGTCCCACGGCGTTGATATCAACTCCATCAGTGCAGATGGAAAATCTGCGTTGGAGTGGGCAGCCAGTCTGGGCCACTCTTCAATAATCCGTTTACTTATCGATTATGGAGAAGGCATTATGTCTACAACTCAAAAGACGCAATTGTCTTTGGAAAAAGCGGCAGCGTGTGGTGACTTATACGCGCTACGTATGCTTCTTGATTGCGGTGCAGATCCAAACTATCGTGATCGCGAAGGATGGTCCGCTATACATTGGGCGTCTGAGGAGGGCTATTTAGATGTTGTGCATATGCTGTTGGAGTTTGGAGCCGATGTTAATGCGATCAGTTCTTATGGTACTTCACCATTGCATTGTGCTGCGAATGGAGGACATGATATCATTGTCAGAGAGCTTCTTCGATATGGAGCAAACCCTAACAAGTCAACATGTCATGGTTGGACTGCACTACACCATGCCGCCTTCATGGGATATCCCAGTGTCGTACAGACTCTCCAAAGAATGGGATCCAGTATTTCCCAGGATAATCATGGCTGGTCAGCCCTTCATTTGGCAGTTCATACGAGACACTTGGAAACTGTCAGAGTTTTACTTCACGGCTCTATTACTTCAGAGCCGAGCCTCCAGTGCGATGAGCGAGGTCTCACTGCAGAAGAGTGGCTGGAGTTTGAATTCGACAGTCATTTTTATAAAACTATCAGTAACTTAGCTTTCAGAAAATCACGATGTTGCAGGGCAGTAACAAAACTACGAGAAGCTGTTCATAACAGCAACTTAGCCTTGACCGAATTCCTCTTAGAGCAAGGATTTTTGGTTAATGACACAGATTCGGGAAGAAGAACTGCACTCTACTACGCTGCGAGAAAGGGTCACATTCCAATCCTGAACATCCTATTAGAGAAGGGTGCAGATCCCAACATCCTTCCAACAGGACGCAGGACGTGGGAAGAATTCATTATTGACGACACAGTACTACAACGACTCCGACAAGCCGGTTACACGAAGCCCATTCCAAGTCCAGAAATAGATCACCAGATAAGACTCTCCCTCCTAGAGCGAGGTGAAACCAACACTCTAGATCGACCCGCGTCTCACCAGTCTCTAGCAACAACATACAAAAAAGGTGAACCAATTGGTAAAGCAGAGGAGCCACGCTCCCGCGTAGCGAAAATCTGGAAACGGCTGCGAGGACAGTGAAAAGTCGACGCAGCATCATCAAAAGAGAGCCGATTGATATGGGGTGTGCCTTTTATATTAGGTTGTGAATGTCTGAACACAAACTTCAAGTGGCGCTAAAGCAACAACCATTAGTCCTGTACTGTAAGACATGGTGTGAAATTCAAAACCCACATAGCCTTGGATAGAACTCAACGCATAAGTTATAAGAGGAGTTCGTAAAACACAGTTACTTGGGTTGCTCGGCTATGGCGTGCTTCATAGTTGGCCAAGGCTCAGTATATCTAAATCAGAAACGATTAACATTGGTATATGAATCTTCGAGCCACGTAAACTTGGAGATACTTAGACCACCCATTGTACCCTTGAAACAATCCGAGGTAAAATTGCGAGGCGTCTGAGAGTATTCCTGGATATCACACTCGCTCAATAGATTCTCGTGCTCGTTTTTCTCATCTTGGATTATCATTGGCGAGTGCTTTTGATTTCATAGCCAGAGCGCTGCTGGAATTTCCAATGCCTGGATAATTAAAAAGGCTCATCCGTGCATGGGACAAACAAAGAAGGAAATTTTCACAATGAACATCATTATGTCACTAAATATACTTGTGAAGAACTTTGGAAAAGACTCTCAGAGCATGAGCGCGAATGAAACTATGTACTAAGAATTTGATCCAGCATTTCATCGACCCCGTCAATAGGGTAAAGATATCGTCTCAATATTTGCCGCAGCGCCACAGGCAGTGATAAATCATATTGCTTTCCAATGATCAGGCATTCAACAAGAGCTCTATAAGCCCGCTTTTGAGGCGCTCCTTGTTGTTGCTGTGATATCAAGGCACTCATTGTTTTTGGGATTGCCTCGGAAAGCAACCATCGGTGGGCGCTGGCATTGTTCTGGCAAAGAATTAGGCATGACGCTGGTACCATATTGAGGAACCGGCCTTGTCCTTTCTCTCTCGAGCGCTGAGCAAATTGGAGGATAGCGGTGAGAAAGAGAAGCAGCTTCGGGGAATCGTGGTCTTGGCTAATAATACCAAGTTCACTAGCACATGCTTGGTTCGCATCACTGAACAGTTGTTCCTCATAGCTGCCGCCGATAAATCCTTCGAAATACTCCACGATTACCGTCGAGAAATATTCAATCGGGCGCGGATCATTGGTATCAAGGATGGCGAAATGCGTACTGAAGAGGACTACCGTCCGGGCCGCGCTCTCTGCCCTTCTGCCACTTCGAATGCAACCATCGAAATCGATCAGAAACTCGCGAACTCCGTAGTGCAATGACTCCCCCGCGTCTCTGTGGTAGGCGAGGGAGGCAAACTGTGCGAACGTCCTGGCTGAGATGTCGACCCCTTCGGTCCATTCGTGTTGAGCAGCTGCGAGAATGACGCTAGAGCCTACCAGGACTCCAATTACCAGAAGGGCTTCCAGATCTGCAGTAGAAACCACTTGAAATATTAGGACCGAGAGCCCTGTCATGACCGCCAGGTTCTTTGCATTTCTAGCTTCGATCAGCCGAGTGCCAAACTCAATATATGCCTGCGCCCATTTTCGCAGTCCGGCCTTCTTGTTATTCCTGACAAGGTCCTGCAGCACGTGCATCACTTCCCAGCGGCCAATCGACGAGTATTTCAGGTACAGTGTCACCAATTGAAGAATAGGCGGGAAACGAAAGGACAAGGTTAGGAGCTTGATTGTGATGTCCACCAGTCTCGATGAATTCTCGTACCGTGCGGCAAAAAGCTGTTCCTGAAGCCCCAGGAGCTGTCTCGCCCGCTCTTCCAGTGGATCTATGGGTCCTTTCAGGGAAGTGACTTTTGGGGGAGTGGGTAATCCATCTACCCGAGCTCCGTGTTCAAGAAGCAGCTTAATAATTTCCTTGGAATTCGCCTGGATGGCTCGAATCAATGGTGTGTCGCCGTAGCTAGCTTTGGCCTCAATCGGGGCGGACCGGTCCAGCAGCAAAGACACGACGTCCTTGTGCTCTCCAGTGACGGCAATATGGAGTGCGGTCAATTTGCTCCGATCCTTAGAATTGACTCGGGCGCCATGATCGAGCAACAACTCTACCACATCTCGGTGGCCGCGGGTGGCGGCCCAGAAAAGTGAGGTCCGGCCGTAATTATCCTTTCGTGAGATGAGACGGCGGAGGGAATTGTGATCGGAGGCATACTGTTTGAGCAGCATCTTAGCCCAGGCGACATTGCCAAAGTACGCAGCCAGATGCAAGAGCGTGAACGAGGGCGGGGCTCCGCCGTATCTCTCCTGATCCCAATAGAATCTCCACCAATCCTCTCGAACTGCAGACTTTGCTCGGAAGAACTGACGTGAAAACTCAGACGGGGCATCGGTCAGATCAGATGCGTGTCGGAAATGCTCAGGCCAGTATAGGCTAGCATATGCCAAGAGGGTATTTTGTCTAGACGCTTCGTTGATACTGCCGGGAGATTTGTAACTCCCTTCTATGAGTGTCATGCAGGTCCGCATAAGAGTCCGATGGGTGGTGCTGTTCATGTGGAACATGCTGATCCCCTCAACATTGACCTGATCACTCTGAAAGAACTCCTTTGCCGACTCGTGGACAAGATTTACTACATCTCCGTCGATTTTGACCAATAGCCCACATGAGGCAAGCCGGGCCTTCATCACTTCGGTTGGCACCAGGCCTTTAGACTCCTTGATGCCCCCCGCCGCTGTCAGTTCGTCCACTGTGAGAGGTCGGGCGGCGAGAACAATCCATTGAAGGATGGGTACTAGCTTCTCTTTGTCTTCGACTTGCTGAAGCAATCGCCGGTAAATTCCGCCAAGGCCTTTGGGAACGCCACGAAGAATGTCCTTGATTTTGCGCCAACTCCTCCCCTTGAGCTCATCCGCTACAAAGCCGACCCATAAGAAGGTCCCCTCAGCCCCGGCCATCAAGGCCTCCCGAACTTCCAGAAGCATATCCTCGGAAAGTGTTTGCTCTGATGCTAGTTCGGCAACTTTGGCGGAGATGTATTTCTCGACATCCTTCCCAACTTCCATATCCGAGTCGTCAATTTTGATCCGACGGTATCGGCCAAGCTTGTTCTCCAAAAGCGCTGGCTGAGGCCGGGAAAGGAGAATGAGCTTTAGTCTTGACATTGGTTTCTCCTCAGATTCCAAGAGATAGTCTCCCAGGGCGTCGAGAAGCTGCTTGAGAGATTCCTTCTCGCACTCATCCAGGCCATCCAACACACACACCACCTGACAAGAGCCAGCCTGACGAAGTAGGATCAGGAAAAGCCTCCACAAGGATATAAAGCTAGAAATGGTATATTTGATAGTTTCAGACCCTTCGAAATAGTCGCTAATATGTTGTGCCAAGTGAGGATGGAGATTGATCCACTGATGTATTATGCCTCTCATCATGGTCACTGCCGTGTTCCGGTTCCTGGCACGATTACTACAAAAATAATAAAGGAGAACGCCTTGGCCCGAGTCGACCACTGAATGTAACTCCTCGGTAATATAGATGGCCAGCATAGTTTTCCCTTTTCCAGGGCCGCCTGAGATCCAAAGAAGTGGTGAATCGACACCTTCCAGCCACTCTTGATAGGTGGGATGTCGTATAAGCCATTCGCAGGTACCGTTGACCCTCCGCCCTTTCAATGCAACCAGAGAGCTTCGGTCAATCTCAGGTCTTGTCAAAAGCAAAGCATCGAGAACAGTAGTAGCCACCGCATATGTGTCAGTTGTTAAAGATACTGTTGTTGGGACCGTGGGGATTAGCGACAGTATCTCTTTGGCATATGCGGCGGCAGCAGCAGCAGCATAGCCCTGCCAGGTATTGGTCTTGTGCGAATCTGCGTAGTCACAGATTCCTCTGATGACCAGACATTGATCAATGTCTACCAAGCCCGCCGCCTCCGTCTCGAAACAAAGTATCCCATGCTCGCGTGCTACCTTATCCCGGGTCGCGCCATGGGGCATCAACTGGTTGCCTGATGCAACCAGGCCATAGTGAACTTTAGGGTTCTGGGTCCCCCGCGGTTGCCGGTGGAGGACTCTATCCAAGTTGCAATGATTACAACTGTTCTCTGCGTGCTTGGTGATATTGTGGAGATATTTCGAGTCGAAGAGAATGTCATGCTCTGGACCTGGATGGGCAAAAGTGGTGGGTTCCTCCTGCGCAATTTTAGAGATGTAACGGGGTATTTGAGTCTCACCGAGGATATTATTCGTCTCGACTTTGCGCATGGCTGTGAGGAACAGAGTCGATAACTGATTCAACGTCTTGACGCTATAAGATTGGTCTTCCGCGCACTCCTCCCGCTTGCAATCGTACTGGATGAGGCCCGGCCAGGCCCCCGTCGGTTTGCTTACAACAATATCGCCAAGACGAACATCCTCCTTCGTACTTGGCACTCCTCCCCCTATGCCGATCATCAGGCTGAACCGGATTGACTTAAAGCTTGCGCGCATCTGCGTGACAACGGCCGCAGCCGAGGTGGTTCCATACACGCCAAAGGGCGGGTACGCGAGTACGACATTATGACCGTGAAGACTGCCAAGAACATAGCTGTTGGTGTCATTCACACTCGGATCCGCAGGTAAGTCGGCGTGAATGCGATCAAGCATTGCCTTGGCTGCCGCCATTTCCAAAGGCAGGGCGCAAACCAATCCGACCGTATAGTCATCTCGGAGGCCCATTTCCGAACGGTGTGCATATCCACAGCGAGACACTCACTGATGGTGAAATCTTTTTTCGGTGAGTCAAAGGAAACTAGGATGATAGAGAGCAAATGAGCCAGCGCTTCGCACAGGATTAAGCAGGAAGCAGCCCCTAAGAAGTTATGAACAACTCCTGAAATCGCTGTTTGGCGCTAAATCGCGTCGTTTCACAAGGTGGGGTAGTGTAGGACGCAGCTCGGCCCGGGCCTTCCCTTCCTGAGATCCACCAACACAGAGTTCAAGGTACACATAGCTAAAAATAGTAATAAACTAATTATATAAATTTAAGATTTGTTGTTGATGTTTGAGTAGCTACGTAGTCCTATCTATAGAGAGTGTTATTGCTTTTCCGAAACTATTTGAGGCCTTTTACAAAACGTCAATAAGGATAATAGAAATGTGGTTATTATCTATCATTTAGTAAACTGGCGGTTTATGGGAGAACCGCGATCAGGTTAGCCAATGCTCGTTGGGAATGGGGTATGTCGTCTGCAGAGTTAGACATTGATCTGGACTACGTCTGGCAGCATATAATAATATTGCCCTGGTAAATTGGTAGAGCAGAGACGAGAAGTTGCCCTCTAAAAGGAATTTGGAAAGAACGGTAGGAGTTGAAGTTGTTTCTCAGATTGTCGTCATAATGAAAATAGGGCGTTTGCCATTGAGCATATCTCGATATAGTGGAGATGAAAATCAACTATATAGCAGTATGTGCCCACCAATCAGCAAAAGTAATATTCAAAACATGTGGAGAATAGAGCCAGAGGTCGTGCTAAGAACAGGATTATTATGTGATATCCTCTTCTTAGTACATCTCCATAGTACTGCCAGCCTATGTGAGAAAGTCATGTCGTGCTCTTAATAATTGAACCCAATAGTTGCAAGTTCAGGTTGTCAATTCCTTAAACCGGAGAAGAATAGCTTTCCCACTCATGCCATTTGAAACCCTCATGTAAATTCGCGTAGGTGTCAGGCTCAGCATATAACCACCAGTCTCATCAATGGATCCTAACATCAGGCATGATAATTGATCATGGACAAGAATACAGCGGACGATCAGAATATCTGAGATGGCGTGACCAACGTGATGAGTAACCATCTTGCTCTTGTAGAAGGGCTTTTTGAATTTACAAGATCTCTTAGTCCTAGCTCATGGAGCAAGGCGCTTATGGAACTGACAAACTCAGGAATACCTGGGTAGGTAAACCTAAGCTAACTGCTTTTCTTCTACAGTTTCATATTTTCGATCTGGAATATCAATTTCTTTTACACTTCATCTGATACATACGACCATAGGGTGTGGAAAACAGGGCTTCCCGTCCGCTCAGCCGTACTTAAGCCACACGCCGGCCGGTTAGTAGTTGGGTGGGTGACCACCAGCGAATCCCGTCTGTCGTATGTTTTTTTTTTACTTTCTTTCCCCAATTCTATTGGATTTTTTCATTGGTATGTTCCTTGCGTGGTAGAATCGATTAAGGATAGAACGGTGTGGGGGTATATATACTACGCAGGTTCCGCAAGCTTAATTCAACCTCCACCTATACGACTCATCCAACTTCAATTCAGCTCTCCTTGTCACCTGCTAACGACTGATCCTCCATTGGATAATCACATACTATGCCGTTGCAATTATCCGAGTCGCGACACATTGTCTCCACGAGGCGAGCGAAACTGTTCAGCTCTCTGATTGCCTTAAACAGCGTCATGGCTGACGCCAATCGCTTGAAGTAGTAATGACTAACATCCTTTCGATTAACAATAGTCAAGATAGACGACCTAGACTTTATTAATCCATCTTGATCAATCTTATAGGCCGGCAGATATCAAAATGCTCCTATCAGTTTAGTCGAGCAACTTGTCTACAATGTACTGGCGCATATCCTGGTTTTTCAAGATAGTATACACAGGAGAAAGGACGAGTAAATTAATATATTCTTCCAAGGTTGAAGAGGGCAAGCGCGGCGTGAAAACCTAGACCACATGGGCTTGCCACCTTGCCTTCTAGCGCCATTAACGATTGATTGTATAGGAGTTGTGAAACAGAGTCTAGAACAGCAACTAGGCAATAGCTGCTAATCAAAGAAACCATCAGATTACCAGCAACTAGCGAGAAATATGCTGAACTTTTGCAGACCACTCTTTTATAAAATAGGCCCCCTTGATGTTTAAGGAACATTACAACTCTTATGTTGCACTATACGACGAACTGCATGATTATATACGAGGAATTTGCTACAAGTAGACTTAGCCTCTGGTGGCCTCGAAAAATTGGTAGCTTGTTAACTGAAAGTCCTATATAGCATGGGTTCTAACCTGAAATTTGTCTGTATCGTGTTTGAGTGGAGCTCTATTGAAAAGCTCGCTTAGTCACCTGACATGCTCTAAACCTCAATATAATTGGCGACTTGGACAAACGGAGAGCGCCCCAAATGCCAACAATAGGTGCTTTGTTTGCTGAGGGGCACCCGGTTCTCTCTGGTAGCTGTCCTGCGCTACTACTTCTTCTTCTCCTTCTGCTTCTCCTGTCCTTCCCTTCTCTTTTCTCTACCAAATCGACATTCGTATCTCACGAGCTCCTCACATCGTTAAAGAACAACACTTTTCTTCACTTTGACGTCGATTTTCGCCTATTTGTGTTTACTACCCAATATGGCGACCCCCCAGGAAGCACAGTACCTGAGTACTCCGATCATGAAGGCCTATGTTCGGAGCGTATTCGAGGACAAGGAGGACGACAGACACCCACTTCAAGCAAAGATTGATAGCTTTGTTCAGAAGGTAGTCGACCACTATTTCACAATTCCAGGTCTCATTAGCGAGACTCAGTCCTACCCAGACTCGAAAACAAGTCTTCAAAGGACAAACATTACCATCTCTCTCTCTTATCGAGGCAAGTTGAAGAAGGTGGTGGTTATTGAAGCTAAGCGATTTCCACGTCCACAAGGTGAACTTCGCCCCAACTGGTACATTACACGCCAGAGTGTTTGGAACAAAGCGAAGACACAGCTCAGGAAGTACTTTGAACTTTCGAGGAAAAGAGATAAGTGGTCGAAGGACATGTACGGCGGTAGTAGTCGGCGATATGATACTTTTTTTCAGGTTGAAGGTCAACTCACACAAGCTGGGGGATTATCAAGCACCGAGTTTGTCTGAAGAAGACCAGAAACGAAAATACTTCTCCATTCGCGTGGACAGTCTGTTGGTTGAGGAAGTTTTGCTTGATATCAAAGCTTTAGTTATGCCAGGATTGAGAGACCTAAATGCGCAACCTTAAGTGCATTGGATCTTCAACGACGACGCACAGGATTGAGGTTCTGAATATCAGCAGGGCTAAGAGGTGATTTCTTTTCTCGAAAATAGCCTGATCTAAGGCCTTGTGTTTTATCGAGACTAAGGTTGTGGTTCACTTTGAACTCAACCTAGGGTCCCGAAGTCGTCAAGTTCGGGAAAAGTCAAAGTATCCTGCCCTTCGGGGCACTTCTCTCTTCGGCTTGACCGAAGGCAGAGAGCCCTAAAATACACAGTTGCTATTATCTCATTGGCTCACGGCTCTTTTACGTATTCAATGGCAGTAAATGTGGCTGCCCATTCGTAGAGAATGAACATGCTCGGGTAAAATGTTTCAGCTACAATAGGTTGAATTCGACTACGAGCGACCAAGAAAAGGCGAGGCTGAATGTCATTCTAACTGTAAGTAGATCAATCTATTAACATACCAGCATCGATTTGAAAACGGAAAACACAGATCTGTGTCACAGATATCAATATATTACGGTATAAAGTCTTCTAAAAGTAGCCTATCGGGCCCTAGTTGTCAATCATAAGATTATATGTTAGAAATATGTGAGATGGAGGAACTACTCAAGGCAATTTCACTATTGAAACAAATATACCACATACAGATCACTCAGACTTAAATTCAGGAACCCTATAGCTATCTATTACGAACATAACTGAATACTGCATCCAAGACGATCCCCAGCGTCCGATTCAGACTCAAGCTGCACAATCAATGTTTAACTGTCGCAGTGGTCTGTAATGTATTGTAAAAAACGAGGCGTGTACAATTTCTGTTCCAGGAGCCAGGAGCTTAATCAAGGCCCCCTTCCAGCATTTATTTCGGCATTTTTTCTTGTCGAAGCCCTTAGTCTCGAGGAGCTTGATAATTCGATTTCTTTGGGCACGTGTTCCATCAAAACCTCTTCGTTCAGGTGCGTACACGGTTTCAGAGGCGTGTACTATGCGCCACAAAGCGCATGCATGTAAACCTCCATTTGCAACATTACAACCAGATTCCAAAAGATACATAAGTATCCCTATAGTTCTGATTTTCTCCTGTATGTTATATCGTCCCAATGACCGTGGTATATCGCACTCACAACGCCGCAGTCTGCTTCCCTTTCCATCCTTGCTCCATGACTCACTAGTACCTTGACTGTTGGCAGACTACCATAGTGTGATGCCCAATATAGTAGCCCTCGTTTTCTAACGTATAGATTGACGTCGACCCCCTGGCGGAGAAGAAAATCCGCAATATTCGCAAAGCCATGCAGACATGCTTGATAACACGCTGTTTCGTACTGCTCTTTAATAACTTTGTCTGGGATAGGTCGCTTATGCAGTTCGTGGAGCATCATTTCAAGTGCACTTTTATTGCCAACATCAGCTGCACAGACGAAAGGTGAAGAAGTCTGGTTCTTACTGGCGACTATATTCGTTATCGTCGCTCCTTTCTCCAGCAGTACTTTGATCACATCGTGACGATCATCCTCTACGGCATACCATAGTGCGGTTCTATTAGAGTTGTCCTGGAAATCAATATTCACGTCCCCTTCGCTAACCAACATCGCCACCACCTCAACGTGACCGAAGAGGGCAGCGGCCAGGAGTGGATGGAACTTCATCTTCAAGACTTTTCTCTTTGCCGCGCTGATTGAAGAAACAAAATTGGTTCTTGATCGATGAAAATCTTCAGTATAGTCCTCAAATTCACTCATTGAGACTCCCGGTTTCCAAAATTTTGATATGGTATTCGCTTGCCCATGAGTGGCAGCGTATAGAAATTTGGATTTATATGCGCCGCGCAGAGTTTCAAAAGCTCGTTAGTATAACAGAGGGTCTAGCAAACTGAAGATAAATTTGCACGTCTTGGCTAAAACATTGATGTCTGTCACGTCCAATTTGTCACATATAAGATTATTTTCAACAGGAATATTTTCGAGAGCCATTTTGTTCGCTGAGGCGTCAATAAATCGGAAACCAGCCAAGTTGACTGTACGATCGTAAATGTTTCCAAAGTGAGCCGGTTTTCTTTCCAAAAGCGAATCGAAATTCGGGGGACTGTGAGAAATATAAGTATTCGGCTGGTATGTTTTCATAGTGACGCTTACTAGTAGGTACTTGCTGCCTAAATAGACCCAAGCTCTCCTCAAATGATGAGTAAACTGCATTGTCAACTTACCTAGTAGAAGCAAGTCACCCATGGATGCTCATATCCTTGACTTCCCATGATATATTTCACAAGCCTCCCAAAACAACCACAAACAGTGAATGGTCTAGGTATATATCCATAATGGGCTAAAGGTCGTATTGGGTGTATGGGTAGGAATAATAGATGCAGGTGGGTTCCAAATACACGTCCATCACTTCTGAGTTATCGAGCTCATACTTCTATTACCTAGGTATGGCTTTTACCTCCTCTGTCGACGTGCTACTTATATATGTAGATATATCTCATGTTTAGATGATACTGTTTACGTTTACGACTAGAAAGGCGAATGTTTCTGAATGTCAACTTTCATTCATCAAACAAGAAAGAGGAAGGGAAAAAAATTAAAAAAGAAAAAGAAGCAAATAAACAAAAACAAAAACCAACCAACTTAGTTGTCCTTCTTATCCTCACTTTCCTCCCCCTTCTTCTCCTCCCCCCTTCTCCGCTCCCTCCCCATCCAACTACTGTCACAAGTCCTCAATATTGCGCCTCTTCTTCTCCAACTCCTTCTCCTCTCGTTCAATGGCCGCCCGTAGGTGGGCCACCTCCGCCCTCTATCATACCAGAAAGCATACATTAGCCTCATGCACACGGTAGCAAAGTCGTAGGAACACGCGAATAATTCCAACTTACCTTGCCTTCAGTAATTTTCAGGTCCATTTTGGCCTGCTTCTTCTTCTCTTTCTTGGCCTTGGCCACGCGTTGTTTCCGCGGGCCGCCTCCCCCGACGTAGACATGAGCGCCAGCGCTCATAGTGATATTGAAATTCTAGCTTTATGTTAGCTCATGCTTCGATAGGGAGACTTAGGTTTGAGGTACTCACGGAAGATGCCATTGGTGGTTTCTGTAGCTTTTGACGTTCTCTTGTTAGTTGGCGTTCACTCTGATGAGGATCAGTAACTCACGGAGGTTTTAATGGGAGCCTTTTTTTTTTTTTCCCCCTTTTTTGGCAGCGAAGGAGGCGAAGTGTGTGATCTGCTTAAGGAGCAAATACAGGTGATTCTGGGGGGTCCTCCTGAGGTTTATATATACTGTGGATTTCGACGCTAGTGATGTAGTTGACAATGTCGACAATAGAGATAATGTGTTATTCAGGTGGGCACCCGTCAACCTTGAGGTACACTCATAATACTACAAGTAGGCTATTGTATGTGCAGAGCGTAGAAGGCTATAATAGAAGAACGGGGGCTTCGACTTCGTATAATGCAACTCCAAGATATGTAAAATCGTTGCACTTGGAAATCCCGACAGGTAGCCTACTGTTTATAGGAGTGCACCCGGTGCTACTATTGATCCTTGCCTCGCAACTTCGCAGTCAATAAAGGTTGCTAATACCTTCATCATTGAAATAGTCTTGTTCCCTCTCAATCGCTCACAATACAAAGACAATCAAAAAAGCCACCTAGCTGCCTTCACACCCATATTCTAGTTATGCAAACCCCCAACGAAATCAGACACATACAAATATGGCCATATAATGGTATAACACCCAATTGAATCCGCATAATCTGAACATCTTATTAATAATATGCATTTGTAGGCCACCTACCTATTTAAGATCTAAGTAGCTTTCTATCCCTCCAAATCACTCTTTCTTCTTAGGTAGTTCTCTTATACAAATAATTACAGGGTGCGGTCCAGATTTCTTATTTTCATTGTAATCAGATGGGTTGATGGCCCTAACAGACCAGTATGAAAAAAGACGTGTCGTGGTTGGACATACGCCGTGGCAACAAAGCATCCCCATTCGGCTATATACATACGGCCATATGCAATGCATCTTTCCCCCCGATTAAGAGTTGTATGCACCCAGGCATAATAATTATTTGAAGCCCACCTGCTTCAATTATGGCTTATATGCTTTTATCTGCAATTCGTTCTGTATGTATTACCTACATAAACCATTCCTAAATACATGAACGTAAATCTTTTTCGTAGGCTATGTATAGGCAGGCATGGCTCATCATACTCCGCCTATGTTCCAAACTCACCAGCAAGTCCAGGGAAGTACCTACCTAGGTAGGTTCGATTATACTCATTATCGTTGGGAACAAGGCAGATGATGAGTGAGCTATTCATTAAACTAGTTAGTTAGGTGTCTAGGTGGTATATAGTCTGCTTTCGGAGAAGAAGGGAGGGTATCCAAGATGTGTAATAGATGTTGCACTGTGGGATAACCATCCATCTATGTATACACTGGTATATACAAGGGGATAATACATAAAAATTGAATAGCATTGGGTATAATAAACACTATTTCTATATAGCATAAAACAAGCAAACAAATAATAGGTATATCACATCTACATACCGTACGTCGTATATTCAGAACGTCGTCAATGTACAGTGTACAAGTGCCGTACACATTGGGAATAAACAATGAACATGAGGGGGAATAGAAACGGAAAAAAAAAATTAGAAAAAGTCTATAAATGACCTCTTTTAATAGAGCCAAATCCCTTGACAAACACGTCATGGATGTCATGGGACTTCCGGCGTAATGGACCAGAGTTAGCAGCACTAGAGCCGTCGATAGCTGCTTCTTCGTCTTCAGCGTACTGACGGGCAGCAGGGCGGATGGTCGTCATGACTTCATCGCCGGGGTTACCACTCGTCTTGACTACTTCATGGTCATCGGCGATGTTCTCTCTCCGACGATTTAGATAATCATGAACCTCCTTTTCGCGAGCTGCTTGCTCAGCTTCGTCGCGCGCAATTTCCAGACTCGATTTCTTCTTGCCGTGGTCCCAGCCCTGCTGCAGTTCTGACGCAGCTGCCTCCTCAAAGCGGCGTTTGATGGCGGGATCTTTTTCTAGTTGTTGGAAGATGTCGACGTCCGTTGGGAAGCAGAATTGGCGGATCATAGTTACGGCAGTCTCGAACAATAACACAGATGCAATCATGAGCAGGAGAACAGTCCAGAAACTCAGGCTCCGCCCGATGCGAGTGAGGAAGTTGTCGTGCACATCATATATGCCCTTTCCACTTGTGCCGTCGTTGTACTCGGCGGAGAGGAAGATGTTCCAGAGGAACCATCCACCGATAGAAATAAAAAGTACGATGCCAGCTACTATGGTCTTGTAGTGGATCTCCAGGAACTGTAGCTTGAGGTTGATGATGCATATGCATGCAGTGAAGGTTAATAGGCCCAAGGGGAAAACCGAGTTGTCAGAGCCTATGAGCGAAACACCAAACAATCCGTACATGGTGAAAAAGACAATCACTGCCTCGATCGCTGCCATCACAGCCCAACCCAGATAAATCCGAATGTTGAAGCCCTGGTTGCGTTGTCCCTTGGTGTAGAGCTCAGGAACAGCCAACAACGTCGATGCTGAAAGGTCCTTCTCCAGAATACCCAGAAAGATGACCGGCAGAGATGTGAAAAGTGTATTAAACATACTCAACGACCAGCTCTCATACAAACTGGTGCCAGTGTACCCATTGCAATGCTGGTAAAGCGCCTGCGAAAGATAAAACAGTGTTTCCTTCCAGAACGTGCCCAGCGTATATTTGCAAATTCGGATATAATTCCAGCGGCCATGCACGAGAAGCAGCTTGAGTAAAAATCGGAATTGCGCAATCGAATAATCCGATATTCTTGCAGCCTGCAGCCCTTCTTTGCCAGTGATACCAATGCCGACGTGCGCCTCTTGGATCATGGCAATGTCATTGGCACCGTCACCGATTGCGAGCGTAATTGCGTTCAGGACGTGTTTGCGAACGGATTTGACCAAAAAGGCCTTTTGTTTGGGGCTGGCACGGCAGCAAATCACCGAGTCAACCAGAATGGCCAGTTTGAAAAACCGGCTCATCAACGCTTCGTCAGCTTCAACAATCGACAGCGTCTGGCCATCAATCACCATTACCGAATGGGCCAGTCGACCCTTGCGGATGTTGTTTATAGTTGAAACAATAGTCCGCTCGACATCGCCTGCTTCATGATCCAAGATGATGACCTCGGAGTACTCTTTCACCAAGCGACACGAGTGACCAATGTTGATGGCAGTCTCCCGCTTATCGCCAGTAAGCATCCAAAGCTTGATATTGGCCCGTCTTAGTTTATCAATTGCCTCTGGCACACCCTTTTGAAGTTTGTCCTCAATAGCAGTAGCCCCGACCAGCTCGAGCTGGGTTTCGATCTGTTCGCCTACTTTCTCAATCTTTTCTTGTCGATCTACCAAGCTCGTGGACGCTTCTTGGTACGCTTGTTTCCATTCCGCATAGGTCGATTCGTCTATGAAACGAGAAGCATACATCAGCGTACGCAAACCCTCCTTGGCGAAATCGTTCAAATGCTGGAAGCATCGCTCGAACACAGCCTGTTCGTCAACGACCAAGCTTTCTTCTACTAGATAGCCGTCGTCTTCCTCTTGGAAAGAAGGCCGTCCATCAGAGGATGCCATGGAGTTGCGATTTAGCTGAGCCGATGGCCGGGGACTGTAGAGCTCGCTGCCACTGTCTCTAGTTAGAATGCCGCCATCCGTCTCCCGGTCCCTAAGCCAGATATCGACACTGCGGCGCAATGAATCCTTCCCGGACAATCCACTAGGCCGTCTTCCTGACAGGCTTGGCCTTTGCATAGCCACCGGACTGTGCTGCTCACTATTCCGTCGCATGACCTCCAAGGCCTCCTCTGCTTTCCTCTCGGTGGCTCGCCTTTCGATCTGCACGGCCTTTTCTTGCGCTAATGACGCCTTTGAAAGAAGTTTCGTGATTGTAGAATCTGCACCTTTACAAAAAACACAGATCTGTTGGTCAGGCATGCGGACAATGACGGACATTCTCTTTCTGGAACTGGTGAACTCGATTACGTCCAAGACTTCGTAGACTTCGTCCGTTGGTTCCTCGTCGAAACCAGACGGGTATGTCCGGATGGTCAAAGTTCTGGGTTGTCGGTCCATCACTAAATATCCTAGCTGCTGTGCGGCAGTTACCAGTGCCAACTCATCAGGCGACGCAGCTTGGAATGAGATATTTCCAGCCTCGTCTTGCTCAGGAATACAAGTATGGCAGAGCGCCAGGGACAGGATGAAGAATTTGGCTTTGCGAGCAAATAATGTGTATGGTTTGCGTTGAATATAATCCAGCATCTGCATTGTGTTTCCCCCGTGGAAAGGCCTGCCATTCCTGATGGACCGAGCACGCGAGGGCTGTTGTTCAGCATACGCAGAAGCCATGGACATTCGCACGGACGATGCTCGATGTACGCTTTCGAGCCCAGATTTGCGGCGCATTGCTTTCTTCCCTTTGCCGCTGCGCTTCTTGTGCATGAGCCAGTGCTTGTCGCCTTCTCGGGCGGCTTCTTCGCGGAGGTCGTGATCGTGTATCCAAGCGGTACCAGCAACACTCAGCATACGGAAACGCATGGTGTTATTGGTTAACGTGCCCGTCTTGTCTGAGAATATATAGCTGACCTGACCCAGTTCTTCGTTGATGGTTGAGGTTCTCGCCTCGAGAGGGGTATCTGACTCCTCATCGTACATGTCAACATCATTGAGCAAAAGCATCTGGCCAACTTTGACGATCTCCATGCTCACATAAAGAGAGATGGGGATCATTGTGTTGAACATGATCAGAAACGAGGTGAAAACGGGCCCAATGGCAACACTCGCATCGGCAAGATACCATGCATTATCTTCGTAATTGCTGCTCCAAACACTGTACGCGATGGTGCAAATCATGGCAATTAGAAGAACGACGGCAACGATGAGTATGACAACATAGTTAACCACAGTCTGCAAAGCAGGTTTCTTGATACGCGGGTTCTTGTTGGCGTTCATGCGAATCTTACACTCTTCTCCGGTGTAAATGACCATCGCATAGACTTGTTGTGTGTTTCGCAGAATACTGCCTCGATAGAGGATTTCGTTGTTGGTAATCGGTAACACCTCGTTGTCAACAGTAACATTACCATCGAACTTGTACAGATCAAGATTAGGATCTTCCACTCTAAAGTAGAGAGAACGCTTCCGCTCAATGATGTCTTCAGGTGTGCTGCAGGCTTCGGCCACAGGTTGACAGGGCTGCTTGGTCTTGAGATTTGTCTCGCCATCCAGAGCCATCGTCTCAATATGCGCGATGCCGTTCTGCCCGTCCGCATGCAAAAGGACAGCATCAGCAGGCACAGGCTGGTCGCGCTCGAGCCGAATGACATCGCCAACCCGGACGTCACGCCACTTGATCGCGATCCAATCCCCTTGGTCATCCAAAGCAGGATGTGCATCTTTCGCAACGGACTTTTTCTCATGTTTGCGCCTGCCGTCGGGTCGCAAAACGTGCACGTAGCGGTTGTTTTCCTCCTTATCCAACCGATACCGACGAATATCATCAAAGCCTTCCTTGCCCATAGAGATACCCACGAAGATCAGCAGGGGGATAATTGTGGTGTACGTGCCCGTAGTACTGAGACCTGGTATCATTTGCAAGATGGCGACGACAAGAAAGTAAAAATTGGCGACCTTGGAGAACTGGGATAGGAGCTGCTTGGGGAAGAAACTCCACAAACTGTACCGACTCGAGCGGACCGAGTTATTGATATAAGCACCGCCAGACCTCTCGTCAATCAGCGCATCCACATCGATCACATTAAGTTCAATGTGGCGGCCGTCCTTTGTTGGCGGTAACGGTTTGATTCGGAAAACCTTCTCCTTGATTGCCACGTTCAATTGCTTGTAGTATTCATACGCTCTCGATTTGCTCGCGGTCGAAACCAGCCAATTCTGCCCAGCATTCCATGATGACGAAAAAGTATATTTCAGCGGCGCAGAATCAGAGTACGCCAGGGAAACTATATCATCCTGGGAATCCGTTCCCAGCGGTTTTATCGGGTGAATCTCCTCCGTGACGACGGGGACCTTCTCCTGCGTGCCGGAAAGCCCTGTAGACGGCTCCTGTGTCCGCAACTCGATACTCTGCTGCTGCTGCTGCTGCTGCTGCTCTTGTTGTTCAATCGCATCCTCGGCGGCGTGAGACTGGATATTCCTCGCAAACAAGGTTCGACGGAGCGAATACCCTCGATCTCGGGTGCGCGACTGCGGCGACGGCGGAGAAAGAGGGGAGTTTTTTCTAGTATTTCCCTCATTTGTTGGCGACACCACGCTGGGAAAGGTCTGAACGGCGGTATTGATGGTAAGTCTCTGTGCAGTCGGTGGGCGCTGCGGCGTTGCGGGAGCATGACTGATGGGCTGGACTCGGTCGACCTCGGACGAGAATCGCACTCTACCTGGAGCTGCTCTGGTGGGGATTGACGAGGCATCGACAGATCGTTGGGTGGGCAGAGTCGCTGATCGTCCAAGATGTAACTGGACTGTTGTCCCGTTATCAGATGCAGTCTCATTATGTCGTCTATCAGCTGGTTGCTGCTGCTGCTGCTGTTCGTCTTTGTCCGACATTTTTTTTTTCCAATTCCTCTTCCTTCTGTTAAAAAATCCACCCCAGGTTTCTTTCCTTCCTTCCTCCTTCCTAGTCGGCTGTCATGCAACGGGGTTATCTGTAATTCATAACGTCACGCAATGCGAAAAAATCGTAGCCAATTCGAATACTGAGAAGCAATGATCCTCGAAAATGAAATAAGACAACGTCAATCGTCTGATTGCTCTTGTTGTTGTGTATCCTGTTGTTTTGTATCCGGGCAAGTAACGTTGCAGCCTGAAGTGTGATTGATCACCGAATTTTTATTTACAGCGAAAAGAAAAGAGAGAAAAACATAAAATGCAATTTGGCAGCAAATAACTTCACCAAGGCCAGTGCCAAGGGAGACCCCCCAAAAAAAGGCACAGCACAGCACAGCCTTGTGCAGAACAGAGGGGGGAAAAAAAAAGAAAACAATGGTTGTTCGCAGACGCAAACGTGCAGGTTGTTGTTTGGATGCAGGCGGTGGGATTGGTTGGGAAGGAGGATTGCGCTGCTTGCGGCGGCTGCATCGTTCCTGCACTTTGGCCAAGGGTCAAGGTCAGGACAAGGCAGCGGCGTTCTGGCCGGCGACATGACGCTGCGGCACGCTGATTGGCTGCGCTGGCGGGTTGGGGGTCTAGGCGCTATGCTGGACGGGGCTAGCGTGTATGACTAAGAGGGGGGTCTTGTCTTATCTATATATAGATCTACAACTACGTGACGTATGATCTTCTGGAGAATGTGGCAAGAGTACAGCCTCAATACAATATGCTGCTGCCTTAAGCAGTGTACGTGGTTGTTGTATGATCATGCGAGTGGTAACGCTACACTATACAATCGTGGAAATCGATCGACATCATCCTTTGATTCGTAATCTTTTGATCCATCCCTCCATCCTATATCTGATCAGACCAGACCCACACTTGCAAAGAAAAGAAAAACTATCTAATACCGACGTGGAGGCGGGGGAGCCTGGCCGTATCCCTGCTGCGGCGGGTATGGAGGAGCCTGCTGGCCATATCCTCCATACTGCGGAGCCTGCTGACCATATCCCGGCTGAGATTGTTGCTGTTGACCGTACCCCGCGGGCGGTTGGCCGTATCCCTGCGGTTGTGCGCCGCCATAACCACCACCTTGTTGCGGGGGAGCCTGTCCGTAGCCGCCCTGGCCTTGACCGTATGGGGGCGCCTGGTTGTAGCCGCCGTATTGGCCGCCGCTTGCAGGTGGAGGTGGGGGAGGTCTTGCACTGCCGCTGGATTTTTCGTCTTTGGTATCGTAGGATGAATCAATGCCGCCGAGCATTACCTTGGCGACCTACAAGACATCAAGTTAGGCTTTGTCTTTCGAAGGGAAGGAAGTCAACATACCCAAAGCTCGCGTGTAAGATAAATAGGTGGGTTGGCGCGCGACATCTCGTCTTGCTCAACTTCGAAGCCTATAACCGGTTAGCACTATGACTTCTTGCTAGTATACGATAACCAAACATAGAAACGGGTATACCCACTCGAAGTACAATCAATCAGATTCCCAATAGAAGGATCCTCATCCATCTTCGACAAGAAATTGCGGGCATGCAAGTCTGTCCCGACCTGCGCAAACTGGAAAGCCACAGCGCCCTGCCCATAGCCTCTACGTTGCAGTTCATCGACCGTCGAGCGGATGGCATCGACAACGGCATTGTGCGGCTCGCCAGCCGGCTGGCCATCGGTGATTGTGATGACCAGGGCCGGCTTATCGAGTCGCCCGCTTCGCGCCTGTCCCAGAATCATCGGGTCCAAGACCTTGTTTTTCAGGCTGGTGCCCATGGGGGTGAGGCCAGAGAAGCGGACACGCGACACGAGGGCTTCGGCTTCTTCCTTGCTGCGGATGCTATCGCTGCGTTCGTCCGAGTTCATAAACCGAATGGCCACGCCGTCCGAGTCGAATTTCGCGGCTGCCGTGGCGATGAGGCTGAGGATCTGTTTCAGTTGGACCAGGCGAGTGCCGTCTTCTTCGAATTGGATGGAGCCGCTGTCGTCTACGTAGATGACGGTGTCGTATAGAGACAGTTTGATGACATCGATAGCCACCTCTTGCGGGACGTTCCATTCCTTGCACAGCTGCTGGATTTTGTCAGGGGCGGTTTCGAGATTGCGCACAACTGCCTCCAGCCTGTCCTGGGGGTAGAAGCGTTGGAGTTGGTTCTCCTGGATCGTTGCGATTAGGAGCTGTCTGTATGCCGAGAGTTCTTGAGGTGTCGCACGACGACCGGCGCCGGCGGGAGGACCGCCCGGGGGAGCCACCCCATAGCCCCCGCCATAAGGAGGCGCGCTGCTGGGGGGTGGCCCAGGTGGTGGCGCATAGTTTCCTGGAGGATGAGGAGGTCCTCCCTGGGGAGCGTACGCGCCGTAGCCGGAAGCCTGTCCGAGTCAGTATCCACAAGCACACACACCAAAAAAGCAACAAATCAACAAAAAAACTTAAAAAGTCAAATGTATCAAGGTAAACGAACGCCGGGGTTAGGATAGCTTGGTGCATAGGGCGGCTGCTGGCCTAGAGACTGGGGGGGCTGGCCATAGGACTGCTGCTGCTGGTATGGCTGCGGGGCACCACCACCATACTGCGGCGGGGCGACGGGCGGTCGCGAGTAGGCCTGCTGTTGGTGGCCGTATTGAGTGTATGGCTGTTGCTGGCTATATCCTTGAGCAGCAGGATACTGTTGTTGCTGTTGTTGTTGCTGCGGGGGGTGTGGACTCGCCGAGGCAGAGTATGAGGCTGGCGTTGGGTTGCTGCTGTAGGCGGGATAGGGCGGTTGCGGGGATGACGTAGGATGATACGAATACGGAGGCTGCTGGCCTGGATAGCCCGCCATGCTGAAGAAGAAGAAGAGGAAGAAGAAGATACAGAAATAGACAGATAATAAGAATACACAAGCAAGCAGGCAAAGCGAAAAACTCGACGGCGGGGGGGGGAATCGAGAAAATGAAGAGTGCAGGAGAGAAAAAAACGCAGAGTCTTGTGAGTAATACAATTGATAAATATTAAAATCTGCTAACGTACCGGGCCGGCTGGCTGGGTGGAGGATGCCTGTGGCTGAGACGGGCGATATGCCTGGTACTGTGTCTGCTGCTGCTGCTGTTGCTGTCCGGGCTGCGACCATCAGCATCACTCATTATGTGTTTGTTATCCATACAGCTCATTCATGCAGACACAACGTACATATTGAGATCCGCCTTGTGCTGCTGGAGGAGGACCGCCCGTGTATCCAGCTGGAGGAGCCCCCGAGTATGCGCCTTGGGCAGCAGGCTGCGCGCCCGCTGGCGGTTGACTGGCGGCGAGTTTGGAAGCGAACTGGTCGTTAATTGTCAGGTTATATGCTCATGCTCAACGTCAGAGAAAGCAGCCAAAGAAAGCAAGGGGAAAGAATAGGGATGAGATATATATATATGCATGCATCCACGGTAACTAGTTACGTAGCGGGGTAGAGGTAGGTAGTCAAACACTAAAAGTTAGTGTCAACAAATAGATACTCACACCCATGGTTGTCTTTCTCCTGTTGAGTTGTCCCCGTCAGATCCAAGCGGTGTGCGATAGGTAGGTAGATGTGTTGATGGTGGCAGAGGATGCAAAGGAGTTTATATTTAGAATGTATAAAAGATGCACGCATTGACCCCAACTGTGGCTGGTGGGGGGGAGGGGTAAGTAAAGTGTTACTCCCTCCTACTGCTGCATACAAATTAAATTACAACCTTGGAAGCTGGGAGTCAAGAAGTACAGTCATACTTGATACTATTCTAATTCTTCAATCTGATAATCACCGTTTACCCTTCTTCTTGGAGGCCGCCGTCTTTTGCTGCGGCTGCGGCTGCTGTGGCTTGGCCGAGACATCTTCACTGACAATCCCTCCCTGGGTCCTCTCCGCCGCTCGCTGCTTCCCCTTCTTGCCCTTGGGTCGATACGAAGACCGATCGCGCAGCGGGAGCCATCGCTCGGCATCGGGCGTCTTGCTGGCATCGTAGTCCTTGGGGAGACGCGACTTGCGTATCCGCTTCTTCGCACGCGCGTGTTGCTGCTCCTTGGAAGCGCGCTTTCTGGCGCCAGCAATGGCTGCTGCGTTGGCCGCGAGGCTGGCCTGTGATTGAGGGACACCCGCGCTTTCGAGCGCTGCTGCGTCGATATCGGATACTAGATCTTGGGATCGTGGTAGGATGTCTAGTTCTTTCTTGACTTTCTCTAAATCACTGGTGGCGTAAGAGGCCACATACCCCGCTAGCGCGAACTTATCGCCCGGGTTGTTGTTTCGTAGCGTGCTGAACAGACCCTGAGAAATAGCCAGGTCGGCTGGGTCGGAGGAGTGGAGAAGGGAAGCTGCTGCGGCGCGAAGAAGAGAAGGCGGTTGTTGAGTCTGTTGACGCCAGAAGAGGGCTGCCTTGGCCAGCTCCGACTTGATGTGCGACTTGCGTCCTTCGCGTTGATAAAGCGCAATCAGAACACTGAGTAGTCCCGGGTTATAGCGCACCTCTTGGTCGGCCTCGGAGATGGATTCTTCGAGAGATCGTAGACTGCTTTCGAGAACGTCAATGGCGGATGTTGTATTTCCTTCTCCAACGATGAGTTGCACAATCGTCAAGACCAGGCCAATATCCTTGGGGCGTCGATCGAGTAGCGACCGTAGCTCCTGGATAGACTTGCGGTTCGTCTGGCCGCGCACTCGGGCTGCAGCATTGTAGATGGACAGCAGGTTGTCATTTGGTTCGGTCGATGGGTACGGTCGTTGCGCCAATGCTTTGGTGGTTGACCGGATGACGCCGTCGTATTTTTGAACCTCGAGGTCCAGAGCATGTGAATTGGCCTCGAGGGCTTCCGACTGGAATTTGAAAAATTGGTCGTTACCTTCAGGCTCCGGAGCGTCATGGAATGTCTTGTAAAGTATGTATGGGTTGGTGTTCAAATGCTGCGTGATGAGGATATTATTCTGGGCGATTCTCTTGACAGAGATTTCCGGAATGCTAAATCAATCAGTAAGAAGAAAAGAATGGTCTTGCACTAAAAGAAGTACTCACTCATCAACCGAGATCTCTTTCACTAACTCCTCAGCCTCTTCTGTCTTTCCCTGGCTGATGAGTGCGTATAATTGCTGAATGTTGATTGGTAGTAATTCGCTTTCTTTCAGATCTTCTGGCAGATCTTCAGCTGTCTTGCATAACTCTATCAACATAGTCATCAGCATTTGGCCCTACAAGCGGGAAAAATTTAGTCCGAGATGGAAGCATACCCTTCGCCCGCCTAAGCAGGATCTCGCCCTGTTTCAGGTCGCCGCGAGCGAGACTCGCGCAAGCCACATTGTAGCAAGTTTCGAAAGTTTCCAGATCCTCTCTTTCAGGCTTTCTAGCTCGAGCAGAGTCTCTCTCTCTCTGCCACAGTCGCTGTGCCTCTGAAGCCCAGCTGTTGATGCGCAAGTCGTTATACTCGTTGCCCAGCGCGCGCGGGCTCTCAAACAAACCCTGGTATATGGTAGCTGCATTCGCGAAATCCTCGGCACGATAACTCTAGAAAAATGTCAGGAAAAAAAAAAAACCATTTTCCGTCCAATTCTCCTGACAGGATAGATCATACAGCTTGAGCCTGAACATGCAGAGCACCCCGTCGCTCATCATCCTCCGATGCCGATGCAGCAGCATACTTGGCCACCTCCACAGCCTCCCTTAACTGGCCACGTTTATACAGAGCATACGAATACCCCAACGACGCCTTGCGTTTCATATCATCTCCGTATTCGTCGAGCGCGCGCAACGCATCCTCGTAGCGATCGAGTCTGAGCAAGGCCACAACTTTGGTGTGTTGGGCATGCAAGTCAGTTTTGGACCTTTTCAGTGCTTCATTGCAGACCCTGAGGACTGTTTCGTCGTCCTCAATTGAGATTTGTTTCAGCAAAGAGCGAATGTTCTGCGCGTTGCCGGCCGGCATTTTCGCTTTCTCTCTTTTTGTTTGTAGGTAACTTCGGGGAAGGATTTCGAGGAATGAATATGTAGCGGGGTATAACGATCGACCACAGTTGCTGGATGGCGGCGATGGTTTATTCCATGTTCTTGATTTCTGTTGACCACTGTAGCGTAAAACACGAAGCTGAGCTATCAGCTTGCGACGAATTGGGCGTTGGAGTGACAGCTGGTGCACTCGTTCTCGAAGCTTGTGCGGAAGCGTGGTTTCCTGTGGATCAGATGGATGCCTCAGGCTGGAGCTTACATAAGATTCATAACGCTTGATGAATCAATAAACAGCAGCATTTAGATGCATTATACCTACATTGTAGGTAGGAAATATATATATTATGATTGATAAAATTAGCGTCATCTAGCATATATAGCACATACACAAGTAAGTCCACCACTGCGCCAACGATCTAAACTTCGCCATTCCACTACACAACCCCCTGAATCGCAAACCACATCTGTCCAAAGACCATGGTTTCCAGTAACATCCCAATACCAAAATGCATGGACTACGACGATCTCGCATGGGAGAAATGCGACAGTCTTTTCGAGCCCTGGAAGGACAAAATATTCGATCAAAAAGTTCTCCGCGAGATTGGAGCAACAATAGACAAGCACCGGGGAGGAGTCCCCGATGAGCTGTTTGCGCCTAAACGAGGAGCGTTCAATACCTGGCTTCGAACGTAATTCAAGGACAAGGGCTCAGCGGTGCTTCAGTTTTTCCAGAAGAAAAAGTCAAGTGTGAAATAGCTGTGATGCGGTTTCTTGAATGCTTCACTAGTATCCGTGTACCTCATGTCCTACATTATGGGATGACCGAGGACAGTCCTTGCGGTTTAGGGCCGTTTATTATCATGGAATATATCAACCATGACTATGGCTTTATCAACGCTCTAAACATACCGGGTCGTTCGCGGCAAGATAGACCAGGTCTATCATGAACCCGGACCTTTCACTGCAAAGACTCGAGCTGGTTTGCGGTCAAATGGCAGATGTTTTACTACAGCTGTCTCGCCACAATTTCTCGCAAATCGGCTGTATTTCCAAAGCCAATGAGGACGATGAATTCGACGATGAATGGGTGGTCAAGCACCGCCCGCTTACATTCAACATGAATGAATTGCTTCAATTAGGAGGCTTTCCAGCAACATCCCTCCCGCAGCAACCATTCCCAGCCGCGTCATCATATTAGGAATCACTCGCAGAAATGCATATGTTGTCCTCTCAGCGACACGACGCCATCGAATCTGCCGAGGACTGCCGTCAGCAGTACATTGCAAGGTGTCTCTTCGGCAAGATCACACGCGAATACCAGCTTTGTGGGGACCATGATGCCCGCGGGTCCCTTCAAGCTCTTTTGCGACGACTTTCGCCCGGGAAACGTGCTCGCAAATGCACCAGTTTCAGATGGCGGGGCCACTGGACTGGGTATTCACCTATGCTGCACCGACGGGGTTCGCGTATAGCCCGCCATACTGGCTTATTCTCGAGCTCCCGGAATACTGGGCCAAAGGGCTGGACGACTGGATAGAACAGTACGAGAAAGTCCTACCAGTCTTCCTGACGGTAATGAAGAAGAGAGAGCAGGCTCTCAAGGAAAGCGATCGGCTGTCAGACCATATGCTCAAGAGCTGGGAAACGGGCGACTTCTGGCTGAACTATGCAGCTCGGAAAAGCTGGGCGTTCGATATGATATCCTGGGCAAAGATTGACCGCAGGTTCTTTGGGCATGGAAATCTGGACGATCGAGTGCAGCTGCTTACGCTAAGCGAGATGGACGCAATGGAGGGTTTCGTTGAGAGGAAGCTGAGGGCGAAGGAGGAGCGTAGGCTCTGACCGTCATTGGGCGGCGTGTTCGGCTAGTGTTTTCTGCCGTCGTATCCATGGCTCGTTCCCTTCTCAGATCGCCCTGAGACTAGGTCGCGCCGTAGCAGAGGCCAAAAGTAATCTTCTCATCCAGATTTTATGTCCTATTTCCATCCCGAAAACTCCTTTAAGTCCGAATGAACTAATAAATCTGGTACAGAGAGAAGAGCAGGAGAAACCTTCGTGGCCGTTCCCGGCCCGAGACAGGCAGCTCGGGCGGGAGGCGAACGGAACGCTGAGGGGGAGACTGCACGGCGGGGTATAAGCAAAGGTATAAAGCGCGGCTCTGGGCCCGGCGTTATTATCACGCAACTTCACAATCCAGTGTCTCTGCATATTTGATCCATATACATATATCTGGAGCAATCGCTTTATACCTATAATCATGTCGACTGCCCCCAGCTGCTGCACTCGCACCCCCATTGGGGCCACCGAGGCTGTCCCCGTCGAGAAGATTGCCAGCCTTGATACCTGTGAGTTTTTTTTTTTTTTTTCCTCTCTGAGCGAGTCCCCCTGGAAGATGGCTCTGACCGGATTCTCCAGACGTCACAGGAAACAAGTCCTCCAAGTCCGGTATCATCCTGGTCTACGACATCTTCGGCTTCTACCCACAGACTCTCCTCGGTGCCGACAAGCTCGCCGAACAGACTGGCGCCGTCACCTTCGTCCCGGATCTGTTGGACAAGGTCTACGCGGAGCAGTCATGGATTCCCCCCGACACCGACGAGAAGAAGGCTGCGTTCGGCGCTTTCTTCACCAACACTGCTGCCCCTCCTCTAGCCCTGCCCAAGCTCAAGGCTTGGTTGGCCGAGGCCAAGACCAAATATCCTACCGTTGAGAAATGGGGTATTGCTGGTCTTTGCTGGGGTGGAAAGGTATGTCGATGTGTTATTCCATATGTCAGATCTTCATTCATTCTAATCTTTTGAAATAGCTTGCTGTCCTTCTTTCGACCGAGGGAACTGAGTTTGCTGTCTCCGGCCAGGTTCACCCTGGGTAAGTTTTCATGCCGGTTGTCTATCAAGAAGAGAAAAATAACAAATCGATTAGTCTCTACGATGTTGCCGACGCCAAAGCCGCCGTCATCCCTCACATTTGCCTTGCCTCTAAGGACGAAAGCGCCGAAGTGACCGCTGGCTACCAGGCCGTTTTCGCCGAGGGCTCTCTCGGTTCTCGTGCCGACACTTACCCAACCATGCACCACGGCTGGATGGGAGCGCGCGCAGACCTTGAGGACGCCGAGAACAAGAAGGAGTATGAACGAGGGTGAGTTGCGATTATCATCCTGACAATCAAAAGCAAATTGTATGCTGACATGATTTTCTTCACAGATACAAGGAGATCGCAGACTTCTTTGCTAAGTACCTGTGAGATATTAATGTTACCCATGAGATGAGTTGAAGCTTATTCTCTGGTGCTCGGCAGATATGCTGGAAGCATTAGGAGCGCTCTGTGAATAGCACATGCATTATACCATAAATAAAATGCTTTTTCATTTGTTCATAGCTACGGCGTATAAAATAAATATTATTTATCATTTATTAACTTAACCCAAATATGCTTAGCTCCGTACTATATATGCGTGGTATTATCAACCCTAACCTAACCCTAACGACACGTCAGATTCACAACCAACATCGCCACAATACTGGAGCGTAATCTTACTCGTACGGAAAAAGTGCCGCTGATCGCCCGTCTTTCCTGTCCATAGCCATACCCAAATCCTGGGCCATTATCCATGGGTCACAACGTCAACGTAATCGGGGCTGCATTGCTACGCTGACAGGCGGACATGCAGTTGCTTTCGCACAAGAGACGCGAATAGCTGAAAGACGAGCGAATTATCCTGTAAACAGTGAGGAAAATCTAGTTTTTCTTCATTTATACCGTATTCATATTTTAATGAGTCGAACTCTTCATCCAAAAAGTAAAAACATGGAATAAGAGTAACGTGATTGGAGTAACGTGATCCGCGCTGATTGGCTGGCCAGGCCCGGCCGGTTTCAGCCACCTTCGCCGTCTGTCTGGCTGGATCCCCTGAACTAACTCACTATTGCTGCATCATAATATCCTGTGCTCTTGCATCCTCGTGCCGGAGTACGGAGTACCTATTCTTCTCTTCGCTTCGCTGTCGACAATCTGTTTCTCCCGCTCGTTCGTCCACCTATGTTTTGTCGCTGCTAAGTAACTCCTTGCGGTCCCTATCGCCCGCCGACACTCGTTTGCATCGCTTTTCATCGATCCCTGAGCCGGACTTCTGAAAACTACAATCCTCAACGACTCACGACACAACTTTGAATGAGCCATTGAATTTCCCCGTCATGGCCATTGCCAAAGATGCCTTGTTCGTGGGCTCCGCCACGCGACAGAGGAAGCGATTTCGTTTGATCGTAATATTGGCCGTCACCGCTGCCTTTTTCTTCTTCTCCTACAACTTTAGACACCGTGTACAATTCATCCCCTCGATCTCCAGCTATGACACCGGCTCCACGACCAAAATCCCTTCAACCCAGTTAACGCCGGCCGCGGGGACATGCAATGTCGATGTCGGCGTCATTGAGAGATACGGATTGGGCGGGGATGTCAAATACAGCCGACGCGAGATTTTTGTCGAAATTACCGACCAGGAGAGAACCCCGATTACCACGGACATGGAATTGGATCTTTTCGATGCCGAGCCCATGACCTTGGTCTCCAACGGAGCCACTACGAGCAACTGCTCGGAGCCGATCACGGTCAAGGTGCCGCCCTCACTGCCTTTCCGGGATGCGTCGCATCTCGACTTCGCGATCTCCACGAATATGGAGCGATTGATGGACTCGATGGATGCATTTTCAGTCTGGGCGGGATACACCAATACCCGGTTTCTGGTCTTTATTGAGCCTGGCGCAGATCAGCGAAAAGCGCAGCGCAAGGCTAAGAGCTTGGGCTTGAATATTGAGCTTTTTGAGTCTACGGTCGACTACGAGAACCGTTACTCGTTACTTGTGAAGCTGCTGGCTGATAACGCTCGTCCGCAGACAAGGTGGTTCTGTATCATGGACGACGACACATTCTTCTTGTCGATGCCCCGGCTGTTGCAGATGCTGGATAAATACGACGACACTCAGCCGCATTATATTGGTACCGTGACTGAAAGTGACAGCCAACTCTCGATGTTCGGCATCTTTGCTTACGGCGGAGCGGGAATGTTCTTTTCGCGACCTCTCATGGATGAGCTTGGCCGGATCTGGGACGAATGCGACGCGGGGACAGACCACGGAGACGGCAAAATTGCTCACTGCGTTTACCAGTACTCGCACACAAAGCTTGAAATGGAAAATGGACTTAACCAATTGGATCTGATGAACGATGCCTCGGGCTGGTTCGAAGCGGCGCGCAGCATTCCCGTTTCTCTCCACCACTGGAAGTCATGGTTCATGGCTGACGTTGTCAAGATGACAGCCGTTCGCGAAGTTTGCGGTACAAACTGTGTGCTCCGCCAGTGGAGATTTGCCGATGGCTGGGTTTTGACGAATGGTTATTCGGTGATTCATCACGGAGCGAGTATATCAGATGAATATGGCGCATTTGCCATGGAAAAAACATGGGACGACCTGAATGGCTCGACGGATGAATCGTTTGTGCGCACACTCGGTCCGCTACGTTCGAAAGAAGACGACAAGATTTCGTTCCGTCTTGAGGACGTGATTTTGGAAGGCGGCCAGGTCCGACAGATTTATATCCGCCGTGTTGAAGGGGGGGATCAAGTTCTTGAGCTTGTTTGGCGATTGAACTGATTTACACCCTCTCCGCTGCCATCATCATCATCCTCCTCCTCCTCATCATCATCAACATCGTACAATCATAATGACAATCCCCATAGACCTGATATCGTTTGCACATTATCCCCGCATTCCTCCCGCACTATCTGCTCGATTGAGTACGAAAGGCATGACCATTCTCTCTCCCACCAAACACACCAATAGCTAATCCTGTCTTGTATATCGTGTTTATTGTTTCGCATATATGGATTGGGTCGGATCAGATTCTTGGTTTTATTGCAGTCTTTTTTTTTTTGCCCCTTTAATTCTTACCTATGCGTGAAGACAGAAAAAGAACCGCGCAAATCAAACTGCGATAACTCGTTTCGTCAAAGGAAGGTTAGTTTACTTGTTGTATATATATTTTATTTATTATTCATCGCTCTTTGTCTTGCTCTCTTCTTGTGTTATGTTTTAGCAAGTCAATAGGTAGGTAGGGTTTAGAATGTATGGATTTTTGCTACTGCGTTTTACCTTTTGGTTTACTCCCTGAGTATCTTCTTCCATAAGCTCATAACCTCATTTCGTCTTCATACCATGGTGAGAACTGGCCGCAAGGGGGAAGCACAAAAATCCGGGGAAATTCGACCATAAAGAGAAAAAGAGGACAGTATATGATAGTGTGCAGTATACTTCATATAATACCTAATGCTTCTCCAGGCACTACCTCGTTTTATTTCCATGTTCTTAGCAATCTGCAGATAAATATCTTCAAATATAGCAAAGCATGGTGTAGTAAATTCAATTAGAACGGACAATATCAAAAACACGCCTGCCATCAAGACGAAGCCTGCGGTGCATCCGATACTGCATCATGGAACGAATCCCCCCATAAGTCGCGAATGCAGTTTTCAACTGCCTCCCACCGACGAATCAAATATGCTTCGCGCTAAGCTGCAGGCTCCTGGTATAATGATTTTCTCGCATTTCTTCGTCAGCATAACCAATGGGCCTTTCAATTGTGTCCGCTCGCAAAGCGTCCGGCGGTGTCCCGCAACGTCGACACGGAAATGCAACCAAGAACAGATATCCTTACTTCGCCGGCTTGAAAAGAAGTGTTGGACATACTGCAGTGCATGCTGGAAGCTCCACGCTCGGCCTGCGTGGCGAATCAATCGAACAAGACCGGTGAATGAGCCTTACCGGGGGCCCTTATCAGCATCGGCATATAGGACTCCGGGGGACGGGTTCTGTCTAGACTATACTAGTTGATAAATATTATAGTGAACGAAGACTATAATACCAAGAAACTCATCATCTAGTAAAGCTCACCGGAAGGGTTGTTACTGGTCAATGACAGACAGCAGACAGGTAGACAGCTTCCTGGCATCTATGGAGAGGGAAAAAAAAAGATACGAGCAGGGGAAAAGAAAGAACAAGCCAATGAAGCGATTGATCATGCTCATGATTATAGATACGGCAGACTCGTATAGTTTTGTCCCATAATGCAACATTGCAGCCTGAGGGGTGCTTTGTTAGGGCAAAGCCAGGTGCCCCGCGGAGACTTGCTTCACATGCTATGATTAACTACAGGGAGAAATCCGTCTACTTCGATGCAATGATGTACCAATCGACCGACATGAAATTCGAATGGAGTTTTGACTTGGTACTTTAGTATTTATCAGATTTGTCTTCTTGTATGAGACGACTGTGAGTACATATGGAATATGTGATCGCCTCATGAGCGATTTTCCTGCATACAATTACATGCAGGGCTACATACCGGTATTTACCTGACAAGTTGACATGCTGTTTGCTCTCCCGCAGGCTGTCAGTATTATTGACCAGGACCTTGGACTTAATCGGAGTTTTGCTCAAAGAAAGAAGGGAAAAATAACGCACCTCCTAACTAGTAGTAGTTATATTCATTGAGATCGATGTGTGCAATCAACTTCCATGGTTTTTCATGCGAACCGTGCGTGCCACTAATGCAGCTCTTTTCTTTTGGAAGAGGAGGGGAGGAGCTTTGATATTTGTAATTGCATGTGAAAAATTTAAGGTGCTGTTGTTTAATTTTAAATAATATATCTGGAGTGTTGGTTACGCGTCATTTTGAGTTGACTGCCGAGAATTTGTAGGCTGGTTACATGTGAAAGGATTTCTCTGGTTGAAATGAAATAAAACTGCTGTATGTATATGTAGGTCATTTCTTATACCGTTGAGGGGCAACGGAAGGGCAACAGAAGTATTTAGGGCTTCGCAGGATTCCAAGGCTAACTACCTTCGAATCAGGGATTGCGCCTTGTCAATGGCAACTTTCCCACTCGGCTCATAAAGTACGCAAAAGACCCGATTGCTATGGCTCCAACCCGATGAGTGAAGATATACAAAAACATGATGATTCGTCACCATGGACCCCAGAATCTCTACCAGGGCCACTACCCAGGTAGCTAGCTATATATTAATGTGTTCTAGTAAGTGCTTACGCTTGGCAGTATAGTCGTAGCATTGGCAAGAATTCATACTTCTCGTATCGTGAGCTAGCGGTTCCTGCAGGAGTATTCTGGTCTTTTCCATATGCTTGAAGGTTGTAGGACTTCCATCGGAGATGCGCGGGCCGGCTCATCAGACTCGAATGATATCGACTCGTAAAATGCCGATAATATGCTTGTCGATATGATTTCGGGTTGGCGTCGTATCTAGATGCGATGGCACCTCATGCAGAATGCTTCAAACAGAACCAGAGGAGAGAAAGACAGGCTTTCGAAACGCAACAATTTGACGTAGATAATGATCGTCGTGCGAATGCAACGTTCGTGCTGGGACGTTTCTTTTCCTTTCATCTCGTAGTCTAGCTATGTATATAGACCAGCTGTTAATGTGGATTAATATGGTTGGAAATGCGGAGTATACCGGCACCTGAAATGCAATTACGGCTAACAACGGCCTGACCTGGCTACAGAAATACACCGGATGCCCAAAACGGCGGTTTTCCTAGGGACTGCGTGCTCCGTACGGAGTAATCCGTGCCATCTAGCTACATAGCTAGTCATAAACCAAGAAGCTAGTGATAGTATCTGCAGTAGTGCCGCTAACGATGCGGAATCTGGAGTAATCAGGCCCCCGCATACCTAAGTGCAAAACATGGTCAACGTCACTAATTCTCCGTGCGTGCGTATGAATCAAGATGAAAATCGTATGCGAGTATCCACCTGGTTGAGATGCGCTGTGCGAAGTTTAAATGTAAGCACCAGTCTTATTTGGCTCTGCGATTGCCTTTAAAGACTAGACAGACCGCGATGGGTATGTATCTACGGACGAGGTTGGCGTCTGCAGAGATATATGCCGATCAATATTCCTTCTGGACGAGACCTTTCATGATATTCAGATCCTATCCACACCTATCATCGCTATGGATAGTACTTCTTCCTCTCCCCCCCACGCCAAACAGACTCTAAAGCAGGCCTGCGACAACTGTCGCCGACGAAAGATCAAATGCAATCGCGCCCAGCCCTGCGACAAGTGTCAACGCCTGCTCTTGTCCTGCTCTTACTGCGATGTACTGCAAAGAAAGGGGCCCAAGTTTCGCACCTTGTACCCCCTCGCACCGCTGCAGTATCCGACTACGGATCAGGCCAACCCGTCCGAGTCGATAGTTGCAGGTTAGTTTCTTCTCGGTCTTCTTTGTCATGACCATTCTCACTTCGGTGTTTGCTTATTACCCTCCGGGGAAACTCTGATAGTGGATGGAGGCTGGGCCGCTCCCATCGTACCGTGGAATAACATCAGCAATGGACAGTCATATGAGTCCTACTCGTCACCGGATTCCATGGACTCACAGTATGAGCTTCCAAACCCTAGCAGCTGTCATATGTCTCTGCGTGCGCAGCAGCAGCCCGGGCGTCTTTCATCCACGGCTCTGCTGGCTCACGTGAATATCTACCTGAAGTATCTGTATCCGATTATGCCGGTGCTCAACCCTGAGCATGCGCTGAACGACAGCCAGGATCCCGAAAGACTCGGTGCGGAGCGATATGCATTCCTAACTGCGCTGTGCGCTGCGACCCATGTGCAACTTCAATTGGACGAGGTCATTGACTCGGCTTTTTCCTCCTCCTCGCTATCGTATTCGGGGATAGGGCTGCTGACTGAAGCCACGAATGCAAGAGGGAAATGTAATAATGTATGCGAGCATGTCTCCGTGCAGTCCCTGCTAACGTCGTTCTTCCTTTTTGCTGCTTGTGGGAATCTGGACCAGCATGATCAGGCATGGTTTTATCTCAGTCAAGCTACGTCTATGGCGCATACGCTTGGCTTGCATCGAGAGTCTACTTATGCAGAGTTTGGGCCTGCTGAGGCCGAGGAACGGAGGAGGGTGTTTTGGCTGTTGTTTGTGACTGAACGGTACATTCTGTTCTGCCTTATGCTTGACTGTGTATATCATTCACTAACATCCCATAGGGCATACGCCCTGCAACAATCCAAACCCATAATGCTTCGAAACTCCATCCGCAAACCCCAAATCCTCCCCATCGACGACCCAATTATGCAATATGCATTCCACAACCTGATCGACATCTTCCAAAGACTCACAGCCGAGCTCTACGACTGGATAGTAATCGAATGCGACGAGAACTTCGTATCGTCAGCCATGCCGCAGCGAAATACTACCTTGAAATTACGCGACATTCACCAGCGGAGTCTCCTCCATCACCAAAACGTTAGTATACGCAGACCCGCCATCCCGATTGAGAGCGTCATGGAGATTCAGACGTTGGACGCCGCGGCTACGCAGCAGTGGCTGCGGGTTATGCTTTGGAAGCTTTCGATGAGCGACTTGTCGCAGCCCACGAGTACCGATGCATTGCTCCCCTTTCATCTGCCTGTGCTGGTGGGTAAGACGGTGATGGATGTGCTCCAGGGGTCGACGGCATTGCATAGGGGGGCAGTCGATGTAATATTCCTCCTGATCCTGATATTTGTATCGTGATATGATATGTGAGCTGATCAAGGGCAGCAGGAGCAAAAGCAAAGACTCTTTGCTGAAATTTCTGACCTTAAAGTGCAGGAATTCCTACTGGATATCCTTAATATCCTTAGTCGCATTCGCCTTGGTGGTATCGGGTGCTCTATGTCCCTGGAACAAGCGCAGCAGATTTGCGTCTCGTCGCCTTCGCCGCCTCTTTTGTCGTCGTCCAATCAGTTCTTGTAGCAGTAGTACCACTTAATGGAGAAACGAAAAGTGCTGTTTTAATAGTAATATCTTAATGAATATAGCAATGGCTGCTGTATGTACGTCAATGGGATTAGGATGGATGGGCTGCTGGTGTCTTGGAAATTTGGATAAGGAATGGATTATGGATTTATTTAAATACCCAGGTAATGTCAGTTCTGATCATAGCAAACCTAGAAGGAATAATCAATTTTCGGTAGAACTGCCAGGCTATTTACATCCAGTGTACCTAGGTAGTGATCTACTGCCACTCATCGTTGATACAAGCCGTGCTCACACCACAGTCACTCGGCACCGTAAACACTCTATTCGGATCATCCTCCCACGTAACTGTGCCATCATTCTCCTTGAAAAACTTATACTCCAGACTTTCGCCTGCTGGAAGCGTCAGCGTGACATACCACAAATTGTAGGCAGACCTGTAGTCCGCCGCGCTGAGCAATATCGCATCAGTCGTCGACCAACTGCTGAGCGCCGTGATGTTACCCGTCAAATAAACGTTTTCGCCAAAGGTGGTGGTCACGATCTCCTGGAATGTCACGGCCACCTCTGTGGGCGCCGTGCACGAGGGCCGTGTGCTGCTAACAGGCGCCGTGGGCCAGGCAGTGTTTGTCGCTGATGTGTAGCTACCTGTGGCCGAGGTTGCGGAGCATGTAGATGGGACGGTGTTCCCATTGCTCGATCCCCATGACCCCCCTACAGTGGACGACCGGCGCGCAGCTGCGGTGAGCAGTGCGGCGTACGACCAGGTCAACGCGGAGGCGGATAGGGGTGCGCCATTATCGCGCTGGAATTGCTCGGTGAGCGTGCCATCGCTGGGCGTGTATTCCTCGACGATGCTCATGTATCCGTCTGCGTACGTCTGCACGGCGGACACGATGTCGGTGAATGTCGTTGAGTCGGAGCTGTATGTACCCGTAGCCGCGGATGGGTAGATGGCCTGGAAGAAGGCCAGACTGGTGGATGTGATGTCGATGGAACCAATCTTTTTCCATTGATAGATGGCATCGTACAGCTGTTCTGCTGCCGCGGTGGTAGCCAAGTACCACGGATTTCCGCCTTGGTATACGTCCTCCGGATACCGGCCCACAGCAACTGCAGAGCCTGCGCTGATATTGGCGTTGAGCGAGAACACATCGCGGAATGAGTCCGTGACACCCTTGTGGTTGGCTAGAGCCTTGTCCGAGCAGGGCTGGAAAGTTGCGTCGTCGCAAGTGCTCGCGTCTGGGTCGAAGGTATGAATAACGCCGAGGAGTGAGTTGGCATCGTATCCGGAGCGGCCATTGTTGGCGAAGTTGGATAGGATGTAGGAGCCTGTCCAGTAGGATTGGAGGAAGCAGAGTATTTGGGGAGCCTGGGAAACGCAGTTTGCGCATGACTCGCCGATGGATTCAGCGAAGGCGTTGCCCTCGACTAAAGCCCGGTGTTGCACTGCGGTGGTGAAAAAGGATGATCCTAGGGTTTCCTCCCAGAGGTCTGTAAAGAATTAGCTAGATATGTAACAAAAAAAAAAAGAAGGGAAAGAACGTGCCCTACCGTATGTGGTATCATTCCAGTACTGAGAAACATATGCCAAATCATTTTTCACAATCGGCCATATGATATCGCGGGCAGTCGAATTATCGCCATTGCTCTTTACAAATCGTTAACAATGCCTCCCAAGTATACCGCTCAGTCATTCTTACAATAAGATAATTAGCATACGTGATCATCGCCGTCGCTCTCAACGCCGGTCCATCACGCTGCGGTCGACCCCAAGAGCCTGTGAAAGCGGTCTCATCGACATTGAACTTCGGCTCGCCGAGTCCAGAGCCATCGGAAAAATCCCCAGACGGATTTGAGACCCCCTGGATCACGGATTGGGCATTAATATACTCTTTGATGATGGACTCAAGGTCGGAATCGGTGCCGGTGACGAATATGTCAGCCAGGCATTTCAGGGTGAGGGCCGAATCCCGGGTCCAGGTGTACCAGTCTTATTTTGATTGTTGTTATTAGTTAAGTTGTTCCTCGACGGTAAGTGTATTGCACAGAGAAGAAGAAAAAAAGACTTACAGTCCGGGTCTACTTTGCTAGGGCTCGCGATGACAAGGCCCTCGATCACTCCCTCGGTAAAAGCACCACTCGCGCCGATGTTATCGAGCACTCCGTCAAGCGCAACGGAGGTTTCAGAGGTTAGCCATGTATCCAAAGAGCCTGTCGCGCGAGGCACAAGCTCAAATGCCGCTGCTGCCTGGCCTACAGCCAGCAGATTCAACGCGGCCAGAATAGCCCGAGTCATTCGTTCTGATGCGCAATGAGAATAACAAACAAAATACGCAAGAACAGTGTGATCATAAGGAATCAGCAGGAGAAAAGGCTCAAAGCGGGGTTTGTTGGATAAATATATAAATAAATAAATAAGTGATCAGGCACTCGGCCGTGCGAATGACAATCTAGCTAGGAACATGCTACTTACATAGTACAGCTCCGACGATCATATGCATATCCAACTGCTACCTCATACGCCACCGACGATGCGTGTTTTAGCACATTGGATTTGGCCATTGTCCAGTGAGACTGTCCAGGTGCTGGCTAGTTCAATGCGCCTTGCATACTGCAGCCTGTGATTTATCCCGGCTTTGCTCCTCCGCTGCAGAAAGGAGAGTCGCTGTCTAGTATTTACCCCACAGCAAGATGCAACTTAGTCGAGGCTTGATTCCGCCTGACGTCGTATTCGGCTTCAATCTACAAGGTTGTTGGTTTTACTGGACAGCAAGTGGCCCGACATTCTTCCGAGGTATGAGTGCGCGTGGCGGTGAAATCAAAGTCATTTGAAGACGGTGCTATCAAAATTGGAAGGTCATTGGTCTGGGACAAGAAGCATCCCATATCAGTTTGTCATGCTATAGCGAATGGGCAGGATTTCATTGCAAAAAAGGTGGTCAGTAAGCAGCAAATACCACTATTTCTATTACTATAGCTACAACCACTAAGAAAAGTAGCAGTGCAAGTAGAAAAAGAGAGCATTCACGGACGGATGTGTACAAGCGATAATACCTTCACGACATTTTAAGGAAAAAAATCATCGTCTATCTAAAAGACCACAAAGATTTCTTCCCGATGAGAGGGCCACGGATTAATCCTCCAGTACTGGTCGAACTGGTACTTGTTCTGTTGCCATTGCTTGCTGCCGCCGAAGTCACACAACCAGTCAGACCTGAAGGTAAGTGGATTAGCTTCAGAGTGAGAAAATAAAAAGTAAAGTAAAAATCCCGGCCTGAACTCACTGCACGCAGCGCTACTACCCTCCAGTGAGTTGCCATTCTGGCTTGCTTGGCCGGATCCAACCGAGCCCAGATATCCGTTGGCATTTGAAACTGAGCTGGACCCAAGATGGTTTCCATCTCCATCATCGCTATCCAGTTCGAGCCATCCATCTTCAATAGGAGATATATCGCCGAGGTCAAGGTCTTTCGCGTCGATGCCGAGAGGCGTTGTGATGTCCTGGCGGGCTGAAATGGAGCTTGGAATGAGTGGGAGCCCATTTGTCCAAATGATGACGCTCATACCGATTAGCATAGCGAAGGTGTGGGAACGCATTGTTGCTCCGATGGTGTCAAATCTGATGTGAATATATCTTTCTGTCTGGGTATGACGATGGTTTAACGAGAGTTCAAAAAAAAAAAATCAAGGAGATTAGCAGCCTATTGTACTTCTATGCACATATCATAGGGTGCTAACAGGCCAGCCCCCAAACCTTCAATGTAGTCACTGGAAGCCCAAGAATTGATCAGGAAACATACCTGATTAATATTTAATCTCCACCGTGAAACCGTAATAATGAAACGAGACTAGAGTTGTCATAGATCTGGATTGGGACATGGTGCTTCACGATTGGCTCAATGGAATGAAGCAGGTCATATTCTACTTTGGAGACTCAGTCGACTGTGTCTCGGCCAAAGTGTCATCAGTCATATTGAGTTTAACCTAAGCCGACTGATCATCATCAGACAGAGGCTTGAGATCGGTTAGTTCAACTAACCAAGAGAAACTCCGAGAACCTGTGAATCTTCAACCATCGGTTGAGACCAAAAGCTATTCCTGCGTATAGCCAATAGCCACGAAGCAGCACCAGGCCTGTCCACATAATCTACGCTTCGTATATTTGGCTAAAGAAAAGAAGGAAAACAAAGAAAGAGCAACACCCTAGAGACAAAAGAAAAATATAAATCTGTTCACTACTATATAGCCAAGGATAGGTATATTATGCGGGGTATTTGAAACTCCAAAATAGAATTTTTATACTCCGTACCCAGGTAGTGCAGTGTATTTTCCGGTCATCAGTCTTGTGTCCCGAGCAACGATTCGGCGAGGTCTATTCCGTTCGGAGACAGAAAATTAACTATCTCTGATATTGGCGGGTTCTGATGGGGGAGGCAGAGCAACAGCAACTCTGCTGGCATTAATCAATAGTGCGTCATTGAGAAGTAACTAGTTAGTTAATATGAAATATTGCTTACATATTTCAGTGAACATCTAGTTACGGGATCGACATACGAGGTGTACCGAATCATGTAGACAGCCAAGAATTAAATCAGACATAGATTGAAATGCAAACAAAACTGAGAGACACACTTCGTAGGAATAACGAAGGTTCAGCACAGCCACACGTTGAAAAACCTGACAAGATGCATGTGCCCGCGGGCATACAGCAGTTTCGGCGTATACTAATAGTACTTCGTGGTATACGATGGAGGACCGGAAAGATGCAAAACTATTGATATTGGCAAGCAATGTAACCTCTTGGTATCCTCAACCCGTCACGATACCCTGATATGACCACCTGGTATGATCCTTGATGAATACGAAGATGTGGGTAGCTACTAGGGAAGAAAAAAGATGTATATAAGGGACGAACAGTCTTGTTGAAGATTGCTTGTGTTTTTTTCTTCAACCTTCCGGGCTGATTCTACTCTTAAGGCACTCTATAAAGTCGCCGGGTTTGTACTTGAAGATATTCATGAGCGCTATGGCTATTACCATAACATTTGGTCCTAATGGCCATTATCACGTCAATAAGGGTACAGGAGATGAACAGGGTCCTGATTTCCACTTCTTGCCTATTTCTGGGTCAACAAAGCTTCGTCGCATGCTAAATGAAACGAATGAATTGATTGTTTGTCCCGGTGTCTATGACGGTCTGTCAGCACGTATTGCCATGCAGCTTGACTTCAAAGCGCTTTACATGGTGGGTTCTACTATCCCACTCTATTGTAAATATACCATTAATCAAGTATTACATCGCAGACCGGTGCAGGTACTACGGCATCACGATTAGGAATGGCTGACCTCGGTCTCGCTCAACTGCACGATATGAAAACGAATGCGGAAATGATTGCTAACCTCGATCCTAACGGTCCGCCGTTGATTGCTGATATGGATACTGGATATGGAGGTATGTATTGCATCACCCACCGGAAAATTACAAGCTAATCACAATCCAAAAGGACCTCTCATGGTGGCCAAATCCGTACAACAATACATCCAAGCCGGCGTGGCTGGATTCCACATTGAAGATCAAATGCTCAGTAAGCGATGCGGGCATCTAGCCGGAAAGAAGGTTGTTAGCCAGGAAGAATACCTCACGCGGCTTCGTGCTGCCAAATTTACCAAGGACCGACTTCAGTCAGACATTGTTCTCATTGCTCGGACCGATGCACTGCAACAACACGGATATGAAGAGTGTATCAATCGACTTAAAGCGGCGCGCGACCTTGGTGCTGACGTTGGCCTACTGGAAGGATTCACATCAAAGGAGCAGGCCCGTCAAGCCGTCCAAGATCTAGCCCCCTGGCCGCTTTTGTTGAACATGGTGGAAAATGGTGCTGGTCCTGTAATCACGACACATGAAGCTAAGGCGATGGGGTTTCGGATTATGATCTTCTCTTTCGCCTCATTGGCACCGGCTTACATCGGCATCAAATCTGCTTTGGAGAGACTCAAAACCGAAGGTGTGGTAGGCACGCCTGAGGGTCTCAGTCCTAGGAAGCTGTTTGAGGTCTGTGGCCTGTCGGATTCAATGAAAATCGACGCTGATGCCGGGGGACTCGCCTTCACCAATGGAGTGTAATGTCATCACTACCTGTATCTAATGTTCATATATGTTCGATGTTCTTGATTTCAATAGGATTTTATAGATTCAATATATAGGTCAAGTAAGATTTGCAATTAAAAAACGAGGGGTCATCATGTTTAATGAATATTTAGGTTCAAAGTAATAGGGCTACCTATTGCAGCCTTGCATCCAGCAGTGCTTATTGCACAAATGCACGTAATGTCAATATGCTACTTTTTTCCCCCGAATCGAGCATGAGTCATAACGCACAAGAATCCCGACTCTGAGTAAAGAAGGGATTGCTAATAAAGTCTTGCTTGTTGTTCAACCGGTCATGCTGAAGAGAAGTACAAAACCTAGGGGGACACTTAGATTAGCTAGGTAGTTCAAATACCGTGTACCTCTAGTGTTTCATTATCAAAGACCTCGAGAGTGCTATACTGTCTTCGAAAATCTCTACTTCGCTCGTAAATACGTGAGTCTTGTCCTAGTACGCCAATACAGCATGTAATCCGCTATGTACTGCATACCTTTTTGAAAGTGGGTGGCGCAGCCTTTCGATCACTGGGTAAAAACCACAATGACAAAGGCCGGAGAAAACTGTCCGTCCGTCCTCCACAAATCTGATACTCATTGCCAATTTTTAAACTATGCTCGAAATGAGAGCCACGTACAAACGAACACCATGCCGTTAGATCCCAGCATTTACACGGTCGTATGGTTTGCCCCGCCGTCTGCCTTCTCGACCGTAAACACCATGGCTGTTTCTTGCTCGGTCCTGGCTACGACTATGCACGAGTGCTGCTGCAGCGCTCGCGAGTCAGGTCAAGGCATTCTTTCCCAACTTGCAGCTGGGGTCTGTTGGTGGGAGTTGCAGCAGGCTTTCCGTATTGGTCGCCGTAGCGATGGTGGTCGTGGTCGTGATTTATTGCGCGACATTCGACTTGGGGATGTTTTGGTTGCTCAAGTTCAACGAAGCAAAACCAATTCCCTGTATCGGCGATATGTGGCTGTTCCTGGTTCTCCAGCTTGGCTCGATCCTTGTTGTCGTAACTTGGAAATTGGGCGAACAGAGGCGCTGGAGAAGCGGATTGCGAACCGGCTGATGCAGTCAAGTCGAAACACTTTCTTTTCTTGGAATCCATTCTGGCGTCTTCGGCGTAGTGTGTATATGCATAAAAATAACGCTTGGGATGAAAAATTTGGTAAAGAACCAGTACATAGTTTGGAGAGCGTGCCGTTTATCTCCGTCACGATGCTGTACTCCTAGAACTAGATAGATCTTGTTCGGTACATGAGCCCATAAACCATGTGTAGTCTCACATGTGTAGTCTCACATGTGCAGTCTTGCTCACCATTTTATTTGATATCGGATACATTAGATAGGAGAGAGAGACAGTATGGACAATATTAACAAAACTAGCCTATAAACTCAACTTCTGCTAAATTCCGACGGACTAGTAGGCGCTATGATTGATGAGAGCACATTTGAGGTACTTTTCGAAGCTTGGAAACCAGCAGCACATAGTGACCAGTCATCAATGCACACTATCGCTGGGCTTCTTGTCGTCCCCAGCAGCGACGTAGGCATACGAAATAAATCACTAGCTAGCTCTTTTTCCAGACCCTAAATACACATCTATATTTAAAGAAATAAGATTACTAAACTTCTACTGGTTGACTGCCGGCTAAATACTAGTAGTACTTCACTTATAAAATAAGCTGACAGCGGATTATGACGCATGTAATCCACCATGTTAGGCCGTGATACATGTATTTTACGGGCGTATCAAAATCTGCGTATGCGCAATACCCTAGGCTGAAAGTTACACGAGCCGGGATGATTCCGGATCTAGCCATATATAGACTAGGAAATCCTTAGCCCTGTTTCAGATGAAAGAGAAGAGAGTGTTCATTGTTATTCTGAAGGTGCAAACTGCTGTATCAATCTTTCGAGATATAACGGCTTGACGACATGCTCCAATAGTTATTTCAAGACTTTATCTCTTTTTATAGATCATGATCCCACAAACCGTGCCTGGCGTGCTGGATGAAAGTGGCTTGGGGCCAATCAAAGATGAACGAACCACCTCTCTCACAGATGCACACCTCACACGTATAGATATTCGTTGACCCGCCAGGTTTAGGAGTCAATGGCGAAGCAGCCCCCAAAAGATATTTCCGGTGAATCTTGTCAAGGTGCTGTACAAAGATGTACAAACACTATGGATAGATTAAGGAAAGAGTTGGGGAAAATTCAAGATGGTAACAGCTCCAGTGGATTTCAGCTTCATGCCAGATTTCAGTGGGAGAGAGTCAAATATCCACTCAAGGAGAGCACAATCCTTAAGTTGCGTGATATCCTCCAGGAAACAAAATCAGATTTAATTCTCTTATTGGCTGCCTTGCAATTGTGAGTTGTTACTTTCGAGTAAAAAAATTCAAGGAATGCTCATTAAAATGAATTCATTAGTGAATCTTCTATTAATGCCAGCCATCAGCGGGCTAACCTCTCTGATAAGATGGATGAACTGTCGTTAAATATGGTCAATATTAGTACACAAATGGCAGATTTCCAAGAATGGAAAAATGATTGGTCACATACCTCAGCTTACAAAGTCACCACTTCTTCCTAACATCACCTCTTCTAGATATAGAACACAAAAGTATCCTCGACTGGATTTGTAAAATCGACCCATCAATAAAACACAGCACTATAAATACAAAGAGAGAGCCCGGCACATGCAATTGGCTATTTCGAAAAATCGAATTTCAGAAATGGAAGACGCAAGGATCGATATTGTGGATTAGAGGCGCGGGTTAGTATCTTATTTTCTTTCACTACTTCATCAACAAAGCCTTTGCGGGTTTCAAAGGGTGTTTAATAACAAAAGTACTAGTGGGCTGCGGGAAATCGGTTATCTGGTGAGTTCCAAAATCACTTTAGATTCGCACTACAGTTTCTGATCTACTATTTAGTTCTGCAGCGGTCGAACATATGAAAGCTTTATTGCACAACTACACCGAAGACTTTACTTTTATACTTTTATTTCTCCTTCGCTGATCGGTCCAAGCACAACAGCGCTATATGCTTATCATCACTATTGCGTCAGCTCTGTGTAGACACGAGCATAATGGCCATGGCAGAAAAATTGCACAAGAGATTCCATAAAGACAAAAATCCTGAAGGCATGGATTTCAACGATGTCCAGATATATCTCCAGGCGGCAATTGCAGAGTTAAAGGGGAAGAAGGAAGTATATGTTCTAATGGATGCCCTTGACGAGTTACCAGATGATCGAGAAGGGTTACAGAGGGCACAGATGCTAAAGTGGATAACGGAAACTTCAAATCGAGAAACACACGTTCACATCTTATTCACTAGTCGAATGGGCTCCAGTTGTATGGATATTGAAGCAGCCATGAAATCACAATCTCGACTGTTCCAGGTTTCGATTGACACGATGACAAACCGCGATGACATACGGCTATATATCGAAGGGCAATTTCGGGCTAATAATAACTTGAACAAGCTGAAAAATCTTGCTCAAGTGAACATTATTGAGAGACTTATTGGGAAGTCGGATGGAATGTTAGGTCTCTAGATTAGTCTACAAGGCCTAGACTGGTTACTTGAAGCACGAAATCAGATTCCGGCTACTGACAATGGAGAACTAGGTTCCAATGGGTTAGCTGCCAGCTTGATGAGCTGAAAGATCTCCAAATTGCGAGATCAAAGGATGTTGAGGAAGTTCTAAACTCGATGCCACGTACTTTAGATGAATGTTACATGAGGATCTTACAAGGAGTCAACAGTCGACTCCAAACTGAGATCATCAAGGCGTTACACTGGATATCGCTTTCATTTCAGCCCCTTAGTCTCGAGGAGGTGAATGAGGCATGCATAATCGACTCAACTAGGTCACCTGCTATCAAAAAAGAAGATCAGTTCAGCGGAGAGGGGATTGCGACCCTTCTATCAAGTTTCGTGAGTCGAATTGGTGATGGAAAAAAACACCTGTCTCTATCCCATTTCTCGGTCAAGGAGTTTTTCAAGTCAAGCACAATCCAAGACAGTGAATACTCCAAGTATGGATTCTACGAGAGTGGTGCCCATGCTTCCATCGCCGAAAGTTGTATTGCCTATATTTATTATTACAGTTCTTGTCCGATGCGTCTGGGCACGCAAAGCGACTTGGAATACTTTCCTCTTCTATTTTACGCATGTCGATATTGGTTTGAACACCTAAGGCTTGCTGAAGAAGAGCAGGAAAGGCTCGCTCCTTTCGTGATCAAATTTCTTACCTCTTGGGAAGTATATCGCAATGCCTTGAGAATATACAATCCACTTTATCCAGAGAAGCTGTTTCCTTGCAAAATTCCCACTTTAGCTTCTCCCCTTGGTTGGGCGGCTGCTCTTGGACTCGAGTTTCTCGCCGAGCGGCTTTTGGAAGAAGATTCGAAAAGCATTGATGCGATCCAGGACATACGGTACTTTACACAGAAACATGAGGAAACTGCTGGACTCGCAACACATCCGTCGATCGAGTTCATGTGTGAACTGTGTGGTGGCGAAGAGATGCCAGGAATTGTGGTTACACAATATGCAAATCCTATCCGAGGAACAGCCCTTATGAAAGCTGTTGCTCACGGCCATGAAAATCTCGCCCGGCTACTGATTGAAAACGGAGCAAACGTCCATGTTCAGGAAAAGGGCTATGCAATGAACATCGAGAGTGCTTTATCCATTGCGTGTGGTAAAGGGAACGAAAACATGGTGCGTATCCTATTGCAGGGTGGCGCTGATCCAAACGAAAATTGCGGAGGTGAATCTGCCTTGAAACGGGCTATACGTGCACAGAGCAAGAGTATTTGCGAGATCTTGCTAGAAAAGAAAGCTCACGTCAATGAAAGCGAGTCAGCTCAATACTCTCCCCTGATGACTGCAGCATTAATGGGAGATTCAGATCTATGCAATTTGCTCTTAAATAACGGAGCCGATATCAATTGGAAAATAGAGGAAGAAGCAGAGGGTCTGATTGACGCACTCTCTATTGCGACGAGAAATGGCAGTGTTGAACTGGTGGATTTATTTCTTTCTCGGGGTAGTCAAATTCGTCCTGAAGCTTTGTTTGGATCATTATCTGCGATAAACATGATGGAAGATTTGCCAAGCGACGCATCGAGGTATAACAGGGTCTGTGAATTGCTCATTAATGGCGGGGCAGATCTCAACCCTGTCTCAGAAGCTTTCGATACCCCCCTTGCGATGGCTCTCCACATTGAGTGGTATGATATTGCCAAGTTGATGCTCTCGAAAGGCGCACAAGTGCATCCCGATGATAGCAGTTGTCTTACTGCAGGTAACACACTGGTAGCAGCGGTTAAAAGCCTCGATATGACACGGGAAATTCTTGATATGGGTGTTGATGTCAATGCGCAAGTTGCTTTCGTGGAGCCATTTGCTGAAGGGTACGATTACGACTATCGACACTTTTCAAGTGCCCTGCAAGCGGCTGCCTTTCATCATAATCGTGATGTCGTTAAATTGCTGCTGAATAGAAATGCCGATCCTGGAATCACTGGCCCGCCTTATGGCAGTGCATTGTACGCGGTGGTCGGACGAATAGTGTCGGATCAATTTGTGTCGAGCGGTGACCTTTCAGTAGCTCAGCAGATATGTGAAATGTTGCTTGCAAAGGGAGCAGAATGGGATAGAAAATATGGCCCAGAAGATGAAGAACGGATGGCTGAGTGTATGCTTGGATATCGAGGTCTCACTGAATGGCAGAAGGGCAGCATTCCGTTGAATGCACCGCTTCAGCTCGCCAATGGAGGAAATACATGGTTTCAGATTGTTAGTTGACGTTGAGATTCTATGTTTCTTCCTCCATGCCGACAAAACCTCTATTGAACAGACACACTCGTATTAAAAAGAGTCCCTCAAGCTTCTACTAATTCAAACTGAAGAATTTATCGGACTAAATATAACTGGAGTTTACACGTTAATGGATACACATTTCATCAATGTGCCCCACTGTGGTAAAAGTACAGTATCATCAAGTATTTGTAAGATGATTTTTAACGGTCCACAGTACCAATGGTACTGTATAAAATGGAAGTCATAAGCAACTTAGAGCCTAGCTAGAGTTTATAAACGGTGATGCGCAATATGTGGTTTTCCAAAATCGAGCTCCAACTTGAAGCTATCTGCAACTGTCACAAGCGATCTTATGTCCGGTAATCATAATACTTCAGAATATTATCTCTCACAGTGCAATTGATCTTCGGGATTTCTGGATACTGTTTTTGATACTGGTATGTGATCCACAAGGATCTCTCCTTCTAGCGGCTCGTAGAATTGTTCCAGTAGCGAAAGACTTCTAACCTTACTACAATGTGGCGGGCTTTGAATATGGCAAATTGCTGGGGTCTTTGGAATTCATGGAAATTGTATGTTCTGGTGAATAATATCTGGTACATTTGGATTGTCGTTGCTCACGAAAACGGGAGGACGATTGATTGCCTTGAGATAAAACGAGATTTGGGATAGGCTGCGAGATCTGCTATCGATGTTCTCTGGGATTATGGAGACAAAAAAGAGTAGTGACATGAATGAGAAATTCGGAAAGTCGTGAGGTTTGCATGTTTGAAAAAGGGGGGGAAAGCTTTGGGAGTGAACTCGGGGAATTTTCAACACAACTAGATAGAACTCTTCCAGAACATTCAGACAGGTACTTTTTCTTTATTTACACAATCATATATCTAACAAACTCTCCTCTCGTCCCCATATAGTTATTTTATGTAATTAGCGCTTGTGAAGGAACAAATTTTAGTGCACTCCTGAATTGTAGCAGCTATCCCTATGCATAACCAGATTCCATCTGACCCTAGCTTCTAAGTCTCCAATTCTAGTTCAATGAAAGGTTGATATCATTATTTTATAATTATCTCGATCATCAATTTGTTACTTAACTTGAACACTCTATCTACAAAGTGGATATTAGGTTTGGGGTTTATTGCTTGCTGAATATTTTCAAGTGTAACTGCTGAAGCGTACTGAACAATCCTTCGAAGTACATGCATCATATTCTCATTAGTATTTATGCGTCTCCTGCTTGACTTGTTCATTGAACAACAAATTCATATTTCCACCTAGGCCAAACATTGACAGTCCCTGCTACCTTCAAATATACTAGACCAATCAATGCACCACGGCTATGGAGGATTTGCTGAAGTCGTCATTATTGACTCTCAGAATAATATACTCATCAATGGCATGTTCAAAGGCTAAAAAGAAATAAGTAAAGCAGAAATAACTGCAACAAGAGTCACCGTCAACCTAGGAACTCCTCCTATCGTACCAAATATAATGCGAGCGCTTAACCATAAGCTACAGTTCATTGTAGGATACGCCCTAGCTGTACCGACGTAGGTAGGTACATAGCATTTATACCCCTTTTTGTACCCCTATTTCAAGGTTAACTGAGCTCGTCATTTTCAATACATTAATTCGTTGGGGAAGTTTTTGAGTGAAAACAAAAGGAAGTAGTGAATGTCAAAGCTGGCACTTGAAATCCGAGACCTCCTCGTGACATTCAAGAAAAATTGATATGATCTACATAAAAACATTAAAGCAGAACGCCACCAAGCATACTCAATCATTTTGCAGCACATAGCTACTATACACGGTTCTGTCGGCAGATGCATTGCAACACTAACTAAGATTAGTCGTAAATGTGAAACGACGGATGATGCGAAGCCCTAAAATGACCCGCTTTGGGAAGTTTTGAATCCTGCCCACTGCCCAGACGTTGCAATCAATCTGGTTCAAGTAGCGTACTTCGTATAGAAGGTTATTTGCGCCTTCTAGAAGCTTGGGTTTGTGGGAGTATGTATACCTGGAAACGAGTATATAAGAAATGGCCCTGCTCTCTAAACTGCGGTCCTTTCCATGCTAGTTACTAGCCGACTGAGCCATTCGTTTTAATCAACAAAAGCCGATATGAAATTTTCACTCGCTGCAATCGCTGCTATTGCAAGTCTTTTGGCGCCGGTGGTCAAAGCTGCAACGCCGGATGACTGGCGCTCGCGCTCCATCTATTTCCTTCTTACGGACAGGTTCGCTCGGACGGATAATTCGACGACAGCAACTTGTGAAACGCTCTATGGTGTATGCTCCAAGTATGTTGTTGTTGTTAAATCAAAAACTATTGACTGACGAATGCTGTATAACTGCATAGGACTACTGTGGAGGATCATGGCAGGGTATCATCAACAAGGTAACCAGCCCTACCACCTGCAGGCAACCACAAATCAAGATGTGAGTACTGACACAATTGTACAGCTGGACTATATTCAGGATATGGGATTCACGGCGATCTGGATATCCCCCGTGACCGAGCAATTGCCCCAATCAACTGCGGATGGAGAGGCCTACCACGGATACTGGCAACAGGACATGTTAGTCTCCTTCTTCTTGTCCCTAAACTTTCAACTGATGTAGGTGAAAGCTACGCTCTCAATTCAAACTTCGGTACGGCCGAGGATTTGCAGAATCTGGCTACGGCTCTGCATGATCGCGGAATGTATCTGATGGTTGATGTCGTTGCAAACCATTTTGTAAGACCCAGAACTGATGGTATAGTTTGAAATAAACTAAACAACTAATGATAGACGTAGGGCTATGCCGGCGCGGGTGACGACGTGGATTATGCCATCTTCAATCCGTTCAACAGCGAAAGCTATTTCCATCCGTTCTGCTTGATCACTGACTACTCCAACGAAACCATGGTCGAGGAGTGCTGGGAAGGTGACAATATCGTCTCACTTCCTGACCTTGATACAGAGAGCACCGCAGTTCAGAATATCTGGTATAACTGGATTCCAGAATTGGTTGCTAACTACTCCAGTAAGTCTCACCCGTTCATATGACAATGAGGACGAGGCCACGGCTAATGGGAACTATGAGCCAGTCGACGGCCTACGACTCGATTCGGTAATGGAAGTTCAAAAGGACTTCTGGCCAGACTGGAACAGCGCATCAGGCGTCTACTGTGTCGGCGAAGTAGACGACGGAGACCCTACATTCACCTGCCCCTACCAGAAGTATCTTGACGGTGTCCTCAACTACCCAACCTACTTCCCGCTCGTACGCGCCTTTGAGAGCAGCAGCGGGAGCATCTCCGAACTATATGATATGATCAACGAAGTGAAATCTGACTGCGTGGACTCTAATCTGCTAGGCTCGTTTTCAGAGAACCACGACAATCCACGCTTTGCGAGTTACACTTCGGACTTCTCGCTGGCCAAGAATGCGCTTGCTTTCACTATTTTGTCGGATGGTATCCCTATTATCTATGCCGGTCAGGAACAGCATTACGACGGTGGAAACAATCCGTACAATCGCGAGGCAACCTGGTTGAGTGGCTATGACACTTCTGCAGAGCTCTATACGTTTATTGCTGTGTTGAACCAGATTCGGAATTATGCTATTCAGTGGGATAATGGGTATACGACTTATAAGACTTACCCGATCTACCAGGATGACAATAATCTTGCTATTCGCAAAGGCAGCGATGAGAGCCAAATTATAACTGTGCTTTCAAACGTAGGCACAGACGCTGATTCATATAGCTTGACAATCTCCGGGACGGGCTATACTGCTGGAGAAGTACTCACAGATTTGATCTCCTGCACTAATGTCACTGTTGATGACAGCGGGGATGTCTCTGTGACAATGACAGGCGGACTGCCGAGTGTGCTGTATCCGACTTATAAATTGGTCTACGACGGACATCCTTGCTAGAGTCGTCATTCATGCCTAGATTTGAACTCAAGTGGTATCTCTAGTACTTAGGTGAAGCTGGATATAAGTATACCTCACTTGAGATGAGCAATCAAAGGCAACCGGTTATTATCAACCATATAGACAGTACGGTATTAATAGATTTGACTCCATATTTCTATAAACACTTTCATTACCTGTAAAGTGGCCTGGGTAAATTGTTATATTACTGGCGAATTTGAAAATGTGGCTACGCAGCGAACACGCGAGAGAGAGAAAATGTGAAAAATCATAAATGCAAGAGAGTAAGGTATATCACAAAATAATACCCATTGGAGGACTTTTTTTCAGAGAGAATGTATAGTGCATATAAAAAATTCGATAGTTGAAGCTAGGTAAACTGCCTAATGTCTGACATAAAAAGTAGCAACAGTCTTGATCATAAAGTAGATCAGGACGAAAATAGTAGGTCCGTAGGTTGCCACAGTAACACAAAGCGAGATACATACAAAAACTAGTCTTAGCAATTGGTTTTGGACATTATGTACTGAGTTGGGCCAACGCATAAAATGGGCTATCCAGGTAATGATGTTAGCAAACCTGACATTGCACCTAGCAAAGGGAGCATTAATTACCTAATCGCTCTGATCTAGATGCAAACTGCACCATTCTTTAACAACTGACATTCTCCAAGTAGTACCATTGGTATCGATCAGAGGCAAGCGGGTTATCATCCACATGCGAGCTGGACGATGCACCTGGGTAAAGCGTAGCAGTTGTCGAAGGTCCCACGGCAGTTGCAGTGCCCGTCAAATCCAGGTCATTGATACCATTGATGCACCCTTCCCAGCTCTCGCCGTTCAAGGTGAGGGTTCCACAGCCACCGGAACAATCTACCTCTGCGAAAGCATCCGCACGGTCATTGTATAGGTCTGGACTGTCGCTTGTGAATGCTTGGAATAAGCAAGAAACAGAGTTGCTTCCGCCGAAGTTGACGGTGGATTGGCTGTTGCTGATGACAAAGGTACACGCGGTAATGAGGCCGGCGTTGGCAATGAGGGCAACTAGAATGTTTCGATACATGTTGATTGATTCCTTTCGTTTTCAGCAAGTTAGCCTAGTAGAATAATGTCAAGTATACTGTATCAGAACTTGAAATAAGAGACTCGCCGAGTAGATTATTGGATAGTCTGCTGAGGCCTTTAGGAATGAACGAGGAATGGCAAGTAGAAACTTACATTGCGTGAAGACAGGCCTTTCTTATACCCAGTCCATAGTCAAATCCGACTAGTAGTTAGATTATTCATCCAAGTACATGTAGTTACCTGGTTTAGGGTATACTGTATACATCATATGCGGAGTACGGGGTTCATCTCCGCAAATCCCCCAAACATTGGGGCCGTTGCTGACTCTGGGGACTGTTGATCTGGACATCACGAAGGAAATACTTCAATCTTTGACTGGGAGACATTTTCAGAAATGCCGCGTCTAGATGAATATGAAGTCATATCTGACTCAGAAAGAGCTGCCCCCGCAGCCTGTGCGTTTCATATGGGCTTATGATTTGAGGCATCTTTACACAAGAAAATGAGTTTGGATTTGTCCATGTCAGCACTAATATAATCATGGCCTTGGAGCTTAGAGTAATGATCTTCGGCCAAGAGGTTGTTGCAACTGCTAAGGACGAACGGCATAGTTGATTGGTGTGAGATTGAACCGCCCTGAGCTCGAATACGGTGAACAAGCACATCGAAGGATTCTAGAATGACATCTGACATGGAGATTTTTACTCCGAATGACCGGTCTTTTGTCCGGAACTTGGAGGAGTAGATCCGAAATGTCTCAATCGTAGGACCTTGCATGTTGATCACCAGGAGGAAACATCAGTCGAACCAGGTCCTTGGAATATCCTGCTTTCATGGCGGAATACAATCATTCCTATTCGTCGTTCAGGGATGGCTATCAATGCATGTATGTCGATTCTCCCGGAGCGTGTTGACTATGTCCAGTGATGTTGTAGGAATAGACCACTTGGACAAATTATTTCTTGGCATAACCAATCTGCTCAGGTTGGCGTGGTTTCGATTTCCAGCGCAATTAATTCAGTCTTTTTCACCTACCTATATGCTGCTTCCTTCTTGCTTTTGCATAATTTTTAATATTATCATGCAGATTGATTCAAGTAGAAAATAATAATCGCCCTCCAAGGAGAACATAAATGTTCTCTCTGCTTCCGTCGAGTGGATCCCGCTAGCTGCCACGAGATTCTTAGGGAAGCTCCCGCTCCGCACTGATCACCTCTCCTGGCGACAACTTCTGACATCCCCAGTGTCGACTCGTCTTCACAATGGCCGGCCTTTTCCAAAATATTTTTGGCGGTGCTGGCCCTTCTGGTGCCGCCAAGAGCGACGATGGTAAGTCGCTTATCGCGTACTCCCTTCGCCGCAATTGCAGCTCCCAGTCAAATCGGTCGCACGAGACTCTGCTGCGAAATCTCCCACCAGCTAGGCAACTCCCTGACTGACTGCTTGTCTTTTGACAATTAGATTTCGCCGACTTCTCCAGTCCTTCCGTCGCAGCTGGTTCCGTGCCAGCTGGCTCAGCCACTGCAGCTGGTGGCGTGCCGTACACTGCATGGTATCGTGTCTGGGAAAGGGTTGGCCCACGAGACTTTATGCAAGAAGCGTTCATCCTGCCTTGCATTATCCTCCTACTATTATTCTACTCCTGGGGTACACGCAAAAACAAGAGCAAGGCCAAATCATGGGCAGTTGCGCATGCACCCGTGCTCGCGAGCGAATTTGCCATTGTCGGGTTCGGCGGTGTCCCCAAGAGCTCGGTTGAAGGTGTTGCCTCTGAATTGAGCGAGCCCGAGAAGCTGTTGAAGGAGAAGAGCAAGCAGGAATACCAATTGTATGCTACCGGTCGTCAGAATGTCGCTTTCCTTGATGTGTCCATCAAGCTCGTCAAGCGCTACAACCCAATCATCTTTCTTATGGACAATGCTCTTGGGCTTTTCACGGATAGCTTCCCGCCGCCGGTCGAGAGAGTTGAATCGACTCTGTACACTTTTGATGGCAAGGAGAAGGATATCGTTCCTACGCCTACTGGTGATGCCTCTTCCCTCAAGGTGCCCAACTCCACCTACGACGGGTTCATCTGGGCTGTTGTGCACAAGAATGCTATGCGTCGTCTTCGTCAGGACCGTTACGATGCTTCCATGACTTTCACCAAGGACAATGCCAAGCTACCGAACTGGGTGACCGTTATGACCGAAAGTGCTGAAATCACCGATTTCTTGCTGACCCCTCAGTTGATCAAAGCTATTGAAGAGGCCGGTGATGATTTCGAATACTTGATCATCACTGATCAGCCTGTTGACAAGCCTCTCAAGTATGTCTCTTCCCCAAAAAAACAACAAGCATATTAAAATTACCAGACACAACAGAACTAATACATTCCCATCCACAGGATCGAAGACGCAACCCCCAAGAAGCGCATTCAACTTTCTCTCCGTCTTCCTTCTAACGGTTATGAATCTACTCTCCCCCTCTACAGCCTTTTCACCCGTCTCCCCGACACGCTTGTCTCCGGGGCCCATTTCCGTCCCGAAGTGGGCCGCAAACTACGTAATGCGCGCGAAGAAGAGATCCGCAAGCTGCGCAGGGCCGAAGAAGAAGAGAAAGCAGAGGAACGCAAATACGCCGCGGAGAAGCTCAAGAAGGAAGAGCGTGAACGCACGCTGCGCGGTATGACGGCCGAGGAGCAGAAGCGGTATTTGGAACGAGAGAAGGAGAAGGAGCAAAGGAAAATGATGAAGAAGAGTACTCGGCGGGCGTGAAGCGGCTATAGATTCTTTCTTCTATTATATTCTCTTCAAGGGGAGGTGGGGAGGAGTGGTGCTATTTTTCTCTTCTTGCTTCGTCTTCTGTTTTAATTTACTCAAATTTTACCCCCGTCGTTCTGAGGTTGAAGGCAGCGAGTGGAATGTTACAAAATAGGGGTGGCTGACTACTAGTTTACTCATTTCGAGTAGTATATTATTACATTTTTAAGATGATGAAGATACAATAATGGAAATTATACCAAGTCCAAGCAAGTCGTCTAGGGGTATATACATCAGTTAACGACTCAAAACGCATTCCCCCTTCGTCCTATCCTGACTCGCTTGCTGGCCCATATACCATCCTTCATCAATCAGTCGATTCTCAATGTCAAGCCAGTACTCTGCTTTCCCATTAGCGGCTGATTTGAGATCGAGATCGCCGAGGCGGAGGTCGATAGTTCCCATCTCTAGATCCGTCTCTTCTACGTCGGAGGTGGGGAGCTATATGGACCATTCATTCAGTCCTTGCTGAGCAGGCGTGAAGAATCAAACCTCAAAGTCTGGCGGTTTACTCACCTTCAAGAATATTGAACAATCTCGCAACGTCATTGAAAGTGACATCTCTCTCGACCCGGACGGCGGACCATGCAGGCCAACTTTATTGTGTAGGCGTTGCAGTGAGAGGAGTTTGAGTAGTGTTGGATGACGATAAAGCCGCCGTGCGATGATACGGATTTGATTCGGATATGGGCGATGGCGGGCGAAAATATTGACTATTGTGCGTTGTATGTCTTGTTCGTTGTTGGATATGAGGTCGAGAGGGCAGAAGGGTGCTTTTCCTAGACTTGATTGGATGCGGTTGGTATGAGCATTTAGATATACACTTGCATTATCGGCAGCTTTCATGTCTCGCAATGCGCATGTGCGACAGCGTTTTGCGGTTGGGGGGGCTGAGGGTGATTGGACGAGCCATTTCGGCTTCAGTTCTGTGACTGTCATCGTCTTTTTGGGGGGTGTTGTTGGGTGTTTTGTGGGAGTATTGGTCATGTCAGTAATGAGCATACCCAATGGTTCGTCAGTAGCTAGATAGACGCCATGACGAATAACGGGTCTTCGTTTAGGATATTCCGCCCGTTCGCTATCCCGTAATTTCTCATTGCAGCGCTGGATCAGGGACGGTGGTACGCGCACAAGAGATTGATCTACTAGTTCTTCTGGTGCGAACAATGGCTGTATCGTTGAGTGGAAGTCATTCGCTGTCTCTCTATATGGCATGCCAAAGCGGACGTTCTTTCTGAGACGAAGGAGTTTCCCGCTGGTGATGGTAATACCCAAGTCAAAATCGGCATCGCCATCGATGTCGGCGGTCATCAAATCATGATCTTCGACTTCTGTCGGTGGTGGCGTGGCATTGCCATAGTATTCGACCTCAGAAGGCTGCAGGATTGTCTCCTTTGCACAAGGAGCAGAAGGGGGTAAGAATATTCGATAGACGATGTTCGCGCCTCCTTCGGCAAGGTATTCGAGCTGCAGATCTTCTGACAGCTCGGGGATGGAGTCTGCAGCGATGGTTGGTCCTGATATCATGTTGGCCTCGTTATAACTAGTATCATGCCACTCAACCCTGACAATTTATTGTGTACCAGAGCTGGTTGATACTTTTTTTCAGCGGGGATGTTAGTGATGCATAAAGTATTTCCGAAAGAGACGCCGTAGCCTTGCGAATCCGGGGAAGGACTAGTCCCGATGAGGACTAGTCGATATATGCCCTAATTCTCCATGACAGACAACCTCCATTTGTATAGTTTGAGAAAGATGGGAGAGAAAAGATAGATACATAAGTCGTCGGAAGTGTAATAACGTGAATCACATTATTTCTCTGCCAGAATATATACCTAGGTAGGCTTTTCTATCTACTACTTGTATTCTTCCCTTCGTCGTCATTCCAAGCAATTCACCATCACATCAACGTTGTACCGAATAAGTTCATGGAATGGTTTTTATAAGACAGCAGTAAAATTTCTTCATAGAAACTAATTCTTTAGTACCCTGCGTGTATGAGTCTTGGAAGTGGGTGGAATCATCTCGCCAACGTATATACTACTGCCTTGATTTGTCACTACCCTCAGCCTAACAGCCTAAACTCTAGTGCAGAGTTCAACCAAGTTGGGTTAGAGCTTTTTAAGGAGGGTTACGTTCAAGGAAACATTAGCCCTAATCCGGCCCCAAAGCAAAATAAAGCAAAGTCTATATGTCTAGAGTTTTCTCTGCAGCTTCAACTTCACAGTAAAAAAATCGTGAGATGCGAATTTATGCATCATAGTCATCAACTCTCTAAATGCTTGTATATACAGCCAATCACCTAAGTACAAGTGGTCTATCAAGTAGATATCTAAGCATATCTAGTCAACAAATCTCGCCGCAGCCTTAGTCCCATCTCTCGTCGCCTTCAAAAACGGAATCAAATCTGTTCCTCCAGTGCCATAAAACACCTTATTTTCCTCGCGTTTGGTTTCTTTTTCTTCAAACGATAACGAACCACCTGCCTCGGCTTTCATTCTCGACGTTGCACTTGCAAGGTTGACTCTTTGCGTACAACTTCCCGTGGATAATCCGTTCTGACGCTGAGGCGGCGGCCGTGATGCCGGCGCAATGACATATCTTGAGACAATCTGGATATGCTTATCGCGGAAGCCGCCTAGTTTCATAACCACTGCATTGTATGCCTGTCTTACAGCTGACGAGGCGGGGAGACTTAGTGCATATGGTCTGATGTTAGTGATTGAGGCGACATGTTCGAGGAACCGGCGATGGGGACCGGGCATGTAGTTTCTCATTTCCTTGAATATGTTAGATTTTTTTTAGAAATTTTTTATTAGGGAAGAAATTAATGGCTTACCTTCATAAAAGCCGTCTGCTTATCATTACTCTTCTTGCCCTCAACCTCGCCACTCGCCGTATGCTGAATCCCCAATGCAATATCAAACAGCTGAATCAACGAGCTCTGTGCATTACTTCCACCACTATACTGATGCCATTCGCCCTGGCCATCGCCAAGATCATAAAAGACACCATTCGGCAGGCCGGCGGTAGCCATATTCTTCGATCCGGCTAGGAGCGGTCGAAGCTGATGATAAAACACCATGGGGTCATTTCTTTCATACATCCTGTCCAATATGCGGCCCAATTCATCTATGCAGTCTGCCATTTGGGAAAGAAAGTTTGTGATAAGTGTGTTTTTGGCTTCGATCGTTATGTTGTGACTCTCGCCGACGGCTATGTGGATCGCGTTGATGGTGTCGAGGACTAGACGGATCACTTTGGCGCCGCAGGCTTCTATGGCGACTGATACGACGAGGAACCAGCGTTCGTCATCGGTGCCTGTGAAGGAGTTGATGGTTGTTATGTTGTCGGGATTGGTGAGGTCTATGTCTTCTTCCTCTTCCTCTTCGTTGTTGGTGGTGTTTTTGTTCGTGATAGTAGTGAAATTCCATAGATTCAGGGCCGCATATGTCGCACACGGAGGCAGTTCCAAGCGAGCAGCAACTTGTAAAAACGGGAGGGATATGGATACTGGGAGTCGCTATAATATCTGTCAACATAGTTCCAATGTAGACGCCTAGGTATACCGGTGCTCACATTTTCAGCCTTCTCCCCACCCCAGATGTACGCGTGAGTCAAAAATCCAAGTATGACATATGCTCTCTGCCATTCGGCCTCATCGTGATTTTCATGATCATTTTGTGATTGACTGTTAAGCCCCTCCACCGACAAAACCGGTAGATCAAGAACTCTCCTCCTAATCTCGCCTGAACGGATAAGTTCAGGCAGATCCGGCATGATATCCTCCCAGGGCGCATAATACGGGTTTGAGAGTTTGTGAAGAGGGCGGCTTTCTTTGTTCATAGTTGTAGTAGTAGTACATGGCAAAAAGCCAGTTTCATATGATATGCGGAAATCATCGAGGTTGACAACTGCTTCGGGGACGTCTAGCATTTTGAAATTTTGTTTGCCTGCTTGGTAGAATGTAAGCTAATGGGGATAAAGAAAGATGAGCAGATGAAGTAGGAGAGAATAAGGGCAGGTATTTAGTGGTGTATATAGCCAGAGTCTTCCAACGATGATATTTGTACATGTAACCACATTATTCAATGACTAAATAAGTCTGCTAACCCATTCTAGTCTCCCATATTCCGTGTCATCCGTGATAAGAGTATATTAATTCATATTCTACCAGGATTTTTTCGGCTATCTTGTGAAGCGTACTACGTAGTCGTCACTTTTTTCCTAGGGTTTTGCAACGGCTAGACACGGATATGACGCGGAAGCGGGAACGGATGCGGACACGGATGCGGAAACGGATACTAGATAAGTGATAGAAATTAGTAGCACGACGTACTATGTAACTAGCTATAATTTGATTAATATTTGATAAGCTCTATTATTGTCCCCCTCTTTCGTTCTTTTCCAGCGCCGTTCGTGAATAAATTTGAAGTTTTCTCTAATAAAAGCGATAGTTATCGTTTCCTCGTTAGAAATCCGACGACGTTGATAATAATGGCACCCTCAGCAACCACAACACCAGTGGCTTCTCAAGCGGGAAACAGCAAATTCCAGCCATTCCCAAGCCATGCCACAAGTCTTGAATATGCAGCGTCACTCGATGCTGCGGATCCTTTGAGATCATTTCGGGACAAGTTTATCATCCCTTCAAAAGAGAATCTGAAGGCTACCAAGTTAGCGAAACCGGGTACGTTGCTGAAAATAACTATACTTATCAAGATCATCTTGTTAGAGGTACGATAGTGCTAATGTGCCCATAACAGGCCTCTCACAAGATGAAAGTATCTATTTCTGTGGCAACTCGCTTGGCTTGCAGCCGCGCGCTATAAGCGAATATATCACCGCCCACCTAGACACTTGGTCATCAATCGGAGTAAATGGCCATTTTAGGGACATCACAGATTCCCCGCTGAGACAGTGGCAGCTACTGGCAGAGCAGGCGGCCGGTGACATGTCCCGACTAGTAGGTGCTGCGCCTGAGGAGGTTGCTGCTATGGGGACATTGACGGCGAATCTACACTTGTTGCTTGCTAGTTTCTATAAGCCAACCGAAACTAGATCCAAGATCCTGTTGGATTGGAAGGCTTTTCCTAGTGACCATGTGCGTATTGTGTACCTTTTTTGAGAGAGAGAGAATTAGGGGGAGAAACGAAGCTGATACATGACAACGTAGTACGCTATTGAGTCTCAAATTGCCTGGCATGGTCGGAAGCCCGAAGAGACAATGGTATTGATTGGTCCAGACGAAGACGAATATGTCATTTCGACTGAGAAGATTCTGTCAATTATCGACGAGCACGCCGATGATGCCGCTTTGCTACTGCTTCCTGGAATCCAGTACTACAGCGGACAATACTTCGATATCCCAACAATTACTCGACACGCTCAGTCCCACGGTATTGTGGTGGGGTGGGATCTTGCACATGCTTATGCAAATGTGGACCTCAAATTGCATGACTGGAATGTCGATTTTGCAGCCTGGTGCACGTACAAGTACGGGAACTCTGGACCGGGAGGAATGGGCGGTATTTTCGTTCATGAGCGACATGGTTCCGTGGACTATAGCCAAGGAGAAGACAAGCCATTGTATAGACATCGTTTGACAGGCTGGTACGGTGGTGACCGGTCAGTGAGATTTAAGATGGACAATAGTAAGCTTGAACCATTTCCCTATCTGTATCCAATAGTCTCGCTAACCTTGGCAAAGAGTTCAAACCCATCCCCGGTGCTGGAGGTTTCCAAGTTTCAAATCCATCGGTCATCGACTTGGCTTCATTATGTGCGACTTTGTCAGTGTTCAACGAAACTTCTATACAACAAATTCGAGAAAAGTCCCTCCTTATCACCAGATACCTCGAGTTCCTGCTGTGCGCTGACACGACGGAGGAGACAAGGAAGTTCCGTATTATCACCCCATCAGATCCTAATGCTAGGGGGGCACAGTTGAGTTTACTGCTCAACCCGGGACTTCTGGATCGAGTCGCTCAACGGTTGGAAAATGCGGGTATCATTTGTGACAAGCGACAGCCAGATGTTGTGCGAGTGGCTCCTGCTCCATTGTACAACACCTTCACAGAAGTGTGGAAATTTGTGCACGAGCTAAAATCAGCCATCCAGTAGTTTAACTAACTAAATGAACCTGTGAGCCAACTGATGTCGCAAAAATTAGAAAATCATCATGATAATAAAGTTCAATAAAGGATCACAAATTTCCTGCAGTAAACCAATCTTCCGTGGTACGAAGAAAATCCTGGCCCTGGCTGAAAAAGTTCTCGGCAAGCATAGAATATTGATCTCCGTAAATACCTAACTGCGTAGGAAGCAGTCCAGTATTGAATCCATGATCAGCATCCTGATGGACAAACTCAACATTGCTAGGAGTCGTATATGTTGCTGTCCGTGATGATACTCCTATCCTGGTCGGTTCAGGCAACGGAGTCGTGCTAGAAACTTCAGAAGCCCTCTTGGTGCTTTCTGAAAAGAGTGTTGATCCAAACAGACTACCTCTGTCGTCCGAAAAGCCAGACGAATAATCGAGTATTTCCCAGAATCGAGATAGATCAATCACAAGACTTTTGTCCTGTGTTCGAGTGTATGGAACATACGATGCAGAAACTGCCCCGTTCAAAGCCTTCAACTTTTCGGCCTATTACACTGTCAGTATATCGTATTGATCTATACATTCGGTTATAGGCGAAGCAGACCATTTTCGCCATGTGTGGCCACTCTTTTCCCAAGTCCTGCACAAAGCTCAAGCAGCTCCCAAAACGCTCTTGTTTGTCCTTTCGAATATTCTCGTCTTCCGTGAAACTTAATTGCAGTTCGATGGTTGCCACAACAGCAGCACAATAACCCAAAAACGGGTCAGATATCCGAAATGTCTTTTCCTCAAAATACCTTACAAAATATACGATCCAAGAAGTATGCGTCGAGATCATATCTGATGAGTGTTGAAGAAATATCTCAGGGATGGTGCTTCGATGATTGCGGAGACTCAAAGAAAGCAACAGCGGGTGGTTCAGGAGGCAAAGAATCGTGTGATACATAAATTGATTGAGAAACCACGGACCCCAATAATCACGGTTCGACTGCAAATCGTCCGCAGACCTGTCCGCAAGACCTGAAAACTTAAACCGGTGAACATAAGGAACACGAGTCTCACTCTCCATTTGCAATGCGATGATTTTGGAGTATTCTGACTGTGGAGACCACGGGGGGAAATCGCTAGGCTTGCCCCTGCGCTTGACGTACGCGGCAGTCCGGGAAAATGTCTCACTGAGTAGTAAGAGGTACGAAACAATGCCTTCATCTTTCATCCCACGGGCAATTCGTACTTCGATGCCTGAATTATCGACCTTTGTGATATCGGGCGCGGTCCCTGTACTTTTGGGATACTTTGTTAGGCTGTCCTGGCTGGCAAATTCCAGGATGTGCACGTCTTCGCCGTGCAGTCGACGTAAAAGACAGATGCTCCAAAAACATCTGCGACGTTCTTCCCTGACGACATGACTTTGTATAGATGATTGTTCAAAGGCAAGGTTGGCACATCTCGCGAGATCTAAAGCGAGACTGCTATGTATAGTTGCTCGATGAGTATTACCATCTGTTGGTGCTATTAGCCAAATGAAGATGATCAGAATCAATAAGAGAAATTATCACGCCATACTTGTAATGTCAATCATGCTCAATATACAGAGGGTCTGGAGCGTGGACATTTCAACCGGACCACTTAAAACTCGCTTAATAACACGTTCGCGTGCAGCTTCCACATAATAAGCAACAAGGTTTTGCTGCGACATAGTTTGACCGTTTATGGTGTCTATTAATGCGGGTGAACAAAACCTCGTTGCTAAAGCCAGGATCGCAAATATGATTTCAGGGTCGCGATGGCCAAGGTTCGCCAGAAAGGTTTGTCGATGAAATAGAGGGAGCGGCTGACAGTCACAGTAGATCAAGAAAGCCTTCGCGACTTCAAGCACCTTTTCCCATGTAGGAAGAGTCTGCTCATTTGTATTCCAATTTGGCAAAGAAGGTGATGTGTGGTCCTGATAGGATGGGGTGTCTGCATGACCATGGCGTCTGTATAAGCACGAGCATCTTAGTCAAGTGCTGATGATAGGTTTTTTTTTCATTTCCTACCCTAGGCTCTGTAGAACCTGTGTCATCTGTGCCTCTAGATGTCCAAGGCGATATTCCTTCAACGAAATCAGGGTCAGCACAGTACTCTTTCTCCGGCAATAGATGGCTAGCATACCATCCCCGGAGGGCCATCGATTGAGCTCTCCGATCGCGCATCAATGGCCGGGGTCTCAGACAACCTCGGAGACATGCGCCGGGTAGAAATATACGTGCAAGTCTGATTTAGTCGTGCACAATGCGAGCAGACGGGCTGTTCTCCAGGGCACTTCGACTTTTTGCGTCTAGTATTAAGTTTAGCATAATACAATCTCTTGCGGGCTGGAATAGCTTTACCTGCAAGGCTCACAAGCCAGGCTCACGCGCTTGCGACGGCGACGGTCCTGCTGGATGTTTCTCTGGCTCATTGTGATATAGGGGTGCTGCGTAGTTCGATAGGAGACAGCAGTTGGCAACGAAAGATGAGGTCCATGGACGGAAAGAGCCGTGTCTGTGGGGCCGTCCATAGGTAAATAACCACCACAACTTCAATATCTATCTGCATCACCGCGTTATTTCAGTTTCTACTTCCAACGTTGTACTGTCTTTATTCCTAACCAGAAGTAACGCTGGTTTGAAACTGGATCGACTACCGATGAGTATGAGATTCTCATCTAGAGAATATATTTTTACTTTGATGGGATTGCTCTTATCCTGTCCATGAAATCTAACTATAATACAGCAATGTTATGAAGCTGACAGGAATTGAATTGCTATCTCGAGCTTTTCAGCATAACTTCATCCATTTCAAATTCTCGCTGTCAATCCAAAATTGTAGAGCATCATAGACTTCATCCCCCTTTCAATCCCCCCTGCGGACATTTTTGCTTCTATCTATGTCGATATACTCCCAAATTTACAGAGAACAAATATCCTGGTCTTCATGGTTAATTGAGGCATAGAGGACAGATAATCTGAAGGCATCATCCATCCACTAATTTCAGCATCTGGGACACCTTCGTTAGACTCAGCTTTTATGGCACCTTGTACGACTCCCATCAAGGCTAGTCACCATTATCAGTATTTCAAAGTTCGATAACTCTCACCAAGAATCATCGCTGCTTTGTTGAAAACGTATTACACTAAGTGCCATATATAGCAATTTCTATTACGGGTTTGCCAGGCGTTTGAGACAGAGCCTGTGCAACGGCTGCGCGAAAATTGCGGTCATTAGGCAGGAAGCCATGCCTTTGACGAGGTTGACCGACGTAGATGTAGTAATCCCAAGGTCGTTGAAACTTCTGGTCATCCAGTTTCAAATCCTCCTTGATGTTCTCCTGGTACTTGGCGAAAGATAGTCGTCCAGTGGCTCCCAAATTCAAGGCACGCGGACCAGCTGATAAAACAGCATCATCCACAACCACCAGATCGCTCAAAAGTGTACGCAACACCACTATGACTTTTCCAAGATTATCCATCACGCTCGTGTTTATAGTATAGAAAGTCATGTCGTCTTTACCGCGTGGAGACTTATCGTTCGTTTTGACAGTAATTGTAATGGAAGAATATGAGGTTCGACTATACCGTTTGCCATCAAAGTGCCATTTTCAGCGCTAGTGGCTCTCTGTGCCTCGTCCTTTTGCATGACCATAGCTGCAGATCAGACCGAGATGAAGTAGAGGGTCGATGAGGATGATAAGTGCGATGAAGGAAAGACGAAAGATGAAAGATGAAAACTTCAGACCGATGAGAACACGGCAGACCCTAAGGCGTTGTATGCAGAATGGAAAGCATGAAAAAGTCGATATCCAGAGAAGAGATTTGGAAGGTGCTGAGGTGGAGACCGTTTTATATTGGCAAACCTGAGGCACCAACGTGTTAAATCATTCGACCTTGGAATATAACCACGATAGGTTGGTTGGAATGACGGATGGAAGAAAGTGCATTAGGCTCTTCAAACTGCCTTCTGTAGTAGTTAAAAGTCCACCTAAAGGGCGTAGGGTACCTTTCAGTTTGGAATGTATCTATAATAGCCAGAAGGTTAGGTGTGGACGTTAATCTGATTAGCTCAAACTGCCGATACTACGCTCTAAAATACTTCGTTATTCTCTCAAGAATGTCAAAGCTGCAAGGCACAATGCATCCACGCCAGCCTTCATAGTTGGCTGGATCACAGGGGCAAAAAGAGCTGAGTGATTCCCCGGGATTTCTTGCACTAGTGCTTCATTCCCCTGTGCTTTATCCCATACTTCCGGGTCAATGCCCCCAATGAGCCAAAAAGAGCATGGAACGCCCTGCGAAGTACCCAATGTGGAGAAATCCTCGCTAACACTAGTCCTTGGAATATCACCATCAAAGCCCTCGAAATGGTCTGCAAAAGAGGCAGCCAGTTGAGTCGCCGCGTATTTATCATTTGTCGTAGGCGGAAACCGCCTTGTTGGTGTGATAACTGGAGGCTTTGGTGAGCCACTAGCCATGCACTCAGCCTCAACAATGCGTTGGATGGCAGAGATTATTTTCTGACGGGTCTCCAGCTTGATAGTCCTGAAGTCAACGCCAATCTCGGCTCTGTCTGCAATAATGTTCTCTGTCTGACCTGCCTGCAGGCTCCCCACTGTCACGACAGCGAGATCACTCGGGTCAACCTCTCTACTCACTATGTTCTGCAGTCGAAGGACAACGTGCGCAGCAAGAAGCACCGGGTCTACCGTTTGATGTGGCGTTGAACCATGACCACCACGGCCAAACAGAGTGATCTTACAGCTGTCGGCAGCAGCCATGATTGTGCCAGGCCGTGACCCAACACTTCCAGCACGCATTCGCATCACATGCTGACCAAATACATAGTCAGGAATAGGAATCTTTGAATAAAGTCCATCATCGACCATTGCCTGGGCGCCTCCACCCCGTTCTTCATTTGGCTGAAACAGCACAATCAAAGTTCCGCTCCACTCATGCTTAACGTTCGCAAGCAACGCAGCCGCCGCAAGGAGACAAGTCATGTGCATATCGTGTCCACAGGCATGCATGACTGGTTTCTCAATTCCGTCGCTATCACGCATAGTAACTGAGCTCGCGTAGGACAGGCCTGTCAGTTCCTTGACTGGAAGTGCGTCCATGTCGGCCCGCAGAAGGATTGTCTTTCCAGGGCCATTCTTAAGCACGCCAGCGAGACCGTAGCCTCCAATATTGGTGTGGATCTCATAAGCCTTCAGCTGGGACAGATGGGCCGCAACTGTTTCGGAGGTGACTTTTTCTTGCAACGAAAGTTCGGGATGGGCATGGAAATGCTTGTAGAGATCCTCATAAGAGGTTAGATCTAGAGAAGCGGCCTTCAGTAGATTTGATAAGCTTTTTTGCGCCATCCCGTAGAATCTTTGGAGAACTGGGCGATGAAAGGCTTGATTATGGGAAGTCTATGAGTCATGAATGTTAAGATGAATGATTAACTAAGGTGGTCACTCGGCCCGACCCTAGTCCCGGCCGTGCATGATCGTAACTACTCTCTTCAAATGCTTAACCTTCAAAAGTGGTTAAGCTGGATGCTCAAAAGATTGGGAAATGCACTTGCTTGCGTTGGCTATGAGGGTACCGACGTAGGCGAGCTCTGGCTAATCTTGGGAGCGGAGTGATATTCCGTTATTTTCCACTCGGATCAGGTCCGTTGTGAAGTTGCTGTCTTCATTTGGATGCAGGAAAACTGTCCTGGCGTGCCAATACCTCGCTTGCTGGGTCTCAGGTCCTGTACTCTTAGTAGGCTCATGTGGTATGCTCAACGTACAGCACTATCATAGCTCAGGTGTCACTTCCACGTCGGTATTTTAGCCACAGGTACCCTCATGCTCTGGAGTTTGGATCCCTCATAATGGACTGGATTATAAGCGCGCCCCCTATTTATCTTAGACTCCACTCACAAGCTGTACCCGAACTACAAACGAGTCTAATATTGCTATAATGATGAACCTCTAATGATCTTGTTACAATAGATTATTTAAATCTGATACAATTGATTGTAAGAACAGTGCAAGCTTCTACTTTACCTGTCAAGGAACACAAAACTACGTTCATAGGTTTCCAAAGTGTTACAAAACCAGCTTGTAAAGCACTAGCATGAACCGGTGCCCCTTGATGGAAAAGAATAGATCATCTCATATACTATTGCCTAGTAATGAGATCTTTCCAAGCTTCATCTTATAATCAAGCTATCCCACCACGACATATACCGCCTAATCTTCAATTAGCACACTATAAGTTAAAACATGCCAGGAGTCTCAACTCAAATACTTTGAATTTTATGCTGAACTCGCTAAAATATGCCGTATGTTGAGTCGTATACTATATCACAGCATCGCAGTCTGTCGAGCTGAAGTTTAATAACTTGTCTTTTAGATCGCGCCTCTATGAGCATCAGAACAACAAGTCACCATTGAAAAACAAGGAGATGTAACAAGTTTTTATTCTGATACATAGTCGCCTGACATGCGGTAGCCCTTGGAAAATTGTTGGCCCGGTCAGCCGAATGAGGAAACTGTCCCCATATTCTTCTTTCGAGTAATTCTGACTTTCACAAGGCTTTTTTTTTTTTTGAATGAAGCTGTCATTTGTATACCTAATCTATAGCACCTAGGTAGGTAGCGAGCATGCCATACCTATACATAAATTATGTAACCTTGGAACGCATTTTAATTTTGAACAACCGAAAACACCCCGGAAGATGAATACCGCTAAATGCCAACAGCGCCTACTCCTGTAGGCATCAAGGGCCACATGGAAAAAAAAACAATGCTGTTGTAAGAAAAAAATATTCGTGATACCATACCATGCGAATGGAAAGCGGATGTTTAAAGTCAAAGGAAAAAAAGTTCACACCTCTGTTGATGTCCTCGACGTCGTGCTTCTACTCTCATTGTCCAGAAGCAACAATCTCTGACCGAACGGACTCCTTCTCCGAATGAACGGCCCGAAATACATCAACGCAGCCGGGATAGGAATGCATGCCAAACTAACAAATCCAAGGATAGAAGTCGCCCACGAATCCCCTACAGCATTGTAGAGCGGTCTCACACCAAAGGGCAAAAGCGCGCCGGCAATACTTCTTATGGCAACGGAGGCTGCCAGTGCACTGGCGGAGTAGATTTTGTATGCATCTGTGACATATGTCATAAGCGAAGTGAAGACGACCTGGTAACCAAATCCGAACAGCAGGCCTGAGATCATGGGTACGACCCAGTGGATGCTGGCTTTGGATGTCCAGGCTAGCCAAAAGATACTGATGGTGAGACATGGTCCAGACAGGCAGGATAAAGGAAGTCTCTGTAGCTCGGGGCTAGACGTCCAGCTTTTACCGAGTTTTTTGTTTCGTTCGTAGTATGTGTCGTAGTAAAATGTTATGAGACCGGAGGACATGGCACCGATTCCAACTAATCGCATTGGTTACTTTTCCTCCCAGGGCTAAAGAACGAGGTAGAACTTACTTGGGATGAGTGCAAGGCATGTTTGTTTAATGTCAAATCCATAGACTCCTAAATTTGCTGAACGTCAGCTATCTATTTCCGCAATATTATCAATCGGAGTTCGCCTCGCAAACCTTGAAAAATGATCGGATACACATCAAAGTAGATAAACACTAGACTGTATGCAATAGACATATATATAGTGGTAAAAAGAACAATCGGCTCGTAAATGAGCATTGTCATTGGGCGAGTGATGATGTTAGTTGTCATAAAGCTAGCGCTTGACCGCAGCTCTGCGCGTGAAAAATAGCAATTGGAGTTCCATTTCTGTCTCAGTTTCGATGCTTGTCGTTTCAGGAGAACTGGTCCGAATGTTTCTATAAAATAATACAATTAGTCCATGTCAATAATCGCAGTGGAAACACACACAAACATCATACCAGACGTGAAGAGAGCTGCCAACCACGTACAGCCAACCAAAATAAGGTCAATTCGGAAAGTCCATCGCCAGCCATATTGAACCGAGCAGCCAGATATAATCGGCCCTAGGATTGGGCCAAAGCTTGACGCCTGCATTTAAGATTATTTTCAGTCTGCTTTCTTCTCCCTTGCCTAAAAAATGAAGACAAATAATACTACCTAGGTAGGTTGGACATACCGACGTATACGAAAGCATCGCCCTTCCGCGAGTACGCGCATCAAAGAATATATCCGCATACAATCCCCCAATTACTGTCTGAGGTGCCGAACCAGCAAGTCCACAAATAGCCCTGAACACCAACAGAGACGGCCAATTGGGTGCCAGGGCACATGCAAGTGTTCCCAAGACAAACACAGTAAATGATCCCAGAAGAACAGGCCTTCGGCCGATAGTTTCGCTCAGAGCACTGAATATCACAGAGCCTACTACATAACCCATCAAGTATACTGCATTGGGTAACGATGACCACTCGTCTATTCCGGCTTGACCGAATTCACTCATGATCGTTGGTGCTGCGTTACTCGGGAGGGCACTAGATATACCGCAGTTGACAATGATGAGAAAGGCGGCAATGGCGTTGAATAGTTTCTTTTTCTAGGGCGTGTTAGTGGGAAGAGCGTTCGTATATATGTATAGCTATATTATTTTTAGGTTGGTCAAATTGCATACAAGAGTCCAATTTTGTGGATTTGCGGCTGACCCTTCCTGAAATTCGACGATTATCTCACGTTGTGATACATGAATTAACGTGTAGTCCGCATCTACTTGTTGGTCTTTCATTTGATCCATCAGAGATATTGCCCTATCAGATATATTTTGACTCTTTCCCTCTCCTGCGTTGTGCACGGTTTAGTAAGTGTTGTAAACGACGTTGGTGTTAGGACAACGTACTTGAAAGGGAAGTATTGGTGACTTGGGCGCCGAACGATTCCTTTGTGATGGCCATGATAAGAAATAATTTGAACCGAATATGTCGACATAGAAGAAATATATAAGCTTGTATGAATCTTATTGTCCAAATGAAGCTTGCTCCCACAGTCAAATTGTGCGGTACCTAGACGTATATATATACTGGATACAGTGGAAAACTAAGACTCTGCCCTTCCCAATGCCTCAGGCAAAGAATATGAAAACGGAGAAAACTTTTCTACGTATAACAGGCTAGAACAGTCTCATGCATCTATTTTGTCAGTTGAGTGAAAAATCCATCCAACGATTCACTCCCCAACCCTTCGAATTGCCGAATAGAGAAACCGGTCCCGACCCGGAGCCGGGGTTTAGGGCAGCCCACTTTCCGGCGCCGGTCAGGGTCCGACGAGAACTGCTCTATTTCGGAAAGTTGGTGGATCTAGAGCATAGTCTGTTTCTTGTTTTCTCTGGTTTGAGCAGAAAAAAACAATTAGAGAAGGATGACGACGACGATGATGATGCATTGCGGCCCGGTGATGATCGAACGCGTAGATCTAGTCTGGGCTTTACACGACTGCTTGACAGTAGCTATTTGTAACTTTTCGCTTATATATCTATGTAGATTGAAATTCCCAAGAAATTGCCGACAATTTACAGTACATCATATTCTATGAAAGAATAATAGTGTGGTGGCCGTAGTATTCAGATGTCTCTGCGTAGGGATTCATTCATGGTCGGTGTACGGTCCATTACTACGGTATCGTTGGCATCGTCGGGAGGAAATCAAATATATCATTCTGTCCATCTTCAAAAAGACCGAATGAATCTGCTATAGAGTTGGACATGGTCCAATTAGGAGCGTCCATCGTGTCGGGCAGTCTAGCTGCCGACGGCGCCGGTGGTGGTCTGGCCGCGGAAGATAAATCAGCGGGCATCATGTTGAACTCTTTATTCTGCATGCTGCTCTGACCGCTTCGATCGTCAAGTGAAGAGCTAACTCCGATTGGAGGAGGAGGAGGAGGAATGGAAGGGGGGTTCATCACAAGATTCTCGGTAGCCGCTCCTCTACGGTATGAAGGCGGCGATCTTTCTTCGCCTTGTTCTGACGTGTCGTTTATATTGGAGACGTGTACTTCTGAGTTGTCGTTATTCTCTTGGCGTTGACTTGCAATCAAGGCGCGTGCATAATTTACGAAAATCGACACTGTGCGGTGAATGTCCGGATACGGTGGCTGTTTCAGGAAATCACAGATCTTTTCCGCTCGTTCTAGGAGCAAGGACTGGTCTATCAGGCTGGGGCACCATCGCGCAATTCGTAAGGCAAAAGTGGCTAGAAATGAAACAGCATGAGAAAATGATATCCAAGAAACAAACTCTTTCAAACTTACTAACGAAGGCCACCGTTAAAGCGGGATATGTGGGCGCCCATGTCAGTTGATACCGGTAGGACGACTCATTGATCAAAAATGCTAATTGATCCATGATTGTGGTCACAAGTGACCTCCATAGATCCATGACATCTTCATCAATGGTTTCCGGATTCGAGTTCGCGTAAGTGGGTTGTAGCTTTTGGATACGCGCCAGTGAGATGCAGAAAACAAATATCCTGGCATAGTGAAGCATAAGTTTTAGGCTGCTGCGTTGAAAAGCATTGGCATGAAACCCATTTTCTTTGCCGGATTAGCTCGTTTCATACACACAAATTCCTGGGAGGAGATCTTACGGTCGTGAGTCTGGTCCCACGACGTCCACCATTCTTGAAGCATTGCCATGATTGCCGGGAGCTCCCTGGAAATAATATCTGAGATGGAGGATGTATTTTCAATAATCACACGTGCATGGCCTTGACCTAGTTAGTTATGATTGCGTTGACATATAAAAATCTGACATTCATAAACATACCTCGTAGCTGATGCAGCTCGAATATACTCACAGTACGCATATCAGCGGCCAAAGAAAGCGGGTAATCAAGAAACTTTCGTAGTTTTGCAGGATCGAGTTCAGCAATGCGTGATTTGCGGCCAGTACCAGACGCCACGTCTAATTCCAACGTAAAACTGATCAACCAGGTCCTCGTTTGCCATACTAGCTGACGCTCTTCCATAGACGCTGATATAGAGCTCCGGGGTATATTTTCCTGGGACAGTAGTGTGTCTAGCGACTTCTCCAAGCCCGAGTCTAAAGCAGTGCGCAAAATGAGTGCAATTGAAAACCATGTCTTTTCTGAATAAGCTGCCAGCAAAATCATTCCCTGGACAGTTTCCAACTTGGTGGGTCGTTCAAAAAAGCTATCCTCTGCTAGGCGTTGTGCCTCGTCTTGTAGGACTCGCTGCATATGAGTGTTGCTACGCAAATCAAGCACTGCGCGACTGGCAAGATAAATAATCACGGTAAAGCAAAATAAAGAACGAGACCGAATAGAGTCGAAGGTGTCTCGGATGGGATCAAATAGAGGGAGAAAGTTCTTGCTTCCATTGATGAATCTGCGATGAATGAGTAAATACGCATAATTCATGCTGTGCTACCCGAAGGCATCATGTTATAGTAGACTTGGCAAACCTTTCATATATAACACGAGCAAGTTCTTCATTGACAATGCCGCGGGCAATTATGTCACCATTAGGGTCGCCTTTAGTGGGGGTTCTCAAGAAGATCTCAGAGCTATTAATAATGATAAATCAACCGTTTCGATAGAAAATCAGAAAAAGCTCACATTGTTTGAACCTAGCAGGTTAACTGACATGGAATGCACAGCTGACACCGGCGCCATCATCTCATTCGGAGTTAATTGCTGAGATTTCGATCGCTCCTGTTCCTCATTTTGAGTTCCATGAAGATTACTCAACGTAGGCGAATTAGGCAGAGAATCAGCGTCAAAATCAACATCCCCGGATCCGACGATGGAGAAATCCTGGCCCTCTCCTGGCATGTGATGAAGACCACCAGTTCGTTGGTCTATCGATGAACTGGCTATCTGGCTTCTGAAGAAAATACGTAAGTAAAGGGCTCTCTTTTTCCTTAGGCCTGGAAGTGAACATACCTTGGAGACTCATTTTCATCCCTCCGTCTGCGTTTAGTACGCCGCGGACCATTGTCAATGGGATCTAATATGCAATTCCGGCCGGTTGAACGACAGCGAAAGCAAGGGACTTGGTGACGCGCATCGCAGCGCATCTTCTGTCTTCGACACCATCGACATGCTTTGAAAAACCGGAGCGGAAGGTTATCCGGCTGAAAGCTCAAATTTGGGCTTCGCTCGCTCATTTTTACATTGTTTGTTCTCGCTGGAGGCAGTCAATTTGTTGCACGGACCGACGACTCTTTTCTCCGACGGCGAGAATGCCGACCGGTCACGTGTGCGAAATGCGCGCTCTTTTAGGGTTAGGGTTATAATACAAGCTCGCGTTGCTCCAAAAAGTTTCTTATTCCCTAGTAATTGCACTTCAATCTACTGTTCTTTTTTTTTTTTGTCAATATGGTCTGGTGATTCCTATAGCAGAAGGCAAGAAGATCAAATAAACGCGCAGCATAAAAAAGCAGACTGTAACTAATCGGCATGCTGGTTCCGAGCACAACACCGAGAAATCGCCGTGTCGATCAGAGGCACGTCATATCAACCGTACCTGAACCCTAAAATTAAATATTTATATAGATAAGATATAATTTCGCCTCCTTTCTTCAACACTCAAGACATCAACTCGCATGCATACATGATTTGTGTCCGTCGTGTGATAGTGAAGACATCACAGAGCACGCGGTATGCACCTACCACACTCTGTCCCAATCAAATCAATAAGCTTACAGGAAAAGGACATACAGATCAGAAACAAGGCCAAATGCAAACAGACCCAACACGCACAACAGCAATGTCCAAGACCTCGACATTATCCAACACAAATGGGCATTCGCAGTCATTCCTAAGCCGCATGAGGCACCGCCTCGGACACAAGTGGAACACGGAATGGGCGCCGCTGATGAAAGCGAAGAGTAGCCTGGATTCAGAGTATAACTTTCCGCATGGGAGATATGCCGGGCAGGCATCGTCGTCGTCACCATCGTCGTGATGGCCAGGACGGGAATAAAGACAGAAATGCAAATTTATTCTTGTCTATAAATGTCGTTATCTATATATAAACCCGGGCCAAAACAAAACAATGCATCATGTTATATACATCCAAAGAATAGAAATCTCGTCACAATTCCTCTACAGCTGAGCCCCGAAAACCTTGACGCGCTCCTCGGTGGGCTTGAATTGCTTCTCGTTAGCAGGTGCCTCAATAGAACCAAACACAAGTTGGGCCTTCAACTCCCAGTCGCTGGGGACATCGAAAGCCTTTGCGACTGCAGCGTCGATGAGAGGGTTGTAGTGCTGAAGGTTGGCACCAAAGCCAAGGCTCTCGAGACCGGCCCAGACTACTTATGTGTTAGTGAAGGAGGTATAGAGATAGGCCCCCGGGGGGGCGGGTTGTATGTAAACTTACGGAACCACTGGTGCATGGCGTTGCTGTGCTCAGCCCATTGGGGGAATTTGTCTCCAAAGGCAGGGAACTTCTCGGCATAAGGCTTGACGTGGGCGGGGTCTTCGAAGAATAGGATCTACAGCGGGGTTAGTCAATCAAGGTCCCCAATTTCAGAAATCATGTGTATATAACATATTGTATAGAGTATAAACTTACAGTACCGTATGCAGCCTTGAACAGATCAAGCTTAGGCTTGGTCTGGCTATCAAAAGTCTCCTGGGGCACAGCACCGGAGGCAACGAGGGACTTGAGGGAGTCGACAGCAATGTCCCACACTTTCTCGTGGTCTCCGTGCAGAGCAACCACCACACGTGTAGACTGTGTGTTGAAGGAGCTGGGGATGTGCAAGATGGCCTGGTTAACAAGCTCGACGATCTCGGAGTCGGGGACAGGCGACTTGCGTCCCAGCACGTAGTAGCTGCGACGGGCCTTGGCCACTTCAATTAGGGTCTGGGTGGAGGGAGCCATTGTATTGTTGGTGGTAGTGTGTAAGAAAGAGGTGAAGGACGAAGAAGAGAATGCTCTTGCTTTTGTTGCTGTTGAGGAAGAAATGCGAATGCGCCTGGATGTAGACGTAGACAGAGGGGTGCGGAGGGGGATAGATATAGGAGAACGAGTCGCAAGCCTGGTCCCACCACCGACAGAGCGTCCCAGAATCGAATTGTGGATAGAAGGTAATCGAACAAGAGAAACAGTGGAGCTCGACATGTTGGATAGCTGGTTTTAAGGTGGCACGGAGAGGCTAAAGCTGCATGTATCAGAGAATTTGAGAGACTGGCTGACAAACTGAGAGGGGCAGCAAGACTGCTATTTAAACCAGGGGGCCAATGAACGCGATATCAACGGACTGTCGTGAGCGCAGATGGAGCATGTTGCAAATAATTCGCAATGTTCCGTAAAGCCGTTATGCCCGATTCGGCAAAACAAGGCCCTGACTAATGATTATGTAGGCGAGAACGCGGAAATCGCCCGAGCTCAGAGCGCGGAATGGGACGAGATTTTTAAGCAACACGTTTTCCGCTAGCCGGACCGGGTTAGCGGTCTGAGCACGTGGGTGCCCGCCGGATATACGCTATATCCGTTGTTGTACCGTTGTACAACCCACCGAGGATAGATTCGTAAGGGATTTGTGGCATTTATAATATACACTATCTAACTATACAATAATATATGACAAATAATATATCCGTCAGCGAGGCCATTGCTGCTGCCATTCCTCTTGCTGCTGCATTCTTCGAGCCGCCATGCTCGAAAGCGGTCGATCAATCAGCTTGTGCAGATCCAGTCTTTCCTCTTCGGTGAACAGCCCTGGGTAAATTTTGAGCATGTCATTGAGAACATGGGACAGCTTGAAAGGATTCTTCTGGCGCAGGGACCGGTTCCATTTGCGCGCGGATTCGAGCTCTCCGTACAGCACTTGTAACCTCTCCCGACACGCTTGCCGTACAAAGCTAGGGTATATGGTGACTCCCATCGCTTCTAGCTCGCGCAGCAGAACGAGTCCTCGAAGCCAACGGATCACCGTACCATCGTGCCTTTGGTTGTTGTTTTTGTTGTCGCTGATAGGCATCTCGTGTTGTTCTTCTGCCCATAGTGACAATTTGAACCCCCAAGTAACCAAGGCCATCTGTAATCGAGGATTGAAGATATGCCGTAGCTCAGCCCGATTTTTAGCCAGTAGAGTCTCGGGATCAACACCAGTTGATCTTGACAGGCTGTGCAGCAAGGGAGAGTCGTTCTGCGCCACATAGTTTTGTGCAAGCCACAGACACAGCCCGCGGAGCCGCTCCCATTGGTCGTGCCTGTGCTTCCCTAAACGTTGGAGTAGTTCGACCCAGTATTGAGGACTGATGTCACTTTGAAATCTAAAGGCTAGCTTTAGAATGCGCAGAGCATAGTCCACTTCGTTTCGGTCGGGACCTTGGGGATACGGCGGATCTCGGCCAGGCAGTCTCGGCGTGAGGACACTGTTGATCATGTGATTGATACTCTGCTCCGAGAGCACTTTGCCGTCGAGATACATTCTATCCACAATATCTGATGCTGTCGACCATTTCCTTGCTGCTAACGATACTCGAAACTGTATGTTATCCAAGTCATCCTTTGCCACTTCACTCAAAATAGCTTTCGTCAGGTTGTAGAGCCTCCAGTCTCGAGCCATCAGATAGGAGCATAGGAAATTCTCTTGTACAACCGCATCTTCTAGAACATCTGGATGCTGATCGCTGTGAAGAAGATCTTCTAGCACAATATCCTTGTGTTCCACTGCCAGTCTCTCAACTAGTCTTGTGAACGCACAATCACGGATAGTTATATCTGCCTTGCGGAGTGCTTGCATTTTTTCCAGTATGTCCTTCGGTCCATCGGCTCGCAGCGCAATTTCTCTCAAAGACAGCGGTCCAATGGCCTGAACACCGAACATCTGCAGGCCATTTGTAATCATGTCTACTGTCAGCGCCTTCGTAGCGAATAGACGCGCGCCAAATTCATCTTTGAAGGTCCTTTCTCTCATCCAGTCATCATCATCGTCCTCCCCATTCTTTGGTGGTGGGCTGTCCTTGGTTGCCTCTGGTTTATCTCGAGTACCAGTAGAACTTTCGCTTTCACCATGTGTAGCCAAAGTAGCATGCAGAGAAATGAGGCTTGGTTTGACTTTCCGAATCCTTTCCCTCACTTTTCTTGAAAAGGTGTGGCTGTCTATCTCTGCGAACTCTAGAAGCTGTCCCACAGCATCCACATCACATGGCATGTCCCCTCTTTTTACCAAAAATTCATGCATATACATGGCGTCCAAGGAATGTCCTCGTCGAAGTAAGAAAGGAATGATAGTCTCGTAAATTTGATGACCCTCGGTTGCAAGGCATATCTCCCCAAACGCTCTCAAGCCCGGCCGGAATCCAAGCATCACCGCTTCGCGCGAGAATAAAGACCAGTCCGGCGGTTTCTGAGGAACACATGAGACAGCCTGGTCTATGATAAGAGCAATATCATTCGGTTCTCCTAAATGTAAGGGTTGTAATTTTCGATGCCAATAAACAGCTTGCTCTGGTAGGCCCATGGCGAAAAATCCACCAACCACAGCTTCATAGAACCCCGTCCAGCGGGTTTCTGTTGTTGACCAAATATGCTCGGCGTATTCCGCTATTCCGCACAGAAGTTGTTCGTCTTCCAAACCTGCGTCTACAAAAGTCTCCCAGAAATAATCTGCCAGTTTCCCATCCATCGGCAGCTGGATATGGCCTCTTCTGCTCGCGAGACCCTTCCATATTTCAGCTACACCTTGTTTCCCATAGCGGCGCTTTCTATATTGCAGCAATTCCTTCCATAGCTTGAAATCATGTTTCTTTTGCGGGTCATCCACAAGACGTTTTCTATCATTGATCTCGTCTCTGTCGAGAGCGGATTCGTATTCGAGTCGATCCACATCCAGCGACAGTGGCAGATCACCTTTTTGCGTGCCTTGAACATTAATTCGCCCATCTACTATTTCATCGTTCCCTGTGGGAGTAATTTCGTGAACCTGTAGTTTCTGCGGCGAATCTGTCTGAACGATTATGGGAATGTTGTGGTGTAGGAGAAGCGGCTGTGCATGTGCTCGTCGTGTCTGACAGATGAGGCATTTTCCGGACGTCGGGAGTCGCTCGATACCTGATGTCGAAACCAATTCAGCAAGAAGGGAAATAGCTGACGGCCTCTTCAAAAGCCGCAGCAGAGCTGGGCGCATTAGAGACAGAAGGTGCCCGAAACAAATTGATTGCAAGGGCTAATTCTCATCCTCCAGCTGATGCAGAGCATTTCGTATTCCGAACCCTGATTGTTGGCAATCCCTCAATTTGCGTGCAGACAGCGTGGTAATCTGGAGTTCTTGTAAATATCAAGGCCATTATTTGCACTGTTTGCAACTACCTGGTCACGTGGCCGCACCAGGAATAATCCGGCGAAGCTTGGCGGGCCGAGTGATTGCCGGCGAAGTCGAACCTCATCAGACAACAAGCAGTGTTGACATCTCCCCTCCACAACCTCACTTTCTCGCCAGAAACTCGCAAACATGGTTTCCCGCACCATTCCCCGCCTTGCCGGGTGAGTTAACAATGCCATTGACTGCGCAGCTACCTCCCACAATGAATTGCGATTGATCGGTGGTTTCTGGGTCAATATGACGTGCAATCACCAGATCGAACGAATTTGCTTCGACAGACATCACCCCAAGGGACTATGACAAGGCTAATTATTTTACTTTCTACATTATAGTCTCGTTGCCCGTGAGAACCGTGTCCCTTACTACCAGCGCCTCTTCCAGTCGCACGATGGCAAGCGTCAATGGTGGAAGGTAACTCCTAATGGCCCATCGAAATCGCTCACGCAAGCCTTCTTTCGCCTTTGATCTGACATTTCTTCTTTTAACTAGACTCGCCGCTCCGGTGCTATCCTCTACCCCTACTACATCTCTCTCTATGGCTCCGCCTTGAGTACGTGACATCCAATTGCTGAAAATTCGAGGGCTCGTCTTGCTGACCATTATGTCTAGTCACTACCTACGCCATGATCCGTATGGTTTTTGTAAGACTTCCACAGCGTGCATTATGTTGAAGCAGCTACTGTCGATCTTATGATGCTAATTCTTCAAACAGGGCAAAAAGACTTTCTTCGGCAAGGACTAAATACATCTTCGATGGCTTTCTTTTTCTCCCTTTTACTTGGATATTCTGGAACATAAAGGGGATGTACTTTTATTGACACCGAGGACAATAATAAGAATTGAAGACCGTGATTATCGAAGTTGTATATAAAATAGATTGAGATTTCCGGAACACCCGACAGTTTTCCTTTGTACTTTGATTCAATATCTACTATGCATCTCTCTCACTTCCGACATATCATCTCCCCATGCGTTATCGTAAACCAACCATCCTTATCCTCCGCCCAGTCCTTAAACGCAGCTGCAATTCTCTCCAGCTCCTCTCTCGTACAATACCCACCTCTATCAACCGCCTTCTCAACGTAGTCCGGATCCAACACTCTCTCAGCCCATATACCTCCCCACCATCGTCTCTCTTCAGGTTTACTAAAACACCACGTCCCAGCCGAACAAGTAATCATCGATCTCTCAAACCCGGCCTTTTGCGCCCATACATGAATGAAGGATCCCGGATCCGGGTTCCCGCCTAATAGGTTTCTGCCTACCTGCAGATAAACATCGTTGTACCACATATCCAATTCCGGAAGTTTAGGATACCACGTCATCGACGCTGATTCCCGGGATGCGATGATCCCCTGGCCATCGGGTTTGACGACCCTTCTCATCTCCTCAAGCGCCTTAATCGGGTCGGGGACATGCTGCAGGACTTGGTGCGCATGCACCACGTCAAAAGTGTTATCGGCGAAGAGATGTTTCATGTCTAGCACGTCACCTTGCACGAATTGAACGTTAATCTCATTATTATTGTCTCCTTTCTTTGCTGCTGCTGCTGCATCAAGATTCTTTTGCGCATGAAGCAAGGGCTTGCTGCTATACTCGAGCCCGATTACGCTTCCCTGCGGCACGTAGTTGGTGGCTAGGTCGATGGTGATGGATCCCGGACCACAGCCAACATCGAGGATTTTCATGTTGGGTTTGAGATGGGGGATGAGGTATGCGGCGGAATTGGCGATGGTGCGCCATTCGTGAGTGCGGATGGTTGCTGCGTCATGGGTTGACGCGTAGACGCTCGAGGATGTCATGTTGGATATACACTTTTTTCGTTCTGTTATTGACAGGCCAGTTGAATATCTGAAGTAGTTCTATCGAGGTTGAGCTCGAATAGGTAATACTAGAGATAGTCGGAGAGGCTAGAGCATGATATCACTCAAGATAGCTAGCCCCGCAGGCCTCTGACGCCGGCAGGACTATATTTCGTATTAACCTGAGAAGCGTGGTTTATTGAATACCAAATTAATTCATTGATTGCTCCCATTCTAGTCAAGAAAAATTGATATGCACCTTTCCAACATTTCGCTTGATGCGCGGAATATCAGGGGAAAATAGGAAATATATACAAAACAAATGCCTAAGAGTAGGCAAGTAAGAAGTGACAATGAAAAAGACACCAGATATCTCAAGAGGAGTTCTCGCTGATTAAATAAAAAATCTAAAGGAAAAGCAATAGAGGACGAACGAAAATAAATTCTCCCAGTCAGAAAGAAACGGAAAACAGAACTCTCAAGACCGCCAATGGTATCATTAAAAGAAGACGAAGGGGAAACCAGTGCAAGAATAGTAATACAGCCAAAAGACAGAGAAACACCAAAGTCGAAGTGCAATGCAGATTATAAACAATGTAAGGATAATGCCGCTTTCCCCAAATTGAAAAAGAAGAAGAATGAAATGGAAAAACAAAAAGCTTTTACGTTGTCGTAACGGTCGTGAATCTGCAACCCGGCGAATGCTGACTAGGAGGATCTCAGGTACTATGCAGAGTGAAGGCGAAGAAAAAGTAAAGGAAGAAAGGAAAGTTCAAGAGATAATTCAATGGCCATAAGCTGGAGGAGGCATTTCTTGTCGGCCATGATCATCCCAGAATTCTGGGAACGGTCTTGATCCGGAAGAATCATTTTTCTGTTCTTGCATTCTGTGAGCCAGTTCGGCTGCCATCTTGGTAACCCAGGCTTGCTCCCTGGTATGATTATTATGATTGTTATTATCACTATTGTGCGCCATTGGTGCATATTGGATTGCGGTGTTCGGAAGATATCTCTTTTCTCCATCATGGTTCGGTAAACGAACTGTATTGCGAGGTGTTGCATCTGGATCTGGCCATGTGTCGCCAAAGATCTGAGCAGAGTTGCGACTAGACGATGGATGCGCGGACTCCGAAGCCGACACAGGTTTAGAACGACGGGTTAGAGTTCGTTCACCTTGGCTAGGGTTTTGGCGTTCATGAATGGTAGGCAAGTGCATATCATTTTGAGGGGAAAGTGGTGGTGTTACTGGATCGTCATTCTTTTCCTCAGAGAATTGCGCCGGCGAAGAAAATATAGTAGGGGCGCTAGTCGTGGTTTCAGAGTAAATACTATCTCCGCTAACACTTTCCATGTCGTCTGTGGTTTTCGGTCGACGCAAATCCACGACTCGCTTCTTACGTTTTTTGGCATGAGATCGGGAATGTCGGCCTGACCTCAGGTGTAGGCCGTGGCTGCCAAGGTTGCTTGATCCACCGCTCTGCATCGAAACAGTGCTAGCATTGTCGGTAAAGGAGTGCAATGACCCGATATGGGACTGTGTTCGAGAGAGTGCCGGACTGGTTGGCGAAGTGAGGGTGTTGCTTTCTCCAAACTCTGCTGATGCTGTCCATGCCCTGTATACAACATCTTGAATAGATGGCGTGAACAAGGACAAAGTGCGTTGGGAGTTCGTCAATGTAGCCAATCGTAAAAGGTTCTTCTGCGAAAACAAGGAATGGATCTCGACTCCGGAGTCTAATGATAATGAAGCAACCTCTGATGGATTGAGTGCGTTTCCCGAAGCGTCAACCGGATCCTGCGGGGGACTGGCTAGAGGATCTTGACCGGGACCCGATTCCGCGGACTGCTCCAAAGTATTGATGGGAACTTGATCTCTGTCACGATATTCCGGAACCCAGAGTCGTAACGATAGTCGATGGATGATGGCCGGCAGCTCATCCATGAAGAGAGCTCGTAGTTGTCCCTCAATCGCCTTCTGCAAGTAGTCGCGAACAAATGAAATTGAATCAAAAGTGGACGACACTTTCAACGATTCGAGAGGATCATTTCTGAAGACCACTGTTATGCCCTTTTGCTTGGAAAAAACAAGCACGACAAACCCTGATAATCGAAATTCCGAGAGTGTAATCTGCAGCGGTATGGTCAAGCCAGCGGCAGCGGCCAACGGTTTGGGGGACGCAAAAGAAGGCCGCGTAACCAGAAAGGTGTTAAGCGGGTTGGCCTGCACCCTCGTCTTCAAGGTAAGGAAAGCATCTCCCGTATACGACATTTTGAAGATCCCGCGAAAGCGGTCCTCCGCGAGGTCGCCAATTTCGAGGATTTCCAAATCCGGCGGTATCGAGCCCAAGTTCAACTCGGTGACCTTGATGTCGTCAACGATAATAGGCGGTTTTGGCGATTTGTTCAATGCGGCCGTCAATAGATCCTGCGCGCGGGTGTAGAAGCCGGCGTCGGCCATTAACGGCGACCAGTTGAAGTTGAACGCCATCGCGACATGCAGATAGACGAGACGCCGACAAGGCTCAAGGCTAACGGAACGACGGCATGCAACGCGATTTTATGCGATGAAAACCCTTGGTTCTTTTTCTGATGTTGCCGGAATGGTGGCGAGGATTGAGCGATCGATAGTCGAAGGCCTCGCTCGGCTTGGACGGGGGGGGGCTGAATTGCCGGGGCGCGTTTCCTATCTTTCCCGTGATTGCGCAGTCACTCGATGTCACGCGATGTCATCACACGCACGACCACGCACAATCGAGGCTACGGCAGAAAAGATGCACTCGATTGAGAGATATGGGTAGATAGTCCAGCGGACGGGATCCTTCGAAGAAAGGGGCTGGCGTTGAATGAATGAAACACAGAGAGAGAATAGTAGTATTATTCAGGAGGGAAAAAAAAAAAAAAGCTTTGCACATCCCGGTCCGCGCCCCTTTACGTCAGCGTCACGGGAGTTGGATTTTGATTTCGCCTCAGGCTGCGCTTCATTGGCTGTATGCATTATGAGCTGACTGACATGCATCTACTTTTACTGGTTATTATTTGATAGGTCACAGAGCATTATTATTAACAATAACAGAATCCACAGTGAAGTTTGAACAGTAAACTATGTACAATTAGTGCGCTAGTCAGTTACGGGTTAGTGTGTGCTTATATAAGTATAAGTATCAAGACCGGAACGGAATGACAGAGCTATCCCGATGTGGAATAGCCCAGGCGCAGCCGCGGTAACAATACGCTAGGCCCAAGAGGGAAATATGTCAATAACAGCTCGACCCAGCGACTTACTTCACTTTAACCATCCATTGTCCTCTGTCAAGTATATAACAATATCGCCCAGCGACAATTTAGAAAAATACACTCGAAAATCACTAGAAAATCAGACACTGCAACATGCGAACGGTGCAGCAAAGAAAAGTCTACGGCAAGCGCAGAATAAACGCCCCCAGAGCAGTGCTTGAAAACGGAAGCCCGGTTAAATCCTCAGCAGACTTACCCCTTGACCTCCAACCCACAAAACAGACCATTCCGGAAGATGTTATGAGAGATATTGATATTCAGGTTGCAAATATTACAATTGAAGATGTGACTTCAACGACCGAACAGAAGCCCAAGGACGATACACCGTTGCCGGGGAAATCTCCCGCTCAGAGAAAGTGGCAATGCCGGACATCTATCAGAACACCAACAAGCTTGAGAAAGACGCCACTGATATCTACACCATTAATACGTGACCAATCTGTGCAGCCGTCAGCGAGCCCGAGCATAACCTCTTCGAGTCAAAAGCCCCAAAGGAGACTTTCTTTCACCCCACGACAACCACGAGCCAAACCTACACGATCGGAACGACTAACAACCAGGCTTTCCTCGGGCTGTGTGGAAGACGAAAAAGTCAACGCATACGTTCGCCAACTCCTAGACGAAGCTTCATCCCAACTAGCTGCGCGGGGAGTACAGAAATTCAGTTCATGGGCATGTCGGTCCGAAAGCGCATTTAATCCAGTGAAGATCGCGGAGGGCTCTTATGGAGAAGTATACAAACTCCTCTTGAGGGAAGATATATGCAAGCGAAACATGTCGAAATCAAGACTAGCAAAACTGCGCGCATATGGCGAAGGCGTTTTTAAAGTTGTGCCACTGCGCGCACATAAAGGACCGGGATCAAAGAAATTCACGACTATCGATGAGATTGCGGCTGAGGTTCAATTGCTCAAGCTGCTCGATCCAATACCTGGGTTTGCTCGGTTCAGAGAAGTGCATGTGGTTCAAGGCCGGTTCCCGCCTTCGTTTCAAAATGCGTGGGATATCTACAAGGCCACAAAAGATGATTGTATGAATCCAAACCCGGCAAATAAAAGGGCGTACAGCGACAACCAACTATGGGCTATATTGGAGATGGACGATGCCGGTGTCGAGTTGGAGAAGTTCTCTTGGTCTTCGGTTTTCCAAGTATACGATATTTTCTGGGGGGTAGCAATGGGGTTGGCTAGGGCAGAAGAATTTGCGTTGTTTGAACACCGAGATCTTCATTTGGGCAATATCTGTCTTCGGTCTACGAGGGCTGACGGCGATATGCAAGCTCTGGCTACCCTTGACACGCAGCAACTAGACAACTCCAGTGGCTTTGGGATTAGCTCATTGGAGACCACAATCATCGACTACTCGCTGTCACGCGCTGAACTGCAATTAACAGATGATCCGGAGGAGACAGTTGGCATTGCTTCTTCGGATCTGGACAGCAAACAACTCTTTGATGCCGTTGGACGCGACGAGGACGAGATCCTCCTGCGAAATACGTATAGATAGTATGCCACATAAAGCACCTCTCTTCTTTAAACCAAAGCTAATGAATTTGACATAGTATGCGAGGACAACTATATACAGGAAACCCACTTACCGAAGACAAAGAACCGAATATAGCAGGTATATGGGCAGAATACGCCCCACGGACGAATTTGATATGGCTTCTATTCATCCTCAAAAACCTAATGAAACACATGAAGCACAAGGACTACAGTCTCGACCCCAGCAACAACACATCACAAAAGGAATCTAGACGGCCGCTCCAACCACGTCCTGAAAAGACAAATAAACTTGTTAGCCCTAGTCTGACTGCCGAATCTTCTCCTTTGAAACACCAAAAGAAGAAGAACAATATTTGTATGGACGTGACGCTCATGATGCTCCAAGCCAAACTTAGTGACAGGTTGAATCAAATCCTTGCGATTCTCGACTTAGAGCATGGGAGAGATGATATGTGTTGCGCCGCGGACTTGGTGGCGTATGCGATTGATCAGCGGTGGTTGGACGAGAGGGATTTTTTTCTTGCTTGACTTGGCAATGAAGTTGATCAATTAATACGTTCTTTTACGAATACATATATGTATATGTATATGTATATGATCTATGGATATGATCTATGATGCTAGCTCACTGGCATTGGTGTCTTAATCTGTATTTTTGGTTCCAAGCTCGGCGTTTGGGGATGAGTTGCATAAGATGCCCAGGTGTTTAGGTGGCTGGACAGTTTACGCGGTTTTCCAGACTCAACTCAATCAATACATATCCTTATCTAAAATAGCACTGACTGTATGTATCTATAGGCTGGAATGATAGATGCATGAGAACCTATGTATATAAACCTCATCCTTGAGACTCCATGAATATGCATTCAATACAAGACAGAAAAAGGAAAAAAACACCGGAAAGCGTATGTTACATCCCACTAAAGAAGAAACTCAACAAACTACCAGTCGCCAACCCAGCAACCAGCATCATACTCATAAACCCACCTGCAACCTCACGCTCGTCGGCCGTAACGTATTGGCCCGCACCCATCATACAAACACTGCCTAGGAAGCCATTCGTCAAGCCGAAGCCCAGTTGGATAATGAACAGGTAGAAAAAGTCACTATTTATAGCAGGCTCGCCACCACCACCGTGAATATTGCAGGCCATATAAAGTGGGATGAAGAGTATCCGGCCGAGAGATAATGCAAAGATCGCGCGCGGATAGCTGGCTGAGCGAGCTAGGGATGGTACAATGGGTGACAGGCGTCCAACCAAGTCACCCAGATTCCAGAATAAGAAGGCGAGAGGAATGAACACCTCGGGTTCGAAAACGCGAGACCGAGTCGTAGCAGTTGTAGCAGTTGTTATGGAATCTTGATAGTGAACAGAGGTGATTTTGGATGTGAACACGGGGTATACCATGGTCACAGCGAAACAGGTGTAGACTGCAAGAGCAAGCCATTTCAGTCTGAGGAAGAGCTTCCAAAGCCCGACGCTCTTGTCAAGGACTGATGGAGAATCAGTATCAGTGGTAGTAGCTGCTGTTGGTGCAGTATTACTAGTGACCCGCCGGAAAACTCGTATCTCTCTCATGAACCAGCGCGATCCGGCGGTGCGGTTCATGAGCCATATAAAAGCCAGTAACGCAATGATAGTGATCAGAACGGCAACTGAGAAATATGCAAGGGCAGATCTATAGTATCCATCGCTATCACCACTACCGTGATGATTGTCATCGTGGCCTTCGTCTTTCCGCGAAACGGATAAGTTGGTCATAATCTGGACAATGCAGGGAAGAACGCCAGCGATTCCTTGCCCAGCCATAATAGCCTGAGTATATTCAGGACGCCCAAAACCAGAAACAAATGCAAAGACACCATTCTGATTCATGCCTGTTGCAAAACTTGCTCCAAGGACCATTGTCATAATGAAAACAAAATGAATGCCAACGGGCAGGGCGCTGAAAAGGACGGTGGACATGGCTAGGAAGGTGAAAACAACCGTCAAAATAACTAGTGATGCGGCGATTCGTAGAGGATAAGAGGCGTTTTGTTGTAGTTTCGCAAGAACAAGAACACATAGTAAATTCGTTATGGTCGAGACTGATAATATGGACGACTCATAATGTTCTACGGCCCATTGACTTTCTTGGAATCGACGATGGAAATAAGGTGCTGCCGCGAGGAACATGTTCCTGTAAGTATATTGCTTAATTAGTTCAGATCTTTTTTTTTTTTTTGGCCTTCAAGATATTATGGAACAGCAGGACACTGGAAACTGAGCCTCTGAGCCGATCAAAACATACCACGCCCATAACATCGCGACCCCTAGAAGCAAAAAAACTGTATAATCGTGCCATGAAAAAGGCTTCTTTAGCGTAGTATCATCTTCCTCGTCTTCCTCCTCCTCAAACCGATTTTGTCGCTGCGTATCTGCCTCATCCGTGTTTGCCAATAACCCGTCGTTCTCGACAGGTACATACTCCGAAGCACTGCTGTCAGCAGAGGTACTCGAGGGGAATACCCTCGATAAGAGACTCCTGCTCATGGTCGCCTTCCTATGGTGAATTTCGAATATATAAAGTCAACTCGACATTCACTGTATTGTTATCGAAAAGCATGGAGCTGTGATTCAATCAGATGAGGTGCATTACTAAGGGTCATGCGTTACATATCTTACACCGCCCTCCTTATCATTTACTATTCTGCCAGCCTGCCAAAAAAATGAAAGATTCAACATTCACTGAGAAATCTGTACATAGGAGAGAAGACTATTATTCTAGGTATATTAACATCAAAGCTCTAGCATATATGTGACATATCGAGCGATATGTCAAGGTGAGGGCGTTCTACCGTTACAGAAACATGAAACATAGAATGAAAGGCAGGGAGTAAGCTCCCTGAGAGAAGGGGTATTTTGGAGAGAAGGGATAACGACATATGAGACAGCGCGGAAGTTGTCAAAAGTATCGGTGACAAGAAATCTTTCCTAACAGATACGAAATCAAACTCCGCGGCCAACTCCTTGCTCTGAAGGCTTTCCATCAACTTCACCTTCGACCTCACTTTCATCTTCGCGCTGCTCACGTTCGAGTTCCTGCAACTGCTCTTCAAAAGAAAGGTTCTTGGGATTATTTGGTGGAGGCGCAACGTCTCCGCCAGTCATCTGCCATTCCATAAGCTTAGTGAAAGCTCCGTCTGGCCGAGAGCTGAGCTCCTGGTAAGAACCGATTTCAGCCACCCTGCCATCATTACCCAGTACAATTATCGTGTCCGAGCGCTTGATAGTCGAGAGTCGGTGGGCAATACTGATAGTTGTGTTATTTCCCCGCAGAAGCGAAGCAAGAGCGCTGTTGACTAGAGTCTCGGACTCGGCATCAAGAGCCGATGTTGCTTCGTCAAGAATAAGTATATCAGGGTTTTTGATGAGGGCTCTGGCAATGGCGATTCGCTGCTTTTGCCCACCGGATAGTTGCGCGCCGCGCGGTCCAACATTGGTGTCAAGGCCTGCCGGGAAGTCACTGATGAATTGGCAGTTCGCCTGTCTTGCAGCAGCTACTATCTCGGCTTTTGTAGCTCCCGGTACGCCGTATGCGATATTCTCTGCTATAGTACCTGAAAAGAGAACAGGCTCTTGAGACACCAATCCAATCTTTCGACGGAGAGATTTGGCATTCATTTTGGTGATGTCCTTGCCGTTGATAAGGATGCGACCTTCAACGGGATTGTAGAAGCGGAGTAAAAGCGATGCAATTGTGGATTTACCTCCACCAGAAGGACCAACAATTGCCACGTTAGTACCCTGCGGAATTTCAAAATCAAGATCTTTGAAGATTTTCAGCGCTGGTCTGGTCGGATAGCTGAAGGTAACGTTCTCAAAGCGAATTGGTCCTCGAGCAGTTTCGACTCTTTCACCGTGTGTAGGTGAGATCTTAGGTTCTCGGTCTTGGAGCTCAAATAATCTGCTAGCGGCACCCACGCCCTTCATGATCTCGGAGTAGAAGTTAGAAAGTCCAAAAAGACTTGATCCTGCGAAGGCTGTGTACATGAGAAAAGAAGTAAGCTCTCCAAGAGTTATCCCGCCAGATGAAACTAAACCGCCACCGACATATAAGAGTACAAGGATAGTCATGTTACCCATGAGACCAGTCTGTCACAAAATTAGCACGATACGCAGATCATCAGCATCTGATAGAGTAGCTTACCGTGCTAAAGAATGTAGCAGAGATGAGTGATTCTTTCTTGCCTAGTTCGAATATATTTTTGACCTGATTGTTGTATCTACTGACTTCCGATACCTCAGCAGCAAAAGCCTGGCTCGTTTTCACATTTCCGAGACGCTCCTCCGCAATTTTGGTGAGGGTACCCAAGTTTTTCTGGATTGTACGACTTAGGTTACGAATTGCACGGCCGTAGAAGAAAGCTCCAATACCGATAGGAGGAAGAAGAATAGCCAAGACGCTTGATAGCTTCAGACTGACATAGGCCATGGCACTAAACCCGGCAGCGCAGCTCACCACAGCCCTGAGACCATCCGAAAGGTTTTGTGTAATGGATTTACCGACGATGAGAGTATCGGAGCTCAGTCTGGAGATCAGATCTCCAACGCGGTTAGCATCGAAAAACTCGGCATCTTGCACAAAAGTCCGTCGGAACAGCTTTGAACGCTGTCTCGCCACAACGCGCTCGCCGACAATGCGGAGAATGATAATTCTGCCATAATTGGCAGCAGCTCCAATACACAGTATCCCAGCAAGTGCACCGTAGAACATGGTCGTGCTCATTCCAAAAAGCCCTTCGGCATTTTCTCCTTTCGTCGCCAAGTCCATCAACTTTCCGATGGAGAATGGAATTGACATGGTAATACCAGAAGATATTAGAAGAAAGAAAAAGGCAAACCCAAGAGATTTTGCTTCAGGACGGGCGATTTTGAGGAGCCGCCATATCTCGTTGAAGCCGGGCTTCTTCCCTTGTTCTTTTGCCTCACGCCCCAGCTTTGCAGTCAAATCAATTTTCGCGGCTTGGGCAGCCCTCTCGGAAAGCTGGAAGCCTTGTACCTCATCTCCTGCACCGTTTATCTGGCTGCTGACGTTACGGATTTCTTGCTTTTCAGGTTGTGTGGTCGGCGGCTGTGCGTTATTTCCTCTTTGTGAAACGGACAAGCAACGTATCTGCGATATGACCGTAGGGCCTGTATGTTGCCGGCACGTTGGCGTTATATGAACTGTAGAGGCAGACCGTAGAGGCGATGCGCCTGGAGCTGGTTTGAACGTAAAGAATCTTAATTGCTGCGCATTTCGGATATCGGAGAGAGCGCGACTTGTTGGATTAACTGCGCAGTATGACCCAGCAGCGACTGAACGAACGGGCCTGATTTCAGCGCGAGAGCTGAACGCAGCCAGCAGCTTTGAACTGCGCATGGCTTCAGGCGGATGGGTTTCACTCGCAATACCGACCGATTTCGGATGAATTAATTAGATTTCCATAACACGTAACAAGAGTAGTCAGTGTCCCGATGCGTCCATGACCGCTGAGCCGACAGTCACAGAGTTGTTCGCCGATTGCACCCACGATGGAACAAACAAAGATGCCAACGTGCAATGAGACTGAGCAACTAATGGCTATTAGGTCCTCGAGCTCGGGGTGGATTTTCGTCAAAACCCGGGGCCGACATCAACACCGGAATCTCCGAATGTGGTGTAACTTGGCACGTAATCCTTACGGCCACGCAGAGGAATACTGAGTGTACGACAACAGTGGTGGCTTGCTGTGGTGTCTCGCCGTGCACATAAGTGCTTTACTGCGTGGCACCATGTATCTTATGTAATGCGGTAAAAAGACGGGCCAGCAATTCTGCCACCGCCTTGGTCGCCCCTGCCTCTGGGATGAAGCTCATGGAAACAGATGGACATGTTTTGTTTTTCCTTTTGAGTCTGAGCAGAATTCGACGGGCGGTGCTAAAGCTAGGAAATATATCAAAGTATTTACTGCATGTCCTTATCTTTCAATTATATGATCCAGTCCTCCCAACCGACCTTGCTATAACACCCATTCTATACTCATTAGTACCCCGCGTCTAAAGCCAACCCCTCGAGCTGCCAAACTGATACTAAACAAACCACCATGGTGCTCGACTACAGCAAATGGGACGCCCTAGAGCTGTCAGACGATTCGGACATTGAGGTGCATCCCAACGTGGATAAACGGTCGTTTATTCGAGCAAAGCAAAACCAAATCCACCAGCAGCGACTTGAACGCCGCCATGAAATCGAAACTCTGAAATATGAACGCATAATCAATGACGGCCTCCTTGAACGCATTGATAAGCTGCTTGGTGCGCTCCGTCAGCATGAGGACTCAACTCGCAACCCAGAAGAGCTTGTTTTCCAGTCTCTTATCGAGTCAGCGGGGGACCCTGCCAAAGACCAGCCTCCAGCACCGCCAGCCGGTGTCCATGCGAACGTGAAAGAGCAGCCCAAATACTCGCAAATGATGAGCTCGCTCGTTGACCAGGTGAAAAAGGAGCTCACGGATTCCAATAAGGGTACCACATTTTCGGCGTACATTACGGGTGTTCAGGGCCACAAGGACAAGGTTTTAGGGCTTCAGCAAGAGTTACTGAAGAAACTAGCTGAGCTGGAACAAGAGGAAGCAAGCAAAATCACTAGCGACAGCATCCATACAGGGTTTGATAGCTCATATGTTGCCAAGTCGAGCCCTGTTGATAAGGCAAAGGCTTCTGAAGAGAAAGTCGAGCTTCTCAACCCGTCATCTGTTGCCAGCAAAGATGGATACGGCGCACAATCATCAGGAGCAGAGGCTGATGTGGAGGACGATGATGACGAGGCTGATGTTCAGGTCAGCGCACTGGCCAAAAAGTTCGCTACCATACCCATGTCGGATTACAAAGCGAGTCTGCAATTTATTTCCGCAAACCCTGAAATTGTTGCGGAACGGGAGACGGATGGACTGTTGATTGAAGCGTTTAATAGTCAGATGAATGGCAAGGCAGACTATGCTCGTCAGTGTGTCCACCATGGTCTATTATTGCAGTATTGCCGCTCTCTGGGACGAGATGGCATTTCGCTCTTCTTCAAGAGGTAAGTCTGATCACGATTATTTAATGTTAATAAATGACACGGTTTCGCTTATTCTCGATCCATAGAATCACTACAAAGGACCACCAAGCCGGTACATTATTCAGGAACGACGTGAATGAGACATACAACAAGATCAAGACACGTGCAGCAGAGCTAGCCAAGAACAGCAGTCCAGAAAATGACCCGGCCGGCGTTGAACAAATCCAATTGCATGCCGTTGATCCAAACACTAAAATTAATATCTCCATACCCCCAGCTGACAGTACTGTTCCCGAAGAAATCGAAGCACGCAAAATCTTTGACTCGTTCCCTCCAGGCCTCCAACGAGCTCTGAAGTCCGAATCTCTAGATGAAGTGAACAAAGTCCTCGGCAAAATGAGCGTTGAGGAAGCAGAAGAAATTGTGGAGAAACTCGGACAGGGGGGTATGCTCAGTCTTGAAGAAGGTATTGTTGACGCCACGACCGAAGAAGGCAGGAAGAAGCTCGAGGAGATTGAGGCTGAAGGAAAGATGCAGAGGGTGGAAGAAGAAACAGAAGAGATTGGCCAGCCGGTCGAGGATCAGTTGGATTGATACGGTAGCTATAACTCATGAGGCATCTTCATATGTCAACTCTATCCTGAATCATACATGTCTTTCCACAGTTGTATGTAATTAGTAATGCTTGCCACGAAATGGTTCCAAAAAGTTATTTATTCTGCATGATGGCTCGACAGCTGCCGACCTCGAGCATGGGCATAGAGATATTGTTTGCTTAAATTCAAAAAGGGAAAAACATAACTCCATTGCATTACCTATTAATCCATGAACAAGAAGGGGGAAAAGAAGAAACATATGTAAAGTTAAAAACAAATCTTGTGATCATGAGACCAGGCCAATGATGGAATACATGTAAGATACGGGGGAAAAGAGGGGAAGGGACTGGAAATTCCAGCAAGAGATAGCCATCAATGCCCAATCCATGCTGAGTATGTTTGGAGATAGTAGGTGCATAACTAGCCAGAAGGCTAGCCACTATTTTCCGAATGGCTGTGTCTTATCAACATCACATTAACCAATTGAACTGCAACAGCTCTTTGTTTCTGCTCTCTGTCTCTCCATCTCTCTAGACTCCAGATGCACCAGGGGCATTGGCATCCTTTCGCAAATCAAGCAGAATCTCACGGAAACGCTCCTTTCCGGAACCGCTAGCACCACCTTTGGCGCCCTTGCCGGACACATCAACCAATTTGGCGATTCGTTCCCAGCTGGTACCACCGGCTGAAGTATCCTCTCTGTTGGCGAGGAACTGCTCTGCTTCGGAGCGAGTTTGGGCGCGGGCCTTGTCGGAACGGTTGCCATACGAGACATAAAAGTCATCAATATCTTCTTGGGCCTTCTTGATCGTGGCCGCTTTCTTTTCGGCGGCGGATTCGGCTCGGCGGGACAGATCGGCATCTCTGCGCGCTCGCCATTCTCTAGAGATGGGTAGGATGCATTAGCACATGCTAAAGAGGTGGGAGGGATGAACGGGTATAAGCTGACTTCACGGCTTCTGCTTCTTCTTCTTCTGGTTGTTTATAGCTAGAATAGCCTGTTGAGGGGAAAGGAGAACCAGTGCCAGTGATGGTACCGCCAGGCGCAACAGCCTATAATCACACACAAACACAAAGCACGCAATTAGAGATCATTGATTCTTGAAATTACAAGGGAAGTGACGACTCCTACTTCATTCTGTGTGTCAATTGCTGGGAACGAGGATTCAAATCCAGAGATCTCTTCCGAAGCAGGTTGCTGTGCGACGATATCGTCACCTCCCAGTAGATCATTATCGTCTGCAGTTGCGGCCTGGTCGTTGGGAGTTGCGAATTGATCGGCGTCATCGCCTAGCGCAGCACGTTCACGAGCTAGAAAATCATCGGCATCGGCGGCTCCAGTTTCGACGACCTCGGTTTGACCTGGAGAGAGCCTGTTAGCCGGTCTGTTTTGGATCACGGATGCGGAGGCGGAGGGAATCGCACCTTCATTGAAGTCTTCCAAAGAGGGGAAACGATCGGCCATTGTAGTAAGCTCTGAGCGAGTTTATTCCCAAGTACTCAAATGCGGAGAATGTAGTGATGTAAAGATGGAGAAATTCGACGTAGAAATGAGCTTGGGCTCATATGCAAATGACGATTGAAGCTGGCGTTGCTGCTGTGCCTTTATGTTGGCAACTTCCCTTATTTACGCCTGCCTCCCGAGCCGCTGGATTCTGCCACCGCCTTTGCGGAGCTACGTCTTATCGGTTGTGATTAGCTTCAACTGTTTGTTTGACCAGAGCACAAGACTGCACCTCTTGAAAGTGCTGGTGGCCTTGAGACGTGTCATCTGGGATTGATCTTACCAACTGAACCAAGAACCGTGCCTCGAAGCTTTCTTTGAGTTATTCTTTGTTGATCTCCTCACCTTGCACCAATCAAGGGCCTGCGATCTTGCAGTAACTCGCCTCAGAAGCCTTGTCTGTTTTGTTCGTCGAATTTTAGACTGCAGACTTGCAGGTCTAGCCACACACCATGGCCTACAACGATGACTCTGTGCGTGCAAAACTCTCTGCACTCAATGAAACGCAAGAGGGTATTGTGACAGTCGCGCAATGGGTTATGTTCCACAGGCAAGTCTTCGATCCAACGTTTCTCATTACCCGACGATGACCATAGCTAATATCTGTGGCCGCCCAAATACAGACGTCATGCGGACCGAACTGTGCAGCTTTGGTTACAGAAGCTCCGAGATTCTCCCGCAAACAAAAGACTCAATTTGATCTATCTTGCCAACGGTACTCCCGTCTATCACATGGGTTTTGAAAGACTACTAACTAACAAACGCACAGAGGTCGCGCAGCAGTCCAAGGCGAGACGTAAAGACGATTTCCTAATCGCATTCTCTCCAGTATGTGAACACACCGGCGCACATGAAAATATCAGATGAGACTGACAAGATAACAGGTCATTGCAGAAGCCACGGCAGTCGCTTATAAAGGATCATCAAATGATATACAGCAGAAGCTGCGGCGAGTGGTCGAGGTTTGGAGACAGCGTGGCGTATTTGAGTTGCCAATTCAGGAAGCTGTGGAAGCTCGTGTTGATGGTAAGTCTATCTTTCTCTGCTTCGTACCGAACTACATAAGGCTAATTGGACCTATAGAACTGGACAAAAACCGTTCGTCTGGTAAGAAGCCTTTGTTGGGCGGATCTCTTTTCAGCTCGGGCTCTGTACCACCTGAGCTACAGCCGCTTATTCCGCTACAAGTCAGCGTCTCCAAAGGCGCAGTGACATCCGGCGCTGCGGTCAATACAGCCAATGCAGAGTTTGACAAAATGAATGACCCCGCCACGCCAACGCCGTCAGCACCTGTACACGCAGCGCGTCTCAGTCAGCTTCTCAAGTCATTAGCGAATGCCGAAAGCTCTGTAGCCGAGATTATCAAATCCCGCCAGGCGCTTATGGAAGGTCTTGAAAAGATGCTCGAAAGCAACCGTACCGCACTCGCTAGGGATACCACTCTCTTGACTCAGATGGGCGAAAAGAAGTCAGAAATCGAGACGAGAAAGCGCGACGTTGAAGACGCAATTATGCGCGGTCTTTCTGCAGAGGATTCATCAGCGGATAACAATGGCGGTGTCCGAGTAGATGATGAAGCGGCTCGTCCCAACGTCGAGGCTCTGACGCCACCTCCTGTAGAGTCACTTACCCCTACTGGTTCGCCCGTGCTGCAGCAGCAGCAATCAGAAACAAACAATACGCAACCGCCACACCCTCATCCTTTCACAATGTCCGACCATAGCATGGACTTGAGCCCGGATATGTATGACAGGGCTGCTGATGGTAGCGTGCCCGGGAATTGATATAACTAAGGTTAGTTCCATTAAAAAATAGGACAAGCAGGAATAGAAGGAAAGTGGTGTGAAACTTCGAATTGAATTGGAGTGAATTGGTTTGGAATCGATGCAAATGACAGACAGATAGATTAATGAATGCACAATTCGACTAAAAACAAAGTGCCTTTGAATGTGCATATGTATGGTCATAAATATCTCGCCCCGACAAGTTATGACTAGTAGTCAACAGTTCATCAATAAACAAAAAGCGAATTGACCAATATTCGAGTCCCTCTTCCTCTAAAGATAGAATAATGTACAATAAAAAGAAATATACGGGGATAAAAAAGAAATGAAACAAAACAAAACGCTGCAAATGAACAAGGGAGGGAAAGGCCGTGATCTTTGATAATTCGACGATGATGATGCTGCTAGATGACAAGTCAAAAAAAAAAAAATAGTAAGAGAGAGAGAGAACGAAAACTGAAGAAAAGATGTTGCATTATCCTATCCATTCAAGAGACCACCAACCCATAACGATGAATAATCATACCCATAATCATCAGGAGGGCGTGAAAAGGAATTATGATGATGGACATCTTTCGTATTCGCCGATATGTGCTCAATGATGATGTAATCATCGATATATTCAGCTATATCAATAGATGGGATAGTTGTCCTGCGGATTAATTGGGGAATTGTTTCGGTAGCATTATTTTTGTTATCGTGACCGCGACGTTTGGGTTTGAGTGCGACGAGGATAATCATCCCGATCATGAGGAGGATGAGTAGGAGGATGATTTTGCGTTTTGTTGTTTTGCGTTGGTAGTTGCTAGCCTAGTTTGAATTAGATGATGCTCCATATCGATCCAAGTATAAGGGAAGAGGAAAGGGGAGAGTTCAACGTACCACCTTGAGTTCTGTATCGGCTTGTTTGACGTCTGTGGTCATCCGTTCCACATTATAGTCTATTCGATCGAGCATTGTGCCCTGGTCTATAATCATGGTTTGTAGTTCGCGGAATATATCGGATAATTCGATAATGCCCTTTGCGATATCGTTGATTTCCCGCTCGCGTTGCGCGATGACTGCCTCGTTGGCGCCACCTACAAGTTGTTTCTGCGACGTTTGTTGGAGTGTTGTTTGCGAGAAGGATTTGTCCGCGTCTGATTCCATAAGCGATGGATCGGAGTATGGATTTTGTATAGGCGTGGCTGCTCGCTCGAACGGTAGTGCCATGCCTTCGAGTTCACGCAGTTCTAGAGAGGAACAAATTAGCCTTATGTATAACAGACAGGAGTTGTCCGCGTACTTCTCAAATACGTGCTTTGCTTCTTCCTAAATCGCGCGCTCGACTCCTGCACTCTCGAAGCAAGTGAAATTTGAATATTCCTGGCCATGGTCTCATCTCCCTGTGTCACGCTTCCGAGCTGCTTCTGCTCGCGCACCATGCCTTCAATCCGCTTGATCGCAGTCTGGCAACTGTGAAAACTCCTCGTAATCTCTTGGGTATACTGTTCAATCAGTGCTTCGTCTCCCTTTCGTGCAGCCTCGTCCCCAAAACTGGGGAGGATGTGTTTCTGGTGCAGCTTATCTAGTCGTGCGGCTTTCTGCGCGATATCGGTGAGGGTTTCGTTGACCTCGTCCTGCACATCCACCCATCGGGGGGGCAATAGGTCCATCTCGATGATAGCATCGCCATCGTCCTCCAATCCATCGGCACCGGCAATCAGGCCTCTTCTCTCTTCGGATAAGGATGGAGAGTCGCTGAAGCCCTGGGAAGGACCGAAATAGCGCGGCTTTTTGGTGGGATGATGCGCGAACGACTGGCGGTAAGAGACGTAGCTATATAAAGAGTAATCATCAGTCCACTGTAATCCAAAGGGCAAAGGGATTCCGTACAGATTCGTCCGATCACGCCACATCGTGGCAGATCTAGCTTTCTGTGGGTGCTTGTTGCGGCGTTACCATCCTCCAGTGTCAAGCTCTGGTAGTTGCAGTGATACGTTGGTGATGCAGCTCGTAATTAGTATACAGCGTCTTGCTGGCTTGCAATCTCGTGGACGTGGCTGCTGCTCTAACAACTATTGTTGTTATCGTCACGGAACCTCCGCCGTAACTGCCCTGTCCGCTCATTCCGCTTGCGGTTTAGCGCCATTTCGACTTTCGACGCCTCGGCTGAGGCTGTGCTCTTACCAAATGTCTAGCCTGGTCAAGTTTGGAAACTGCTGAAGAAAAAGAGACTCTATCCTGAATTATAGACATGCCACGGCAATATCATTGAAGAGGAGCCATGTCTCTGCTATAGATAAAGTCACCGAAAAGTAGAGAGGGATAGGAGCCTCGCTCGAGAAGATCCCTTCCATGTGCATCAGATTAGAAGATGGGCCAACTGTACGTATCGCACCGGCCAATATACCGAATGAACCTCCGTCCGTGACCAGACAATTACAGGCTGACTTCTACTGGGTTCGCCTTCGAGGGTAGGTAGGTAGCTCGTGGAAAGATAGCGTGTTAGGTGGTCGGGTTGGAGCGCTCCGACCTTTTCTTTTAATTCTTCAACTCCACGTCTACAGGCAAAGAAAAGAAGAAGGGGGAAAAAAATAAAACTCCCCAAAAAAACAAAAAAGGAAAAAAAACAAACGCCCGATGCGAGACTCGCTATTATCTTCGTTAGAAATTATCCAAATTTCCAAGGACGCGACTCGTACTTACAACTCGCAACTTTCAGATTTCAATTGTTGACTTAAAAGTCTGACAGTCTAACCAATTGACATAACCAGGCAGTTTTGGTTGTGGAATTCACCAGAAATATGGAATCTAAGGCTAGCTGATATCGATCAAGCTCTTTTAGCTTGCGCCATATCCACGCCTCGGCCTGAGGCTGTGCTCGACGAACTGTCTAGGTAACCACACCTGCAGTAACTTAGTTTATCCAGGCTTTGATTACGAAACGGAACTAATGCGAGGCCTGGTCGAGTTGTTTATTTGTTTGGCTTTTTTTACTTTTAAGATAGGGCTATCCTTTAGCGTTGAGCTTGACGCGTGCATCAAAAGAGTCTGCCTAGGTAATCTCTGATGCTGGTTCAGTTGCGCGACTGCCAGTAAACAAAAAATGGGCCAGCCTTATTCAATCTATACAAACCTGTTCACTGCCGCTGTTCTGAATAGGAATATCAGTATGATGCGCTGACTGCCTGTATGGAGCAGTCCGGGATGCGAGATGGGAGGATGCAGCGATGCACCTTGCACATTGCGTACGTACGCCCACTGTGGCGTGTCTCAGTATAGAGTGTTCAGCTTGCTCACGTCCACCTTGAGCTCAACGCAAGGCAGCTCGCTACTCATTGCGAGCCTTGGGATATGCAGTCTTTCTCTTGTAATTATATTCCTATCACTTCCCCCCGGTAACTGACTGGCTTCAGGCCAAGTCCTTCACTGCAGGTAACGCAGGCGGTCAGCCGTTCAGCCAACCAGACAGCCCCTCTCGCACCACGCTAAGCCGTGTATGGCATAGGCCAATAAGTTTAGTTGTTCTCCAGCGTCAAATCTCCATCTCTCTTCTACTTTCTCACCCCCCCC